AACGAAGGCATGGAACAGAAGCTGAACGGATTTTGTCCTGGGACCATCAAGTCTGCGGAAGCGGGGGTAAACGGTATTTGGGGTTGACCGAAAAGTTGGAGAGACGGGACTCCCATAGCCAAAGAGGGCCAAAGGAGGACGAGGATGGAAGCTGCTCTTAACTGCATGGCGGCAATACAATGAAGGCGAAGAGGTATGGGGAGGGTGGAGGCGGGGGCTGGGGGAAACGTTGAGGAGAAGGTCCTTGATAGTTGATGGGTAGCAATCTCAAGGTTGTAGGTCTGGAAAGCAATGAATATAATGATAATAAGTGAAAGTACAGTAGAAGACTAGGAACTGGATTACGCAGAGAGAAGAAGCGTAAGTACTAGTAGGCGTGGGATTAGGGGTGGGTGTGAGAGTGAGAGAGAGGTTGAAGAGATGGCGATGGCGACGGCGATGGCGATGGCGATGCCGCGTGATGCTGTAGAGATAGAGCGACCATCGCACCGGTTGCCTGACGACGTTGGGCCGCTTCTTCTGGGGTTGAAGGGAAGAGCTCAGCAGTGGAGGAACGGGGCGAGACCTATTCAGGATTAGCGCTGAGAACCAGCAGCTTGACAGGTCACATGATATCAAGGATCTTTCGCTCTGGCCTTCGAGAGGATCCAGGTAATGATGGAGCTTGACAATACCAAACCTTCCGAAATTATTTTCAAGGCAAAGCTTTTTGCCTCTGATTTATTCCGTGATATTCCTTGTCATGGTTCGTGGCCAGATAGCCAGATATGTGTCATGAAGGTGGTAGTACGATCCTTTGAGGATTGCTGCGTGCTGATGCTGATGGTAACAGCATCATGGTCAAGGGCCCCGACAAGCCCAAAAATTGTGAGTTGGATATCCATGTCCTTGAGTCCGCGGCCTATCAGTGACTAAAGGAGTGAGGACTGTGTGGACATGGAGTCATTCCTCACTTCTTTGGAATGATGAAGAAGTTCAACCGGCAACTTGTGCCAATCTTACCTGAAAATATTCCTTTGAGATAAATGCCTTCCCAGTGCTATTTTTCTGCAGTACATACTGAATCTTGAGATGATTCATCTGCACAACTACCCACGGAAATGAATGGACAACTTTATCAAAGACCTACAGGAGATTCATGGGGCAGGAGTACACCATATTCAGTTGCTCATGTTGATCAGAGTACAGGGGTCCAAAACCTAGGAACATGATGATTGCCAAAAATGATTCAGAAAGATAGACTTTGGTTGAGCAGAGACCTACAACATTCCAGTCACTGATGAGCAAAAATGGCTTTTGGATGAGGAGGAGGAGATAGTTCTTGGCTTCCAGGACTGTTTAGTAAGTGCTCTGCATCAAACATGCATTCATTCTAAATCTCATTATCTCTATTGTAGCAAGCTGATTGTGCAACAGGGAAACTTGATGAAGCATACCTTTTCTACTGCACTTGATTGAATCCAACTGTGTCATGTGTGAATGATGAATAAAGGCCGCTATCATCAGTTTGTTCCTGATGGCTGGGAGTCTTGTTCATGTCACATAGATCTTTCAGTAACATTTGCAAGCATGCTGGCACAGTCCTATGGCACAGCTGAACAGCTATCCACCACATTCATTGCATATGCATCATCATGAGAAGGGACTGATGGACATGTTGGTGGAACATATGATGATGAGGATAATGTGATGGCTAACACGGATGGCCTATTAGATCCAGTACATCAAGAGCAATAGTCTTTTCAAAAATATGACTTGGATAAAGGGGGGAAAAGGCCAACAACGCGTTTTTCAAAAACTCAGCCAATTTTTCGGAATTTGATTCAAGAATACCATCATTCAAAAGCTCTTGTTGAAACTGATCAGTCTCTCAAATTTTCATAAGATTTAGACAACAATTGGAGGTGTGATTGAGGAAAACATGCTTTTCTTCAAAAAGTGAACAATCATCAAGAACTTTCATCATCAACTCACACTGTTTCGTTCAAATAGTATGAAAATTGAATAGAAGGGAGATCGAGTCTTCAGACAATAATATCAACAATCATTAAGAGATCTCTATAAAGGGCTATGTCCTAACCCTCATGACACTCAGGCTCTGCCTTTGTACGATCAAAGCAGCGCTATCGGAGCGGCGCTATCAAGGCAGCGCCTCCACCTTATTCGTATACGACCGAGGCGGTGCCTCGATCATCCTCGTATAAAGCCCCTTACTCCTGAAGCTCTGCCCTTTATAACGGAAGCCTGATCCCTACATGATCTGGCTTTCTTTCTCCTTCTTTAATGATTCCTTTCTGTTTTCATACGCGTTAGTTATCAGCTGTTCTCAGCGACTAGCCCGTTACAATTTCACTAGCTCATTGTGTGAAAATTTCATGTTTTCTCTGCATGAAAACTCTGCAGATTTTATCAAGTAACCTTTTTCACACCACCCCTTTCACCCAAAGTTTGCTCTAGACATATATCTGTGGAAAGTGAAGAGCACATGATACTGATATACTCATATCCTGCTAGGCGGTTGCCAGGCAACGGGTCTCACGTGTGCCCATAACATAATATTAGAGTTCGAGTTAAGGTTTGTTAGGGATTTCCCCTTTTAAAATTTGTGTAAGCTCCGCTGACGGTAACTAACTAGCAGGAATGAAAAGGGTGACTGATTACAGAGTAACCACTCAAGGGCAGCTATTCAGAGTAAACAGAGCACTTGAGTAGAGAGGAACTACGGAGTACGCGAAGTTGTGCTTTTGAGGATGGGGTAGTTTAGCGGTCTTTGGAGCTAGGAAAGTGCATGACTGGGACTGGTGCCTGCCTACAAGAAGCGTCCCGTTTTGAGGAACGGAAAAATCATCCAACCGCATCCAGGTTCAAGAAGGTCAAATACGCATAAATTTGGGATTCACGATATTCCGAACGCGTCTCTTCTCGATGGGTTAGTTTTAGCTGGCCACATACGGTTTCAATTACCCCTATTTTCGTTCGCGCTTATTGCCGTTCCGTCGCGTTCGAATAGGATCCCGGTTCCTTGCTCGGCGGCTCTATCCGTTCCCCAACATCCCCGATCTGCATCAGAGCCAAGCCCGGATCAACCCTTTTGACTGTAATGCTCCCTTAATTATATACCAGCATCTGTATCTTCTCTCGCAAATATCATACATCATAACTTCCTAACAATTCTGTATTTTTCTTCCAGTGTTTGCTTCTAATTCATCACATAAAATTAGTGTACCAATCTTAACTTTTCTCCCTTTACAACTCCTAGTTAAACCTCGCACCAAACTTAACGGTCTTTTATACTGTCAAAATGGCGGGACTTCACAAGAAGAACACAACACTATCAAGAACCATCCTCTTACCGACTCAGTCCATAGATTACAAGTTGTGCTTCAGGAAGCTGAAAAACTCTATGAGTTGCACCTAATTTCCCATGATGGCGCTGTTGGTAGCCTTGACCATCTCTATCGAGGAGCAACTTCAGCACTCCTCTCTGCTTTACAGGGAGAGGATGCAGCTTACAACCTTCGCTCACGGATGAGTGACGGAAATATGGCATCTGATCTAGCACACTTGGTCGAGCGCCTCCAAAGGACAAAAGGAACCTTCAGATATGATGAGTATCGCCTGCTGGTATGTCTAGTCATTCAAAAGCCACCAGACATTGAACTCCAGAGTGTTGAAAAATAGAACATCGACATGTGGACACCTGTATTTAGTCTCATTGACAACATTCTTCAAACAACTCCTCCAGTGAGCGTCTCCCCCTCCTTTGACAGCACGCCAGTCAAGTCCACCTCATCATCACAGAAAGGTTCCGAGCAGACATGTGAGTTGGTGGATTCAAGAATATTTGATGAGATACATGACTGCACATTTCAAGACATTGAGGGCTTCTTTGACAAATACTTTGAGAAGAAGAACTGGAGCAGCAAAGCAGATGCTATCTGTCAACACATACTGGCCCCAGACAGTGATGGTAATTGGGCCCAGTTTCCTGATCCTCCTCTCAGAATCACGCAGCATCTACTACACCACAATGAGCAAAGCAGATCTTACTGGTTCAAAGGCAGAACAGCAAGTTGACCTTCTTTTGCAAGCTAGAGGTGAGAGCCTCTCACAAAACAAACACAACTGGAGAGACATCCTGGTGATTGGTGAGCTCAAAAAATCTAAGGAGGAGATCAGGACCAAAGCCACACTGCTGCAGATCAGCCGCTGTGTGCATGAGGTCTTTGCTGCGCAGCCCACCCGACGGTTCATTCATGCATTCACTGTCTGTGGGACCAAGATGGAGGCATGGGTGTTTGACCGCTCAGGCCCCTACAGCTCAGGCATCATTGATGTCTATACAGACTCAAAACAGTTCTTTCAAGTGCTTGTGGGCTACACCATGATGAGTGATGAGGAGCTGGGACTGGACACCTTTATTGCTAGGGATGAAGATGGCAACAAATCAATAACTGTCAAAGGGCCTGAGTACTCAGAGGAAAAGAAGGTGCGGCTGGGTGAAATGCTTTCCTGTCAGATTGCCATTGTGTGTCGCGGAACCACATGTTTTCTTGCAAATGATGGACAAGTGGAGGGTGTAGCCAAATTCTCATGGGTGTCAGACAAGCAGCAGTCAGAGGCGGAACTCTTCAAGCTGGCAGGTCAGAAGAATGTCCAGGGGGTTGCCAGGATCATTGGCCATGATGCTATCACTAGTATCACTGACATGCGCTGCAGCCTGACCTTCAACAAGTGCCATGACTTTAAAATCTTACCCCTCAGCAGAGCCTCCTCATTTCATCAATCTCAGACGCTCACCGAGGCCTGTCACTTAGATATCCGTCAAAAGTCACCATCCAGGAAGCGCAGATACCTGGGCAAGAGGGTCCAGATGTCTAAACAATCACATTCCATCAATCAACCATCAAGGAACACCCAGGAGGAGAATGAACTAGCTTTCTCCATTTAGTCAGCACACAAACCAAGCCTCTTTGACAGGAATGATGAGGAACTCTATGACAATCGTGTCCTCCAGTGTCTTGTGATCTCACCGGCTGGCCGGCTGATCTATGACTACAGATCACCCTTGGAGCTTCTCACAGCACTTCGCGATGCAATAAAGGCGCACCGGTCTCTTTACCTGGATGGGAACATTCTTTATCGGGATATTTCAGAGAACAACATAATAATAACTGATCCAGACAAGGCGGATGGTCACTCAGGCATGCTAATTGATCTGGATCTTGCCAAAGAAGTTGATAGTGGGCGAAGTGGTGCACAGCACCGCACTGGTACAATGGAGTTCATGGAAATTGAGGTGCTGCTAAATATTGACCATACCTACTGGCATGATCTGGAGTCATTCTTCTACGTGCTTATCTGGCAATGTGCCCGTCATGGTTAGGACAAGCTAAAGCGATTGCGGGCGTTGTATCAGTTACATGGCTGGTTGGGAGATAGTATGTTAGAAATGTGGTACGTCGGAAGCCATGAGAAAAATGCAAATGCCAAACAAGGCAACATTGGAGCTTGTTGGATTTGAGCGCATCTTAACAGTTGAATATTCTCCACCGAACACCAGTTTACTGACAAAATGGTACACCGATACTTACAAAGAGATCGCAAGAGTTAAGCGAAGCGACATGGGCGCAGATGGGTTTGAGGATATTTTATCTGAGTTTCCCCCAATATTTGAGTGTGCCAAACCTCTTTGCAGAGCTCTGTGAGACATTCTTTTCCCGCATGGGGGCAGAGGAATTATTGTTGGTACCCCGCAAGACCCAAACCGCTTATACGATCCAATTATCAAGGCATACGATGACGCGATATCTTTGATTGGTTGTCAAAGTGATTAAGATAATGGAGATCGTGGTGCCATTACTTTGTTCTTAAAATTCACACGTTGCGATGGAATATTTCGCAGCTGCCATGAAAATAGTGACGTACCGCTGTAGATAGCAATTCCAGCCCTGTCCTCAACAGCCGAACAACATTTTCACATATACATATATAGATCGAGAGCCTATAGGGCGTCGTCCAAAATTAAATAGCAGGAAATTTAAAGCTTATCTTCTAGTAAAAAAGGAGCAATCATTTTTTAGCTTCAGCTCACTCCACACCTACAAAGGAACTCTTTTCAACACGAGGCGTGAGTTTTCTTTTGGAGCACAGTAAAAGAAGCTGCGGACGGTAAGGTGGATTATATTTACAGTATATTGACATCGACGGTGGAGACCTAGGTACGATATATTTGGGATATATCGCATGGGATGAACTGGAAGGTTCCGCCAGAGAATGTAGATTACTACAAGAACGAAGGTATCTATCTAGTCCAGAATAAATTGACAGCGATTACACTCGGGAAGAAAAAAATATAAAATCAAACACAGAACATAAACAAACAAATGAAATGAAATGAAATAATCCGTGAACTCCAATGCCAAACCTGGATCTCATCCTATCATTGAACGCCAGAGTCCAGCCCCTCTCAGCGGCGTTGAGTCTTACCGATTCCACGTTTCCCAGAGAACTATAAAACGGGGAAAAAGAAGGGGTTCACAGTTAGCAATATGTTCCGCATTATAGCTAAACAGAGGCAAGGGGGGGGGGAAATAAAACTTCAACAAATATATCACTCACCAAATGCTTTGCCAAAGAAGCCGTTTGATGTCGATCTGCTTCACCTTGTCTCGCCATCCGATTCATCTTCTTCTGTGCAAGCCTGGCTATCCTATCAGCCTTGCTTCGAGATTGTATATCCGTTATGCCGTCGACAAGACGATTGGTTGGCCCCTGGCTGCGAGCTCTGCTCTTGGCGCGTTCCAGCAGTTCCTGCCGAGAGGTGTTGGCAGCACCACCGTCGATCTCCATAGCGTCTGCCGCTTCGACCCCGGTTCGGGAGGTCGTCCGGCCACGGTATTGGGATTGGGATTGGGATTGGACGCGGCTGGACGCGGACTGCGCGTCGTAACCGATTGATTGCAGATGAGAATTCATTTCAGAGAGTTTGCGAGCTTTCGCGCTGCGAGGGATAAGTGCGCGGTTCTTGAGGGATTTTCGCATCTTGGACGCGTTGCGGATCAACTGTTGCTTCTCGCGGATGAGGTCAGCCTTCATGCGAATGTCGGCCTCCTCTGCATCTTCGACGCTCTCGTCGGAATCATAGTATCCCTCCGCCTCCAGTTTCTCCTCCTCCTCTTCTAGCGCGGCTAGCTTCGCCTCAATGTCAGGATCCACAAAGTCGTAGACGTTCTTGCCATTCCATACTTCAGGGATCTTGTCGTGTTTCCACTCGTCATTCGCAAGCATGTAGCTATCTTTCAAATCTACGTTAAATACACCCGCACCCCCGTTCTCTTCTTCCGTGTCCCTTGCAAGCTTGCGTTTCTCAGGATCACCCTTATTGTATTTCTTCAGCGATTTGACTGCTTCGGGTATGAAGACTTCGCAAGTGGCTCCACCAATGGGTTGAGCAACGTGGATTCTAGCCAAAAGATCACCCAGCCTTCCAGACGGAGTACCTGCATTGTTAGTACCCGTTTTCAGCTTCTGGGCCACTCTCTCTGCGAGAAGTCTGTCACAAGCAGCATTCTTCACGGCTGTAACTCCTTCTGTAGTTGCACACGAAACCTGCAGCATCTCCACTTCCGCCGGTTTCAAGATAGACTGGAGCTCTTCTTGGGTCGATGCATCCAAATCTTCTGGTCGCATTACATCGATTTTATTAACCACCACGTAAACGATCTTATTTGCAAACAGCGGCTTAATGCTGTTGAATAGTTTAATTTGATCTGTCACTGAATAGCCACACTGTTCCGACAAGTCCATGAAATAGAGAATCACAGATCTCAAATGAGCAATAGCAGTAATTGACTGCATTTCAATCGTATTCATCTCTTCAAGAGGGTGGTCCAAGATGCCAGGGGTGTCAATAGCCTGGAAGCGAAGGTACTTGTAATCGAAATGCCCGACGAACAAGCTTTTGGTAGTGAAGGCATACGGCTGTACGTCAACATCTGCCTTGGTGATATTTCTCAGAAAGCTGGACTTGCCAACGTTGGGATATCCACAGATAAGGAGCGTTCTGGTATTGGGATCAATCGAGGGCAGACGCCCAAGATGCTGCCGCACCTGTTCGAGATAGACAAGCGGATCCTTCAAACGTCTACATATCGTCGCCATACGACCCAGAGCAGCTCTTTTGAGCTGTTTGCACTGGAATAGTGACTGGGCATATTTGATGAGGCGGACATAGTCCCGGGAAACGGTTTCTATCAAATGTTTGGCAGTGGCAAGCTGGCCGAGCGCAATACGGAAATGGTCAGCATCATAAAGCGTATTCATCAAATCCTTGTCTAAAACACGCAGAGAAAGGTTCAAGTCAGTAGATGATCACTTGAGAAATCACACCTCTTCTCCGAGCACAGGAAAACTGGGCCCAACTCACGAAATGGATGAATATCCTGCAGTCTAGGGAATCCTTCCAGTATCGCTTGGAATTTCTCGCAAAAGGTCTCTGATGTGAACTTGACTTTTCTGGTATAAAAGGCTGCAGAAGTCGTGAAGCATGTCAGCTTGCATAATTTATTTTCCAACGACCACCAGCTTGCATCCAAAGCGATAGCTTCTCTTTTGTCAACTAATATACTGGTCTATCCACCAATCCCCTATCAAATAGGAGACTCCTGAAAGGAACATATATGGAAAATAACAACCCACCTCTGATCCGACTAATCTTAAACCCAGCCCGAATCTGTGTGGGCAACCGCCTCTGTGTCCGACTAAGAACGATATCCAGGAACTCCTGGCTCGAGGGCACAGGCTGAATCTATTGACAGCAAAAGAAGAGAGGTAGAATTTATCAAGTCAGCCACCAAAAATTCGTATTCTCCACAACAAGTCCAATTCCGCAAAAATAAGCCGGATAGGAATTGATAAATAAGATCCACGGATTTAATGGGTCAGACATACCTCTTTCCAAGTCGTTTTCATGATGCCTGCTCAAAGAAAAGCAATAAGGAGGAGGCGGATGAGAAGACAGAGGGAACTCGATGAGATAAATGGATGCAAAGCGGGTGCCTCACAGTCGTTGTCTTTCCTCGCCGTCGTTGTCGTCTTCTGCAGCAAAATTCCAGAAAAAACATAAAAAAGTGTTTAGTTGGTTGGAAATGGGTGACCTGCAATGGAAGTTTTTCCCGAGGCGGTGGGGAGAAGCAGAAGGGAAGGTTTAGCCTATCAGCTTATCAGCTGCAGATGCATGCCCCATTGCAACCGGCCACAATAAGTTAGTTATATGATATTAACCCATTGATTACTTGTTCTAGGGAGTCATTCCAACAGCCTTATGCCAAAATTAGGTCTTCATATCCTCCACCCTGACAGCTGCTGGTTCCCCCCTCCTTCCTACAACCGTAATATCAAACCAAGAGTAGACAAAGGATCGTAGACCAGTTGTTCCGGGCACTTGATGCTGTGTATAAATAGATAATAAGTCTCCGAATAGAGCACCCTATATACAATAAGAAATAATGAAAACATGACAGCAGTGCACAAGAACAGCCTTACATACTAACATCCGCCCATCCCTATACTGTCATTATTCCGTGTTTAAAACCAGATATAAAAAAGCCCTACCATTATCTCTCTTAGCCGCGTCAAAATTCCTGTTGACAAGGGGGCAAATCAAATAAAAAGAGGGGGGGAGGGAATAAATTATTCTTCGAAAACAGAGTTCCCACGTGGATTGACACTAGGTGAAGGAAACAGCAATAGTCAAACGGACCGCGGACGAGGACAATCAGCCTTTCTGCCGATGTCCAGGCCAATGTCGACGGCAAATAGCATATCATGCAACCCTTCTGACTGCGCTTACCACTCCGATTTCTTCCAATCTAACCGACCATTAAGACGAAAAGTCATGTGGAATGCTCAGGTTCATGCCCATACTTGTGCTGAGTGAATAAATAGTACAGCATGAGGCCAAGCCAAGCCAAACCCCCGGAAAAAAGAAGGAAAAAGGAAGGAAAAGGAAAAGGAAAAGGTAGAAATAAAAGAACAGAAAAGTGGGTGGGTGGGTTAAAATGATAGGAAGAAGGGAAAATAATCACGAAAGATAAATATAGAATAAATAAGGCATTGCAACATTCCACAGAAACACCGAAAAACTGAAATTGGTTTGCTGGGGCTTTTGCATAGCTCAAACTCCCGCGTCTGAGAACTCTAGAACCTACATTTCGTCACCAATAGTTGATTAGTGTTGAAATTCATGCGGTTGATGTGTAGATATGGGTATGTAGAGTATGCATACCATGCTATACCATCCCCCACCCCCAAACGTGCAGTCACTCAAACCCCGATTCTCAAACCCCAAACTGGTGTAAAACGGTATCAGGTGGTCATGCGCCAGGAGCGCAATACGGTTAGCAATAGCGGCATCCTTGATCCGCTGGATATACGATTTCATAAGAGTTGATCCCAGACGCTTACCCTGGTGCTCCGGCAGGACTGCGAGGGAGTGCACTGCGATCGTGGATCCTTGTTCCTGGTGGCCGAGAGGTTCTGACCCGTTGTCAGCTTCGAGTGTGGAGGTGGAGGTGGTTTTGTCTTGCCAGTTTGGCGGGATACCTATGGAGGCATCGGTTACGCATAGTGCTGGGGTTCTTGTGGCTAGAATGTGGGCGACGAGCGTTGGTTGTGGTTTAGGTTGGCCGGGCTCCCGTGGGGGAAGGGAGAAGATGCCCAGGGATAGTTCGGGGCATTTGGTTAAACGATATAGTATCTGTGATATGCACATTAGATATAATTCAGGGAAAACAAAAAACAAATTAAAAATAAAAACTAAAATAAATAAAATAAAATAAAAAATAAAAATAACCCGGCGACTTTTGTCACATCCTCCTTGCTCGTGGATAAAAAAGAATACAAAAACGGCGAAATAAATTACCTTTTCCTCCGTACACCTCTGATGCTCCGGAAACGCCGCCTCGACCGCCAGACAATCATTCACATTTGATAAAGACAGCAGCTGGACGAATGGATGTAGTTGATCTAGCTGCGTAGGCTTCGTCGGTGGTGGGCGCCGGAAGTACCATCCATAGTCAGCAACGTCGTCGTGGTCGACTTCGACAAACCCGTCCTCGTCATCATCAATGTCGTCCCCTTCCAGCTCCAATTCGTTAGTCACGATGCTATCTGCCTGTGCTAGCTTGGAACGCTCAGCAAGTCTCGACTGTTCCGTGAGGGGTAGAGGATGTAATTTGGATCGTGAGGGATCTGTGGAATCTGCGGAGCGGGGGGGAAATGATGACTCCAGGGGAGCCGTTATTATTCTTATTCTTATTATTTTTACCGTAACTGATGGATTAAACACTGCCATACCGTTTTCTGACATATCTGATATCTTGACCGGTGAAGGATGGAAAGGATGTTGGGGGGTGAGGGGGGACGGGAGAGAGCTGCGCGGATTCCGCCTATGATGATATCTAGATTAATTAGCGCATCAAATCGAGATTTGTGTAGTTTTGCTTCTGGGGAGGGATTCCTGCGATTCTGAGGTACAAAAACACTGGGAGGAGATATGTTCACACACAGGGAGGGTGGAAGGGAAAGACAGATAAACAGTGTCCCGCGATGACAGACAAAGGATTCGTGGGATGGGCAGAGTTTTCAACTTTCACGAAGAACACCTCTTTTTCAATAGTTATGCATAAATGATTTAAATGATCAACCAGCTCTCGGACAGGGCTCCACTGTCTGGTAGTCGCAGAATCTTTGTGAAGGAGATGGGGCTTTTCCTTACTTTGCAGGGTTGAGTCTGGTCTTGCCTTCATATAGGCATCACAGGTGTGATGCAGGCGTTGGTGATTGTTAAGTTGGGAGCCAGTTGCTACAGTGCCAAGTTCGTAGGTTTATTGGAGTGAGGGGCAACTTTGCAACCCAAAACGACTACAAAAATGGGCATTGTCGCCTGTTTGCTTTTTGTTAACGTAGGTGCATACGTATGTAAAGTAATTTGCTTATTTATTTTTATTTATTCACTCTGGTCGTTGATAGAGAAGAAATTCTGTTGCAATTCAAATCGACTATCTATTCAAGAGCAGGCGAGCGGACAGATAAGTCGTGGTTCGTCGTGGTTTCTTTGGCCTTGGGGGCGGGTTGCATAAGAGTACATTTTATCTGGCGATTTCTCTGGATTTTGAGGATGCGGAATCTCTTGAGCTCTTGAAGGGAAAATGGAAGGTTTTTTTTTTTTTTTTTTTTTTTTTTTTGAAAGATTGCGGGGTTGGTTGGGTTGAACATGGGCATAGACAACGAATGTGTGGTACTTCAAGGGTACCTCGAGACACAGTATTACTATTGATGGAGTGAAAGTCACTTCGGAGTCACGCTGATGTGACACTTATTTTGTTCCTGCATTGGCGGGGTAATCACCCTCCATGCCTTAATATTCAAGAGATTCGATGTTCGGGGATACATACACAGGGAGTACATTATCATTCAGATAAAGTGGATTTATAACTATTTTCGACATCTTGCTCATATCCTACTCGGCATTTTTATGTTTAGTCTAGACAAGCAAATTAAATCTCTTAATATGGTAATTCAAGGTGACGGACGTCACAACGGGGCTCAAATCTGCCAGTAGATTCTCTCCTTCGAATGATCAAGGTAGTTAACCACCTTGTTTGTTTTATGGAAAAACACTCAGGTTATATTCTCTCGCCTAACCAAATCAGGCTCATCTTCTTCTCACTCAGTTGTCCAGATACAATTTCGGCGGGGAGTCAAGATCCATGCCAGATATTTGTTGAATTAGTTGTTGATCAAGGAGACATGGTCGTCTCGCATTCATCCCCCTATCTCCAACCGGCCCCACAACATAGAATGGTAATTTCATTGGAGAAAAAGAGAAAAACATGCATATGTTTCACGGATTTGGGATTACTGTCAGGTGCGAGCCGCATACAACCACAAAAAGAATAGAGTATCCTCCAATGAGGATTGGGCGTTATATCGATTGTATTTAAAATGTCATGGTCGTGGGGATAGAGCGAAGGTCAATAAAACTAACTAGTTAAAATTTGTGGTAAATTCGCTGGCCAAATGACAAACAGACTACTGTTAACGAGTAGCTTCGGTGTGTGTTCACATCGTTCATTTCCTTTCCCGGTGCTAACTGCCGGCAATTCGTGTCGCCTTCAAGAAGAACCTGGCAACCTGAACTAGAAGCTGTAATTACTCTGTAGAACTTGATCGATCCCAAATTGATGCTGGCTCTAGTATAAGAGCAGGTGTAGCTTTTGGCGGAACAATTGCCCGGAGTCATCAAATCATTGTAAAGTGAACACACCGCGGAAACCCTAGTATAAACCCTCCATCTCAGCTATGGTCGACAGAGAAACGCGGTTCCTGCAAAAATGGCTGAACAGAGCTGCAGTAACATTCATGCATGAGAAGCAACAACAACCTGGATAATCCCAACGGCCAGCCACTTGATGTGTTCTCCTCGGAAGCTGGTTTGGTGAATCATGGTGCGATATTATCGCGACAGGTAGGCAGGTGGGTCTATCACTGTAATTTCATTCACGAGGTCGCGATGATTCAGAGTTGGAGGATCTATCTCCACGGTGAGCGAGGGTGACGCTGGTGCTGAGACATCTGCGACTCTTCCACGACGATTCTCTTCCCCCTCATCATTGACTAGCTGATAAAAGGGTTACCGTGGACAAAGGGAGATCACCTGTGTTGTAACCAGCACGTTGCAGGCAGAAAGGGATAACGTGGCGGCGTCAACATAAGGGACGGGAATCATTATCCTGCTTAGGACTGCACCGCAAAAACAGCAGTGAGGATGACGATGAGCGAGAACTCCTGTAAGTAGAGCTCCGTACAGCACATACCTAGGTAAGTTGTATTGGGTTGCGCTTCTCCTTGTTCTTGTGCTGAGCGATGTTAAAATAGATGGGTATCGCCATTGGCTGTGTTAGTAAGCCTCCCGGTCTCTCACTTCGCCCAACTTCTCTGTTCTTCTTTCCCGATCCCCTTCAGATTCCGGATTGATTCCTCTTTTTTTTTATTTTTCCTTTTTTTATTTTATTTTTTATTTTTTACTTACATATCTAATATCTCTCTGCTTCAGTCTCCCTTTGCTCGACCAGCTGTATCTGTGTGGTCTCTGCCCTAGCTATAACAAGAAATCGTTGAAGCGGCCGTGTTGTTGCTCCGCCATCATCTTGCCTCTCCACACCACAACTTTGCCCTCGCCATACCTCCTTTACTCTCTGGGACCGGCTTGAGACACTTCAGTTCAAACAGCCCATTATTTGCCGCTCTCTCTGGACATCTGCTTTCTCACCCTTAGACTAGATATTCCAACCTAGGAATTTCCTTCCTCCCCCTACTCCAACCTTAGAACGCTGCAGCCTGCTCTATCTGACAACGAATCGATCGTCCGGCCCAAAAGGGCCCCCCCCCCCTCATTAACAATGTAAGATTGTTTTATCCTGGAAACGGAACTCGGAAAAAATTTTGCTTGCTAGTTTCGCGTCTGACATCTACTCTGTAGGAAAATATCCGTATCCGTTGTCGCGTCGGACCTGCAAGTCGACTCCGATCTCATATCCCTCGATGTTGGAGATGACATGACTGTCGCAGATCTCAAAGCCGTCATACAAAGCGATATTAACGTAACTCCTTCCGCATTACGTCTTTTCTTCAATAACCGGCTCTTAGCAAGCGATTCTCAGACATTGGCACAAGCCAAGATTACGGAGGGAGACATGCTTGCCATGCAGATTCTAACTCAACCACCACGCCCACAGCAACAGCAACAGCACAACAGCATACGGCGGTTAGCGGGAGGAAATACAAGTTCAGATAACGAACAAGCCACCACCAGACAGGGATCTATGCCAGATCCAGAGACATTGCGGCTGCATATGCTAGGTGATCCAAGAGTGCTGGAGGGGGTGCGAAGACAAAATCCAGCACTAGCAGAAGCAGCAGGGAATGCGCAACAGTTCCGTGAAGTGCTGCTCGCGCAACAACGGCAAGAGGCAGAGGCAATCGCTGCGAAGGAAGCAAAAATTGCAATTTTAAATGCGGATCCATTTAACGTGGATGCGCAGAGAGAGATTGAAGAAATTATTCGCCAAAATGCAGTTTTGGAGAATCTACAAGCGGCGATGGAGCACACGCCTGAAGGTGAGTGGTATTGCTAAGATTGTTTTTATCCTTTCGTCTGGTGTCGTGTGGTTACTGACAGCTCATTCTAGCTTTTGGTCGGGTAAGCATGCTGTATATACCTGTTGAAGTGAACGGCCAGCGGGTAAAAGCTTTTGTCGACTCGGGTGCGCAAGTCACAATAATGTCACCAGAATGCGCCTCTGCATGCAACATCATGCGCTTAATAGACCGTCGCTATGGTGGCATTGCTAAAGGCGTTGGGACAGCTGATATCCTCGGACGAGTACACTCCGCCCAGATTAAAATCGGAGATATTTTCCTTTCCTGTTCGTTTACTGTGATGGACGGCAAACACATCGATCTTCTTCTTGGGCTCGATATGCTTAAACGACACCAAGCCTGCATTGATCTGCAAGATAACGTTTTAAGGATCGCAGGCCAGACCGTGCCCTTCCTCAACGAAGCCGATATTCCCAAGCACGATGAACCCGAAGATGAGCCACAGGTGCATGGACGTGATGGTGCCATTGTAGGTGCCCGGTCAGGCGCTGTCACCCATCCGGCTAACCCGCCTTCATCCTCCACTCCACAGTCCCACTTCAAGGCAGCAAATTCCCCAACCTCTCCTGCTTCCACACCAAAAATAAACATTCACTCTGCTTCCTCTGCTGGGCCGTCCTCCACCTCCTTCAATAATCGGAACATTTATGCGTCCAACCAGCAATTGCCGGCATCGCGATGGCCCGCTGAGTCAATTTCCAAGATAACGGATCTTGGCTTCACGCGAGAAGAAGCACTACAAGCTCTTGAAGCTGCTGGTGGGGATCTGGATGGAGCCATCGGCTATCTTATTTAAATCGCATGCTCTCTCGTGTCGGACACTGTTTTTTATAAATTAATGACATGACTCCCGCCTACGGTCTTCCGTGATTTCACAGTCGATAATGATAATAACGTCCCTAAACCAGTAGAATAAATGGCAGGTGCTTATTGACCATGAGAATGACATCATGTAATATCTTCTCTTTCAATTTTCTCTCTCCCTCACTTTCCTTGCAACTCAGCATTGAATGTATGTTCACTTCCTTAAGATTTGTCTGTCTAGCATATTTACTAGCCCTTACCTCGTTTTCATTACTGTTTGCATGGCTAGAAATGCAAGTTATACTTCATTTTTCCTCCCCCCCCCCCCCCCCCCCTCTTTTTTTTTTTTTTTGAATAAAGTGTTTCGATTGCATTGTGCTATGAAGAGAATTACGTAGTTCAAAGTACGTAATTCGGAATTATATAGTCCGGAATCATTGTCTCTCATGATAGAAGGTAAACTGATTGATCAAGATGAGGACTGTTTATCTTGAAGCTGCACATTACACTCTCAACTGACCCATGCTTGAAGACAGTACATTCCTGCATGGCCGCTTGGTTTGTTCTATGTTCCAAAAGTCTGTTGTACTTTAAATCTCAGGCGACGGGAGTAGTTAAGGGGTAATAAATAAAATATTTGAAAAGTTGACCTTGTATTTCTAAGAGCTTCGGCTTGTGTCATTTATCAAGGAACTGTCATTTTAAGTCATTCTTCTTTCTCTTCTCATTATTTAATTTTTTTTTCTATCTAACAGCATTCATATCAGCTTAATGAGCAATATCTTTGCATCTAAAAGTTCATGAACATCTTCATCTCAGCAGTCGCATTACGCTTGATGATTTTACATGTTTTATATTGTAACTTAAACACAATCAGTACGAAACTATCAGTGAGATTGATTTGATTAAGTATCAGACGTTAATCTTCACATGTGTATATTATTATTAAACATTAATCAGACAGAAAGATACGAAAGTAGCCCAAATATCAATCAGCTGTGTTTTATTTCTTTCTTTTAAGTTGCAGGGCCACTCTATTGACGCCCTTTCAATCAGAGGTGGTTGTTGAAGTTTCGCGACAGCCAGGAATTGCAAGCATCATCGCCAGCGGATGATACGTTGCATTCCAACAATTTGATGGCCTGTCTGGTCACGCTTAAATTATCCTTTAATAAGCTCGATATCGCCGCCGTGGATTTTACCCCTTCCGCCGCTGGTGGCATGCTTTTGCAGGTAGAAACGAGATCGGTTCATTTTCAGGGGAAGGGGTCAGCTCGTTAACCACGCAAAGTCTTAGGAAAAGATAGCCCTTCCTTTTCCCACCTTCCTAGGAATATTTTTATCTACGGAGAAAGAAAAGAAAATAACAGGGGGAGATCAATCAGAAGATGCGAAATGATGCATTTCCCCCCTAAAGAAAGGGGCAAAAAGGGAAGTGAAAAATAGAAAAGGGAAACCCACACGTTCATGAAGCAAAACGCAGCCCCGAAGAATCGCAAGATCACAGCACTTCTCTCCCAGGGATCTTTGCACATGGATCCGTACCGCACTCCCCCGCATCTTATCCAGTTCACGACGGAATAGGTGGAGGTGGCGGCCCACACGCCTCCCACGACAGCCAACGTGCCCAAGAGCAAATCGACGGTGATGAAGGCAGCGGCGTGAACGCGGTCATTACCGATGGAGCTTACAAGCTAAGCAGAGAGCGATCAGGCTCCATACTCCTGAGCCTTCCAAGCTTCTTTAATTTTCGGAAAAAGAGAAAGAAAGGAAGTTCCAATCTGTTAGTTATTTGTTTGTTTGGCTCTTGACGGATAAAAAGGCGAGGGGAAAAATGGCAGATTGACAAACAGAATAGATGCCAATTATCCCGGCGAACGGACCTGCGTCGCGTGAATGTAGTACTTGCCCGCCCACCCAAGTCCAATTGGCACCGGTGATGGAGATAAGGGTGGCAAAATGCGCAGGCATAGAAAAATGGAGTTGGCTTTTATCATGGTTGGCGTATGCGGCTTGTGTGTTAGATGTGCTGATGCTTCTTCGAAAGGACTTGGATTCGATATCAGTTGTTTCGCTATGAGATGTTATCTAATTAACAAAGAATAGGTGGAACTGGGCGGATGGCGAATTGTCGTTTACGGTAATGTAAACTGAGAGCGATGGAATAGGCTTCGTCTTCAGTGAGGAGAGTTAGAAAGAGAGCAAGGGAGGCCTTCGTTATATCTGTCATGATGGACCAGGTCTTTCTCGAAAAAGAGAATGGAAGACAATATATATATATATATTTCGATTGTGAGTATCTTCTACCCAAACCAGCCAAAAATATCCAAGTCTCCTCGCCCATTTAATGAACCAACCTGGCCATCCTGGGGAAGCTCCATATGTCATCATCAAGAGCAATGCCGAGTCAACTAACCAAACTCGAGTTTGCAGGCTGCCTCCATGGTGATCATCACGACTTCAAACTTGAAAGCAGGCCAGAGCCACACACAAGATTCATGGAAGGTTGGGGTCGGAAGATTGCGAGGCGCAGTGGCATCTCTTTGACCTTGACATTGGCAGAACACGAGCGGAGGTGGTTTGATCCAGAGGAGCTTGTACAATAGGAACGACCCAGCGATATATGGCGTGGAAATACCGATGGCATAGGGTCTCCTTTTTCTATTACGAGTTGCCCGAAAAGAGCTAGGTAAGATGTTTATCAGCACGCCAAGGGCCATATTTTGCAAATGTGCATGGTGAATGATGGTGAAGAGACTATTTGTTTCATTTCTGTTCCCGCTATTAGACGTTATATGTGTGTGTGTGATTGCAGGGTTATGAGGTACCATAAATAGTGTCCCGTTCTGAAGTCCGGGCATAAAAAATATTATATACAGTACATAACGCAAATAGACCAACCTCTCCGAAAAGATAACTCCACTATCCTAGACACCCAAAGAAAATACGCGTAATTATATGTCGCTCTAATCGTGTGACCACCAACTAAACCCACTCCACAAGCAACTTCCCTCCCCTTTTAACACCACTCCTCACTAGCTAGCTGCCTCTTCCTCCCCAATCTCATCAACCCTCGAATAATCCCCCTGTAAACTCAACAGCCCCATCGCCCACGTTACCGATGTCGCCCTATTAACCGTGACAAACTTCCTCTCACCTGCCAGCCGCGACACCGTCCCCTGGCCCATATCGACATGAGTCATGTGGTTCATCGTCCGCTGATACGGTGGGCCCTTCCCAGCCTCATACGCCTGTATCCAAGCCGTTTCACACCCGCTGGCAACAGACGTCGCAGAGCTAATACTCGATAAGCGCGCGATATTGCGCAGCTTCGCAATCGTCCACCCCCGCTGCGCGGGATCGGTGTACTGCACGCCCGAGAAGAACAGGGGTATCATTAACTCCGTCAATACGCCTAAAATTGACGGGTTAAGGCTTGCGTCGCCTCCGTCAAATTGCTGCGGATAATAGATTCCCGCGATGATACGGCCGATAGAGTTTGCGAAGTGGCCCGTGCGGAATGCGCAGACTGCCGCGGCCACCATGGATTCTGGAGGCATGGACGGGTGTGTTCGCTCGAGGATTATTCGGCCCGTGTAGTAAAATGCCCAGACGCAGGCTACGGTGTGCGTGCGGTATTGCAGCGCGGGGCCGAATGGGGTAGCAATTGGAGGGGCGCTGTCGGGTTGTAGCGGTGCAAAACTAGGGCCAAATGCTTTTTCGCATGCTTCATAAGCCGCGAGAAGTTCCTTCCATTCCGCCTCTGCCTTCGCTGTTTGTCCGTCGAGGTCATTGATCTCTGGCTCAGGTTTGGAGGGAGGTGTTGGAAGGGAGGTTTCAGCAAAGCCAGAGGGAAGGCGGGCGGGTCCAGAATTTGGTATCATACCATACATGGGCGGACTATTCTCCCTATTATTATTGCTCGACAATGGTGCGGCAGGATGGCGGGTTGGAGGCTCGTGTTGTGGTCCAGGAGGGGCCCCAGGCCCCTCCCAACCCATCCCCGAAGGGAAGAATCCTGGTGGGGGGCGCCATTGTCCGCCGTTTCTCTTTATCACCTTCACCTTTCTTGCACGATCCCTAGAGACAAAATCCACCGTTCGTGCAAGGAGTAATACAAGGTGGTCAAAAGATCCATAAACAGCATCAAGCTTCCCAATTCCCGACCTGGGGGGGCATGCTCCCCATATATTAAACGGCATCCTAATGGAGAAAAAGGATTGTTAACATCCATTTGTTTCAAAAAGATATTTGGTTGGTAATCGAACATACAGCAACGGATTCCCACCGATCATGCTTTGATAGACATCCTGCTTGCAATACCACCAGTACAGGTCGCTCCGGATCCGATATTCTTCGATATCCCCAGCTGTGAGATTCTTCTCAGACGCAGTCATAGGGCTCGCGTCCCTTACCGTCCCGAAATCATTATAACTCATGGGTCTGCCCATCAATGTGCCAATCAATTCATCATCAGTTTCAGCCTCCTTGTCTGCAAACAAATCGTTTTCGAAGCGACTGCCTATTTGTGGAGCAATCATTCCCACCCAGGGCATTGATTGAGCAAGTTGCATATGCTCCTGCCTAGCCCTTGCTCTCATAGAACGGATATCTCTTGTCATACCCGCAAAATCACCTTCCTGGATCAGTTGCGATGCCCCCGCCACATGACTGTTCCATTTTGAGTGTTCAGCACCCATGACTTCATAGAAGCCAAGAAGCAATGTTGCAGCAAGCGTTGCTGTTTGCTTACGGCGACCTGGAAGTTTGACAGCTTTCGAGATACGTCGCAAGGCATAGTGGTAGTGGCGGAACGATGCCACGAGAGATGACCCCTGTATTTTTGCAATGTGGTGGCTGCTGAGAGCTAAAATTGCGTGCAGCAAGGCTTGGTTTCTAAGAGCAAGTGTAGGCAGGGTGTACGTCCAGAGACTCTGTTGGGAAGGTGGGATTGGTGCAGTGGATAGAATTACTGTCGGGTTCACTGGATGTCTTTCGAATATAGACAGTACAGGCGCAACTGAAGTAATGAAATGGCAGAATATTCCTGTCACCTCGGGATCCATAAGGGGAGATGCAAATGGCGAAGGGGTGTATGACGTTAGGGATGACTCGTCATTCAGGAAAGCAGTGTTTGAGCGGAACGGATGAATGAGCTGCGTGGCGGTTGATTGGGGCACTTCCGTTTCATATGGCTGCGGATAGCTGTAGGTTTGAATATCCATCTCTTCGTCAGTTTGGACATCGTAATAGTCATCAATTTCATCCTCGTAGTAGTAATTGGCTGGTTGTCCCGCATTACGGTCTGGAAACCCAAGGGTGTAATTCTCAACGGATGCTGGTTCAAACTTGTTGGTACTAGGTTGACCTTCATCTATGTCAATCTGTTTAGCTTAAATTTCACACAATGATAAAGGGGGAAGGGGAGAGAGAGAGAGAGAGAGAGAGAGAGAGAGAGAGAGAGAAATAAGGTCATACAGCTGGCTTGTTGAAAAGAGGATGAATTCGATTGTTCGAGCTACAGAATATTAGAAGCTTGGACAGACAGTTGAAAAATTATAACTTACATGAAAACGGGGCTCAGGTTGAGGTTGACCTGAAGACATATAAGATTGATGTGCCATCTGCTTTGAAATGATCACTGACGGCTCGTAATCACCCAGAAAGGTGTTGTCCAGGGATTGTTGGGATGAAGGCAATTCCAAACGAGTATCTAGGGCATGCTGCGGCGCTTGCTGCAGCGTTTCTGAGAGTGGCAAACTAGTACCCTTTGTGCTCTGAAGGCTATAGAGCTCACTATAGAAGTCATGTTGGCCTTGGCTGCTGTTGCGGTTAGGGCTCAGTTGCAAGGGTTGGTGCTCTGGGACAGACGTATGTTGTGATTCACCACGTGCAGCACTTGTAGTGTCCTGATTTGGACGTGGTGCAAGCGGGATGAAGGGCGCGCGTGTACCAGAACCTTCAGGTCGGGAACCTGTGGAGCCGATAGGGCGACGCAAGAACGGAAGAGGATCTGCCCCCTGACCAGTTTTGGTGTAGGATTGAGGTATGGGGCCATGGCTCAAATGGGACATGGGCCCGACAGGGTTTCTGAAAATCACCCGTTGGGCATATCCCTCACATTCTCGCTTTGATTTTTTGCAATTGTTGCAGGTGGGTTTTTCCTCTCCGCATTTTATGCGACGTTTCCTACATGCTAGAGTAGGTAGGTGAGTTCTACCAGTTCTGATAATGACTTTGCTCGGGGCTGAACGTACTCAGGCAACCCGTTTTGGTCCTTCTCCTTGGGCCTTTGACCTTCAGTGGAGGGACATTCTTTGGAGTTGGTTCAGGAGCTGGAATCGGGCTGCTAGCAGGAGAACTCTGCGCCTGTATTGGCGAATGTTGGTCTCCTCCATCCATTGTGCCAGGATTTCCGTGAAACGATCGAGAAGGGGAGGCAGAAGCGGAGAACAGTGATAAAACTGGAACAATGGGGACAAGTAAGATGCTTAAACTCTAAGGAAATCCATATAGAAAGTTCGATCTGTAGGGAATAAGAACGTAGAAAGTAGGAGATGACACCGATTGACAACAGGTCAGAGGAAAACTGAGAGGGAAGTTTCCAGGCAATTCAAACTAAAGAGAGAGGATGAAGAACGGTGTAAATGGAGCTTATAAATGAAAAGCGTTTGGCAGGTAGGAAATCAAGATAAATTAAGAATGCGGCGCTTTTTGAGTTCTCAATGCTGGAGATATCTCAGCGGGAGGCTTTGCATGCAATTGGAGGGGATTGGTAACGGCACATCTGATAGGCAGCCACTTCACCAATCGCAACCAACGGCAGGCTGACCAGTTCAGTAGAAACGGGGTCAACAAAATACAGACAGGGATGATATAAAGAAGCAGCTCCAGATCGACCAGAAACTGGGGAAGATACCACCTGCACGGAGACGGGAGAAAGCAATGCAAGGAGAGAATGTTTTATCTAGCTTCATGCCAGGGAGCTCGGGTAATCAGGCTGGCTGTCAATGAGCCAGAGCTATAAATAGGAATATGAGTTGGCCCTGTGGCTCTGGCATACATAATCCTCTGCTTCCAGTCAGGACTCAGAAGTCCAGGACGCAGAACGCTCAGGATGGCATCTCTCTGCGGGAGAGTTTCGAGCAGGAAGCGGCGGCAGCAGCCTCGGAGTCAGTCAGTGGTTGGGCGTGCAACGAAAGTTAAGATGGGTGACTAACTTGCAAATTAGCTTAAGTTAACTAGTTAAACTAGTTAAACTAGTTGCACAACTGATCAGCACGGGGTTCCACTAACTAACTCATCTAGTGGTTTGATGGAGACTTTCAAAAGGATTCATGTGTTTTATTTATTTATTACTTATTTATTTATTATTTATTATTTATATTTACCTTTATTTTTTTTATTTTTTATTTTTTTCAGCTTTCAAGTTCCAAACGGAGATCCTGTGTAATTATGTGACGGGTCGAGTAATATTATTATTAAATGGTGGGCAGTTAGGGAATCCGGGACAACGGTTAAATGGTCAGCTATGATTTATTGGGTAAACAGGTGTTGGATTAGTTAACTAACTAGTTAGTTAACGGCAGTTATTAATAAGGCCCTTTCTTTTTTAAACAGGGGGTGATTTTCAATGAAAAACAATACAAAACAAATCCACGACAGGCAGACATTTGAGATGGCATGCTTTTTGTGATTCTCCGCACAGTAACTCCAACGTGCTCTCAGGCTGATTTATGAAGGAGAGAGTGAGTTACCTTCTGGGCATCAGCATCTTATAATTCAATTTGAGACAACAAAAAGGTTTGATGGTTTTGCCTGTCCGTCCGTCCGGGTTTTCTCTCCATCAGCCTATTTCTCAAAGTTTGTATTTTATTATTATTATTATTATTATTATTATTATTATTGTTGTTGTTGTTGTTGTTACTATTACTATTACTACTACTACTAGTATTATTATTGATTACTTGCCTTTTGACTGAAGAACCAGATCGGCCGACTCAACCCCGGTCATAGAGAAACTGCAGGCAGAGTCTCCATCTCCAACAGTTACAAAGTCACCAACACATTGTCAACCTCTCAATGGATGATAGATTATCTTTTCATTTTTTTTTTTTTTTGATGATCAGGAAGTCAGTTACCCCATGCCAGATGGATTGCTCTCCAAATTCCAACCGTTTGGGTCCTCTCCTTCTTCTGGCTTCGGCTGGCTGATTGGCTTCAAAAAATCCCCCTTCCCATGTCTCACATCTAAATTCTAATGAGGCTCTGATAACAAACTTCGCTGATCCATTGAGCGGTCATTTTTGAGCCCTTACGCTTGGTTTCGTGTTTAACCAATTGCGTCCTAGGGTGCCCCCATTCCTCATTTCCTTTCATTTCCCCAATAGTCTGATTGATCCTTTTCCGAATCCGAAAGTCCTATCTTAGACATCCGGTCCATCCTATCGCAAACAGACAGGCAGAAAACTCATACCAAAACTCAGCTGAAGAACCGCAAAATTATGGACGTTGCACGAGGAAAAGGAAAAGGAGTTCAGACTGGTCCTGCATACAATGTGATCAGGCAGGGTGACTGACAGTGAGGTGCCAACTTTGCTACTGGAAGATGGCCGTGCCTTGCTATATAAGCATATTCAATTGTTAGTCCGTACATGGTTTTGCACTTATGCATGTCCCATGTACGGAGTATTGTACTATCAATCCACCAGGTCACCTATTTGTTATTTCATGATCCTTTTCAGTCAGGACGGCAAAATTGGGCAAGTCTGTTTCATCAAAATTGGGAAATCAATATGGATATATTAACTAATTACTTGCCCTTACCCTGACCATCTTTCTCCAGGTAGAGTAAACCTGGGATGTTATACGCTCATACAGACTATCACAATTAATCCGCCTCTCAAGATTCCAGCTCCCAGGCAGATGGATTAAATTTGATAGAAAACTAACTGGTTCCTCAACCTTCCCTTGTGCATACCTTTTTCATGTACATACATACATACATACTGTAGTTACTTCTCCGGGCTCAGACCCAGCGCACTCACTTGGTCGCTGGTACAAGAGGTAATTTTTCACTTTTCTCTCAGAGGCCCAATCCAAACCTTTCAACCAACCTTTTTCTGGGGTTCGACAGCGTCAGGGGTGGCCCATGTCGACTCCTTGGTTCCTCTTGACATGGATGGGAGCAACTTCGGCGATGACAGGAATCTGTGGCTTGAAATCAACGTGGGACTAGGGGATTTGCACAGATCTAGTAAATCCCGACCAACTTCCAACCCTCTAGCTGATAGCTTAATTAAGTTATTGTTATGTTCCCGCCGACTCGTTCGTATTGACCCATCGCATTCAAACGACGTGGCATGCAAAAGACAATATCCTGATTCTAACCCGACTCCTGAGATTTTATTTTTATTTTTTTTTTTTCTCGCAGAAAACTCCTTGTTTATTTGCTTTCAGAAGAACGCAAATTCTGCAAACCATTGTAAAAACTAACTCATTTTTAAAAGCCATTTGGTTTTGCGCCCAAGACGCAGTGCAATATACAATGCCCGCTCGCCGAAAGGCACGCTGAGCATCAAAATAATTCCTGTTCTACAAACTCTCCCGGCCATACTGGAGAAGTAAATCTTTTAGGTTGTGACGGATGGATTTGGGAAGCAATGGTGATAGTTTATCAATTATAAACCGAGTGGGTGACCAACCCTCTCCTCGTGTAGTATCGTCTGCATCGATGTCAAAACCGCACGTTTCCTGGTCAATTTGGCAGTGCTATAGTTATCGCCTGGGATTTTCGTCCCCGGATTCAGGGTTACCCATGCTATCTATAGAGAAATGTATTGATGATGACCCGGGAATCCCGGATCCTGGTTAAAGCTTTGAAATAATGCATGTGGCAGTGTCCGTGCAGAATAAGTCCATGACCATTCCGTCTCGACCCAACGTGCCACAAAGTATTAATGAGTGTTTATTTAGTTTAACAGGCTAACCAGGATGTCTTCTAATGCTGAGAATCAAAGTAGGTTTTTTTTTTTTTTTTTTTGCGACAAAATATTTACCTTGACGTCCGGGTATTAAAAGGGCGGTTCAACAGAGATTACTGGCGAAACCAATACTCAAAGAGTTTACAAACAATCGAGTTCAATTTACGAATGTCTGATTGCCGATATTTTTAGAGATTATTTTGATTTATTTTCCTAGGTGATCAGAGAAACTAGAAAATTAACTATTTCCAGGGGATTGATTATATAAAGTGGAGGACGGCGGTGTATACAAATGAAGGAAATCGTGTTAGTTCATATCCGTGCATGCATTTGTTTTTCCCCCTTCCTTCTTTTTCTTGTCATTTTGCAGCCTGTCCCTTTAAAATTCAGCCTTCAAGTACTCCAGCGGTACCTTGGGTAATTTATCAACCCCATCCAACAAAACAATTCCCATCCCCCCTGCGAAATGCGTCTGGATATGGCAGTGTAGCAAAAATGGCCCTGGATTAACCACATGATACCGAACCGCCACCCAGCCCGGGTTCAGTTTTGTACCAGGAGGTGATGTAAACCCATCGACAAACCGCGGTGTTTCTAGGTTGAAGAACTGCGGCATCTCTTTTATGGCGTCCTCAACAGTGTCCCAAGGAAACGGCCCTGTCCCCTTGCCAATCACATAAACTTTATTCGAATGCTTGTGGATCGGATGTGGAGGGTTGAATGTCCCGCCTGTTATAAGAATTAGATCCACCCATGTATCGTTTTTTGTTGGGAAGGTCAGGTTTCTATGCGATCCAAGCGGCCCATTGATGTCGAAGAGAACCGGCTTGATGCCTTGCGAAATGTTTAAAGAGGCTTCTCCGCTAACGGTCCAGCGAAATGCTGAGTCGAAGAATCCAAAGTTGAATTTGTAAGTTGTATCGGCCTTGGCGGCTGGTTTAGATGGGGGGAACGGGACGATCTTGTTCTCTTCAAGAGCGACAAAGTCTGCGGTTAAGTTGAGCCCGTTGTAGTCTATGGAAGGCTTGCTAGGCTTTCTGGGGTTGTTCGTATCTTGGCCTTTATATCGAAGCGTTCCAAACCCACTGACGATTTGGCTGCTTGCAACGTTGGCGGCACGTATGGTGTAGTCTCCGCGCGGCTTATCGAGCCTAACCAGTGCAGAAAATCTGTTGCCGTTGGCGATGGGAATTCCGTCAACGAGAACGGGATCGATGTAATGTCCATCCACCGCATACACCCACATTTTATGTTCATCGATGCTTAGCATGAAGGTAGCAATTGTTGCCGAGTTTATAAAGTTTAAGCTTGCCCAACCGTCAGCAGGGTCGACAGTAATAACCTCATGTTCTCCATGGCTTGGATGGCAATTGTAGAAAAGATCTTTGGGGACTTTCTCGGGAACAATTGGAAAATCACCAACGACAGAAGGCAAATAATACGGAAGACACCTTTAATAAAAAGTCAGCTTCTTCGTCTACCACCCTAATCGGCGTTTTATAGACAGACCCTTTATCCGTCAAAGTTTCATTTACCAGGAGCACTGATTGATCTTGTCTTGTCAATCTATTCACCTCATCTTGAGTCTTGCAAATGACCGATCCCTTCCCATTTATCAAGATGCTATCAGAACAGAAGTTATCAATCCCTGATTCTAACTCAACATTAAAATATTCTGCCGCAGTGAGATGATGCCAATCAGACAAAAATATCGGTATTGGTTTCAGTTCAGCCTTCTTGATACTCTGCAAGTCTTTTGCTGAACTGGAAATTTTCCCGAACGGCGCCAGCCGGTCCTTGGCCGGACGAATCACAATTGCCCCGAACAGGCCATCCGAGACCTGGCCATGTTCATGACCGTGGTACCAGTACGTGCCGTATTCGACAGCAGTCCACCGGTAGATAAAGCTTTTCCCTGGTTGGATAGCTCTTTGAGTAACATCAGGGACTCCGTCTGACCATGGTGTTCCTTTCTGGGAAATCCCATGAAAATGTATGGCTGTCGAAAATGGAAGCGAGTTCTTAACAACGACCTCGACCTTGTCGCCTTCTATGATATCTAGTTGAGGTCCTGGAAACTGGTTGTTGGTGAAAATCATTTGCCGCTCAACTCCGTCAGGAGAAGCAGTTATCCATGTGAGCTCAAGTTCGAATCGACGAACGCCAGGGGAATAGGGTTTGCATTGTCCGGCTAAGGCCGCTTGGGGCAGGAAAATAAACCAGGTAAGAAAAAACGAAAAAGATAAAAGCATTGTGGAAGTTGATCGCAAGAAAGCACGTGAATTCCTGTTAGGATTTCATGAAGTATCGGAGAGAGAACAACCAAGGGCGATGTGAAAGCATCCCGAATAAGGGACAAACCCGCAGGACTTATAGCAACATGACACGCTGTCAAAGTAGTAAAAGGGGATGAGAGGGCCCCTGTGAGAGTAGCAAGATTCATCTTATTAGCTTCGTATTCAACAAGACTGAACTCAGGTCCGCATTCTCAACGCGTCAGATCGATCACTAAACTCAGGCGTTCAGTCATGGCCACTTGGCGCGGACGGGCAAAAGGTAAACACATCGTTATCCTCTTCAGGTAGCAGAATTAGTTCAAAAGGCGTCATGAGGTGGTATCAGACCAGGCGCAAAACAATTTTAATCCGCCCCGGGGGGTTAAAAGGTGACATGAAGCGATATCTGGCCACGCGCAAACCAATTTTTATGCGCCCCGGGATTGCAGCCTGACAGCAGGGAGAAACGGTTCCTCCGCATATTTAGAGCAGCTGGGGCAAGACTAACACAACAAAAACGAGGGGAACCGCTGTTTGATTGACGATTGGTCCCCATTATTGGGACTAATAACCTGCAAGCTGATGGAAGAAGGGCAAGAATCAAGTGCGGCTCAGTTACTATCTTTTTCTGGGTAAACTCCATGGAGAAAGTTATGCTATTTGGGCCGTGTTGCAGTGGGACAAAATCCCGTTATATGACGGACAATTTTCCTGGGAAACGTTAGCGACTCGGAACCATAATCTTCGCTTTATCTCCAATTCACCTGCCGTCAAGAATATATTCCTACAGGAACTTGATCTTCCTTTTGTGTTGACAACTTACACCGAAGTCGAGCCGCACAATCCATCGTCCAACATAGTTATCACTTCGTTCATAGCCATAGCAGTATCATCTCTGGGATTTGATGATAGATGGAACACGCCATAACTATGCAGATGGCGCGGGTTGTGGTCATGGTGATCTCTACCAGCCATGAGGAGCGGGTCGACCGCGGCTGAAGTTGCGCATGGATCATCGGTGGGCAGCTTAGCACCATGGGGACCATTGTAGCGAGGGACCCTGAGTTCTAAATTTCGACCAAATTAGGCGTGGGAGTCAAACTAAATGGGGATATCAAATTCTCGAAGCTCATGATACTGGATATACTATCTATTCGGACTAAAATAATTAAAGGTGAGAATATGGCCTATGCGAGAGTGATGTGATGGAACAACTAAAATTAAGACAAAGAACAGAAACAGAGAAAATCAAGTGGTGAATTACACTGAACTCCCATATGGTCAAATGTGCGGTTCGTTGCTTGTCATGACATTGAGTTAACAGTCAATCGTGGTTTTAAGGTACTTTGGGTATTTTTTTTTGTTCGCGATCTGATAGGCATTGGAGCAGGCGGCGGCCGCCACTCCGAAAAATTCCACTCCATCCAATGTCATCTACTCCCTCCCAATAACCACATACAATTCATACAACATCCAAGACTTTGTCTCCTCGAGATTCTTTACCGCAGCTTCTTTCTGAAATGCAATTTGATCTAGAGAAAGGGCACGCCCGTCTTTGTCAGCTTCAAGGGAAGCATGGAGTACATGCTCAGCAACCTTAACGGTAGAAATGTTCATGATGTCTCTCCATTCAGGTTTATCCAAGGGAATGATATTTTCCTTGCATTCTCTGAGACCACATTTTTTGAAATTGGAGTAGAGCTCAGTCACGCTTCTGTTCGAACAGGGATGGACGAGGATGATACATCAGCATGTGCAAACCCGGAACACCGAGATTCTTAATGGTCAACTCACTGTCCCGATTCACCGTGAATACTCGCAGTCTTGGTTATGTGCTTAAAGAATTTATCCGCATCTTCCACGTTACAGCCGGGCTTGCCAGGTATGATGGTGCCTTTATGTATGGCAATATCAGTCCATTGCAAAAAGCCTCCCGGTCCTGTAACTCCATTAGCTTGACCAAGGCTTCATCCATGCAGCTGTTGTCAAAAGGCTAATCTCACGAAGAAGCTTTTTAAGGTTCCGGATCGCCAATTCCCACTCATTAACTTTCAGACCCATGACCAGCAGTTTGACATGGACAACATCATACTGTCCCAGAAAATTATCTGGAAAGGGTTCCAAGATATCCTGGACATAGTAGTTAATATCTGATGGGAATACGTCTCTATCCGGAACTTGGGCAAGCGAGATATCGAATCCGTCAAGCCTACAAGTTTTCGGCAGTAGCTTTGAAAGGTCCCGTAACCATATGCTTATATTTATACATCAGCAATTTGTTAGGATCCAGGGCTACACCGAATCTTTGCTTCGAGGTTAAGCGTAGGTTTTTACTATACCCTGTTCCTGTTCCGACATCGGCGATACGCATATTATCACGCTGGGGAATGTCAGGGTGTAGCAGAAATCCCATATTCTCATGGCAGGCCTGATGTTGCATATCCAGTCTGTAATCCGTCAGCTGGTGCAACAGATAACTTGAGGGAAGGCAGCGAACCGGTCGCTTTCCGCTTTGGTTCTTGTTATGAGATATCTCGAATCATGGCCAGCCGAAGCCATTGTCCAATGTGAGAGAGTGAGAGAGTGATTTGGGTGTGAGGTTTAGGAAAGGCGGGAAAAGGGGAATGGCAGATCGTCCGAAGTTGGTCTTCAAAAGGAAGAGCACGGTATCCTGTCATCACAATTCCGGGAATGCCCCATTCTAGTTATAGTTATATACTCTTCTTCCCTTATCTAATCGACAGTCCAATCAGCAGGAAACAGATTTGAAAGTTGCTCTTGTTTCTCTTGCTGGCGCACGGTGATACTTCCCTCTCCGTCAATTGGTCTGGGCTTGGGAGGCTAATAATTGTCAAGCATTGCAAATCCACTAACATCTGGACAATCAATCAAAGTCTCCAAGAGCGTGACTAAATATTAGCGAGTGAGACCTGTCGAACCGACTTACATTAGTGTGGAAAAGAATACCACTCTCAGCGGAATCGGAAGGCATTTTTTAATCCCTCAGAACCTGCATTCAACGACAAAATGTGCGTGAGATTTCCCCCGCCCAGGAACTTTATTTCGTAAGGACAATCCCATTGTCAAAGTCCACAGAGCTATTTATGCACTGCAGATAGAAACAAATGACCATGTCAATAAGCCCTTATTTTGTCGTAGACATACATACACGCACACCCACACAGAATGTCTTCCAAAAGTTGCCGACATCGCATTGGACTTGTCAGCCCACGGAGAAATTCCCCATCCACTCCTGCCGACTCACTGCTTTGTCGTTTGGGATTCGGTAAATGCCATGGGTGCCTCGTATTTTTCAGACAATCTAGGTACTTCGTACGTAGCACGCATTTGTTGAGACGAATAATTAACATGAAGCAAGGGCTCATATCAGCAGCGTCACTAGGATACCCTTGGTCGGGAAATGTAAATCTAGCATGCAGATATAATGGAAGAAGCACTTCGAAGAATGAACAATGAAATTTGCCCGCCTAGATTCCCGTCAGCTTGTAAGTTCTAGGAAAGTTATAGAAGATTGCGCAAACAACGTATGGATGGAGTTGCTGAATTTAGATAACCAAATGCATCCATGAGATATTTAAAAGGCATTGACGCTACCTATTTTGTCATTTGCAAGGCAGAGCACGAACAGGGGATGGACGTGGTTGTTGACGATGACGATGACGACGACGATGATGGTGTTTCTCTTTTCCTTTCCTTCCGCACACTCTTTTACTTTTGTTATGTGATTATGCTGTGGCTAGCGGATAGAGTATGGCATTTTCGGCATCAATCCGATAGAAGGCCAGGGCCATCTGCTCAATAAATACAGCGCTCTGACTGCCAGCTGTGACTTCCAGGGTTCGAACTTGTCCGATTTCGAGTACGCTGGGACTGACCGCAACTGTTCATGAAGTGCTGGTGCAACGGCTTGAAGAACCAGCAAATGAATTGCAGTCACATATGGTAGCGCATGCCTGCGGGCGGTTATAGTGAACTTGTCAGCTTCAGTCTCGCCCAAGGGATATGCAACCACTGGATGGAAAATGTTGGGGTTTTAGCCAGATGCGGACAAGAAAAAATAAGAATTGACAAAAGTGGATCGACAGCAATGGCGTCATTGGAGAAACCCCTAGGACAGGCTTTTTCCCATAAATAATTGTCCCTGCTGGGACCCATTAAACGTTCAAACGTCATCTGGGGGTGAGGAATAACTGAAACGAATGACAGCTTCGGAGAAACCACTTTAACATGTATTATTATTTCTTCATTGGGTTTCCCAAAGGGTGTATTCTGAGGCCCATTGAAGTCTGCTAGTTCCCTTGATTTCCCAATTACCCGAAGATCCTATTTCATATATGATTAATAAAGGTACCCAGAAACATACTTTCAAGTAAAATCCAGGAACCACACATGCCTGAGAGCAAATGGCTAGAACTTCTAGCAACCAGCTGACAACTGCTGTTTATTATTGGACGGAATGTTATTTTCCCCTATGTCTGGCAGGATTCAAAAACTCCCAATGTGTAACCGGAGAGGACAGAAACACACGTGCGGGTTATTATTAGAAAACGGGCATTTCTTTTTGAAACTGAGACTTTCTGGAGGTACAATGGATCTTTTAAGCGATCTCCTTTTTGTATCTAAAATGTGGTAAAACGTGGTATCAAAGTATTGAATCACTCGGATATTATTATATTGATGTTGATCAGGAAATCGAGAGTTATTGACGTGGAGACTTGCAATTCCAACGTTCAACAAAAGTTAGGAAATTTCGAAGATAGTTTGATTTCTTAATCCCAATGACGGGGAAGTGAAGTAAATTCTCTGCTTTGTGAAGAATGAGAAGTTAGTAATTTTTTACAGATTTAGAGAGGTTACATACGGATTGATACATACTTTAATTACATATTGACTATACTTTATAGAAAGGGGAAACAAAAGAAAAAGGAAGAAATCATATCTAACTGTTCCAGCGTGATAGATACTTGGTGCGCCATGACTCGGTATTATTGGGTGGCCCCGATGTGCTCTTTTTCCTGCTAGGGGCTCCGGAGATCATAAATTCCATTGACTGGTTGTGTGAAACTGATGATGGTACGGCGCTAGGCTCATTTGAGATTTCTATTACTGTAGTCTGATTCACTTGGCCAAGGTCAGCGAGTTCAACAGGGTCGATGATATGGTCCGTTGAACTCGAGGTCGATTGTCGGCTTCGTGCGTTTCTGATAGCGTTGGTGTCCTGTTTAACTGTGGTATTCTCTTTAACCCACTTTCCTCTTCCTCCTCCGATGGTTGATGGTGCATTTGCATAGCCAGTGGTCCGTCGCTGGCTGCTAGTCGTCCCGGCAACAGTTTGGAGATCGGTTTCGACAAGACGTCGTCGTGTGAAAAAGTACAAAATCGCGTCAACCCACCCAGAGCACATCATCATACCGCCAGCAATATGGAAGTAGGTGGATCCAGCATTAAGGCCGCGCATCATAGCCATTAGGCCGGCAGCAATCGGAAGGGAGAGAACAACATAGGCTATAGGGTACATTATCATTATTCTTAACACCCTGTTGAATCTTTGTCGAGTTGGATTTTTTGTTCCTCGGAATTCTTTTGACTTGTTGATTCGGCGACGGACGATGATAAATATAGCCGCGTACACAAGGACGACGCCAAATTCAGCGATGAAAACCCAGAGATAATGTAAATAGAGACGTTCTTTTTCATACAGACTATCGATCCAGCACTAGGTAATTCGATGTCAGTTAGATTTGAACCTGAGTATTGGGCAAGCACAAAAAGTGCGGGAACTGGGATCTTACCCAGCCGCCACCTGGGCGAAACACATTCTGTCCACGAACCGCTGCACCAGCAATAGCGAGAGTCACACAGAATGTCCATAGCACAATGACACAAGCCACAAAGGTTCGATGTTCCAAGTGTTTTCTCGTGATAACGACGGTAAAGGTATGGAGAGCAATAGCCAGAATAAAAAGACCACTGGAAATATCACCAATAGTGGTCAGCCAACCCTGGAAAAAGCATGCGGTTGTCCGGGCTGGCATTGCATCGAGAGAGAGCCAGTAGGGAGCTATTAAGAAGGAGCCTGCTTGCTGCATGTCTGCGAGCAAAAGATTGAAAATCAAGACTATGCATTGATTGTATCCCGGGTATCTCGTGTAGTACCGTTTCCAGAAGATGAATCGATAGGTGAGCCATACCAGCGTGCTAAAAGTGGCAATTGCCGAAACCAAGGCGCAAGTGAAGAGGACGATGAGTCCTTTACGAGCCCCCCCAACGAACGGACGTTGGGGACTCTCGTCGCGAGGCATCAGTTGCACCGAGGTGCTGAGTAGGTAGCCGACCAAAGCCATTGGAACAGCAGTCTTTGTTTCCAGTTGCCTCAGATTAGGTGTCCATCGGTTGTTAGATTTATATATCAAGATAAAAACAAGACGGAATTTGCCGCCCTTTTAGCGACATTGGAGGAGGCAACGAATTGGCAGAACATTCCTTCTGCACATATTCCGTGGCTTGTCATGAGGGGGAAATGGACAGGCCGGGGCTGTAGAAATTTTGTGTTCCGGCGACCTAGAATTCGCAATATGTCTGTGCATTTGAGAGGAGAGGGGGAAACTAAGGGTCACCCCTTGGCCACGTAAAGTTAAAGCTGGACTTCCGGAGAAAGATGGGGTATGTCGTAGCTTCGTATTTTGACTTCGATGAATCCTTCAAGGACCCCAAGGGGTCAGCGTTTCGGCCCTTTCGATCAACCCTGCTCTTGGTATTTTCCGTCCCTCTTTTAGGCGCTCGGATGGTGGTAAGATGTGGGACAATGAGGCAGTAAACGTATGGAGGTTGAGGGAAAGGGGATTTGTGCACTCATCGGCACGGGAACTTGTCTCAGGCGAAACGATATTTGTGATGGACAACCGCCTTATGGCTCAGAGGCCTCTACCGGCGGTCGAATACTTCATGTTCTTGGGTCGATCCAACACTTATTAGTGCCTCCAAGGCGTGCCTGTCCAGGTGAAGAGGCCTCTATTCGGAGTGCTCATGGGACTTAATAGTCAAATGCTTTAATGAAAGTAGCGCAGAGATTTATGAACCAATTCCCAAGCTGTTTCGGACGGGCACAACTCGTTCACAGAGACACATGCCAGAAACTAGACCATCGCATGTACTAGATGTGCCTATTCAAGTTTAGCTTCCCCGCATTTATTATCACCCTAGGCATCGACAAAGTCAAATTTCCCGGCTAAACAACGTGGGAATTCTTCAAAGTTCCAAGGTTTTGACGGCACTCAGACGTTGCACCATGCGAAATCATTTGGCGCTTGTATCGCCGCTTCTGAAGCTAGTTATCTCCTTTGCTGCACTTTTTTTGGCTCTCCACGTTAATTAGACCAATCGGGCCAGAAATGGCAAATAATAGTGATGGATAGAATCGGTCCTGGAAAACCGGAAAATTGCTGACCAAAAATATGTATGCATGTATGATCACGCCAGACGCCAGAGGTAAAAATGATGGTTTTGCTTCAGGCTGGCAGCAAACCTCGAGGCAACCGTCAAGCCTTATATTATGTCATTTGGATTCTGGAAACTGGGGCATTCGTAGGGACAGATTCACGCACAGAATAGTTAGTAATGTACGCATGTATGTTTGTGTTCTGCTGTGCATGCCTTTTGCGGCTGCTCGAAATCCTTCATGGCAATTAATGAACCAATATTCGCCAACAACCAGCCGTAGCGTGGTCAACCACAGCTCAATATGGTCTCGCCAGAGGACTCTCATAAGCCTACACAAGGCGATAGATATGTTCCTGACCACACGCACAGAATGGGGCCGAAAATTTGCCATTTAGGATTTATCCGAGGCTCTAGCCCAGCCCAGCCCAAAGCCTGCTCATGTCTGAAGATGTGCCTGATAACGTGTAAGTTAAATCTTATAACTCGATTCATTTGTTGAAAGAACGAACCGTCCGCTGCCAGTTTCGCCAGATCCCCCACATAAATATCCAGGAACCATGGATGCGGGTTATTGGTTGTCGGGCCTGAGATCCCACCAAACCAGCGGTTTCATGGAGGCTTCCAGATTGCTTTTCGCTCCTCCGAACCACTGGCAGGCAATGGGCAGTTGGGCTTAATCTGGTTGTCTCGGCGACTCCACTCAAGAAAGGGCAGAATGTAGTTGAAGCCGCTTGAAAGTTTCTCGTAAGGTTTTCCGCCATTCTCGTAACTGTTACCTACTGACAACATACTTCCTTACAACTAACTGATTTGTGCATATACAGCTGTTGGAATTAGTTAATAGAGTGGACTTGAACACAGTTCAAGTTGGCAGCACGAAGGATGAGATAACTTCCCCGGTGTCATCAACAAACGAAGCGGCGTCAATAAATATCTAAAATTGAGCGAAGAAGCTTAGTTGTTCCAACTTCTAGAAGACTGGTTGGACCCAACAAACTGTTCGCAGTAGTTATTCCGGCAAGTTCCAAGGCCACAATCTTGGAGACGGGAATCAACCAACAACGCCCAATCACCCTGTACTCGCATCCACATTGAATCCATCTTCCCAAATTATCGTCACCTAGCGAAGTTGCGAAGGAGAGCTAAAACTTCCGTCTCTGGAGTCTAGAGGACTCCCTCAAAAAAATAAACATAAAAATAAACATAAAAAAAAAAAAAAAAAACCCCTTTAGAAAAGGAGCATTTTGGCGCAGCCCGCTGCAACCTGTCTGACAAACTCAAGTATCCGCCTTAGCACTTGAATTGGTGTGTCGATTTTGTCCTTGACTCGGATCGTTATGCGAGACTGCCTTGGCGATTAGAGGCACCCATAGCCGACGCCAAACCCCACAGGAAAGGATGGACCGTTGACAAACCCCTGGGCCTGGACTGGAGGCTTACTCTGCTCAAGCCCCATAGAATCAGCGGGCACAAGTTGGATTGTCCAGGGTTCTTCAGAATCTTGAGATGGCGATAAACTCTCTTGCAATGTAGGATTCTGTGCATATATAACTATCGAGCACACTGCAAAAAGCGGCCCATCCATTAAAGATATTTTATAGTCGTGCAAAAAAAAAAAGAAGGCTATCTCTTCAGTTCAAAAAAGTGGCTTTCGCGGAATCACGGGTAGTTATCGAAGAAGCCACAGCCACATGAACGAAGCACGCACAGGAAGAGCAGAAGTGTTCGTTAGACTGTTGAGAATGCCAGATTGAGTTCTTACGGCGCTTCGACGCAACCAACCGACTTGCAAAAATGCTGGCGGGTTGTTTGCATGGTTGTTAATAATCAGATCTTCAAAGATTATTCCTCTTCTAAGCAGCAAAATAGGTCTTTACCGAAGCACCAACAACTAGTTAAATTAATATTTAACTGCAGTACCTAGGTGGGGAATCGAACTCCGTAATACGGCGGATCCATTCGACTTCAGGATTTTTGCCAACAGATATTTAGTACTTGACTAAGTAATAGTGGTGGTAATGATAACTTAACAACCCTTTTGGAGTGGTTCGAATCCGCAGAGCCAACATGTTTTCCGGTGTTCGCGATTGAGACAGGAGCATGACAGGGATACAACAGTTCTTTTCAAAGCTAGAGCAATGAATGGAAGTACTTTTCAACTCAGCAAACTTTCATGATATGTTATTCTGATGGGTTTTTGCTCTTGCCCTAAATAATAGTTACATTAGACAGCAAACTAGTTACTCCAGAGATCGATGCATGCTCCAAACTCTGTGATCTGCAAGATGATTTCCCAGGGTCTCGGTCGGCCTGTGCATAACCATGTTAACTTCTAATGAACGCAAAAATGGAAGAATTGAATGGACTTCGATTCCTAAGAGCCGCTGAGATAGGAGTTGAATCGCCAGGAGACTCCCAACAGCCACAGAGGATTTTAGAGTGTACCTTGTCGCGCTAGTTAACTACATAAAACGAGTAGATAACTACTAGACAGAAACAGGCACTTTAAAATTCCACGCACTCGAACTCCTGCTTTAGTCATTAACCTCAGCGGTTCAACAAGGTAATATGTCTGTACATGGACATTCCCCGTCTTCAAAAATAATGGTCACTTCATGTTATTTCAGGGCGGGGAGCGTGCTGTGGTGTGCTGTTGCGTTGCTTGCAAGAGTTATTAAATTCCTACAACAACCGGACAATGTTGCTATCCCCAAATCAGCAACGCTCGACAAAAATACCATGTCCTCTCGAACACACCATTTCGACCTAGCCTCACCTTGGGTGCAGGGGGGTCTTGGTCCTCGGATACGTGCATTGCAGTTAACTCGCTGTGATGTTTTCCACATTTTTGATTCCCCTCCTTGGAGTTTCCTCCGCATCTTCCCTTGATCAAAGCGTTCAAACCCCTGTGCTTCAAAATCGTATGCAAAACCTTGAAATTTGTGGCCCTTCGGAATAGTAACTACACATCCAGTAATTCCCACATAATGGCAGAAATCGAGACTCCTGACGTAGACGCGGAGGAACAACACCGAGAAGATCAAGTTACTGTTGATCCTGGGGTAAGGAAGGGAATTCCCCTTCTTTTTGCTTCCGTGTTTTTGGATCAAGCAATTTTGTTGACTCTCTACAGATTGAGGACACAGATTCTGCCTATGGGGATGAATTGTGAGCGAACCCTTCCCGCCCGCTTTTCTATTAAAGTGGAGCGAGATACATGTGCTGACCAACCATGATAAGATCTATCTATACTGCGTCTGTAACATCGAGCGTTACTGACTTCCAAAAGTGTGTTGCCCCGCAGGGCGTTATTAGCGTTTAACTGTTGAGGCAAAAGTGTTGTATTGACAAGTAGATAGTGAAAACGGCATGAACCCTGATAAGATCGCTCAACACCGCTTAGATACATCGGAGACTAATGCCTCTCCGCAGGTAGAAGATACCATGCGTCTAAGGAGGGACGTGAGTTTATCTTCTTTCTTGCCCCTAGGTCTTTTAAGGAAGAACAGCATTGATTCACTTATTTGACACCATGTTAGGCTATCTCCTTCCCAATGATGAACAGGAGAATGATCGCCTTGATATGCATCATGCGCTTATCCGTGCTACGCTGAAGGAGAAGCTATATCTGGCTCCCATAAGAGATGCTCCAGGTCGAGTAATTGATATCTGCACCGGAACTGGTATCTGGGCAATCGAGTTTGGTGTGCTTCCATTCACGTCTTGTGCAGACAAGCTGTGCTAACCGATGGACTTTCTTTCAAGCCGATTTGTTTCCATCTGCTGAAGTACAGTTCTTTCCATGTGATGGGCCATTATTCCAACTTTGTTAAAGTCTTACAAAAAAAATTTTCAACAGGTCCTCGGAAATGACCTCAGCCCTATTCAACCCAAACTGTTTGTCACCGCATCTTGTCAACAACCCATATTTCTCTTATATAAGTTCCATTCTGACATGTAGAGCAAAAGGGTCCCCCCAAATGTGAAGTTCCTAATCGATGATGTCGAAGATGAATGGGGATACGAGAATGTGCCATTTGATTTCACTCATGCTCGTTACCTCACTGGGGCCATCAAAAATATGCCGCGACTACTGGAACAATGCTACTCCTATGATTAGATCCTTCTCACCACAACCTGCAACACCTATTGCTGACAATTGTTACCACAGCTGCCTCAAACCGGGAGGATGGGTTGAATTCCAAGATTGGGATGCAATGATGCAATCTGCGGACGGTACAGGGAAAGGCAGCTACATTGAGCAGTATATTACCAGAACGCTTGCTGCCTTTGAGAAAGCTGGCTACATCGTACGACCAGGCATATTTCTAGAGAAATGGATGAAGGATACAGGATTTGTTAATGTCAAGGTTACTAAGTTTATTGTCCCGCTTGGAGCATGGGCTAAGGATAAGCATTACGTGATTTATTTCCTCATCAGTATTGACATGTGGGCTAAAACTCTGTGCCTTTTATTTATAAACGGCTTGGTGCCTGTAACCTTCTCCAGTTCGAGCAGACCCTGGAAGCGAGCGCGATGGCTGCATTAACACGTATCGAAAACTGGACCAAGGAAGAAGTCGACTTTCTTATCGCAAAGACAAAGAATGATGCAAGAAACCCGAAGATCCATTCTGAATTTCATTTGTATGTGATATACCCTCAAATTTTGTTTGTCCTTAACAATGATTTAATCGGATGATTGTCCTGCGCTGATTGGAGCTCTAACCCCCACCTCATTTCTATAGCTACGTTGTGTGTGGGCAGAAACCGGAGTAAACATTGACACATTGGCTTGTTTAAGCTGCATAACTAGAGGGAAGATGAGCTGTGGTGTTTGTCATTTCAGCTCTATGTACGCATGCATGGATTGTACTATGCCATGCTTTCATTGTTTTCAGGAGAAAGGCGTGAGGGAGAAAGTGCTTTTTATCATTCTTTTCTGCAACCAACAATTGTTTTTATACGAATTGTAATTCAAAGCACAGATTGACGCAGATATGAATATTATGCAAACAATCAGAACACCGGTATATTTTTAAAACATGTTTCCCACATGAGCGTGATGGGAGTTATCTATGGAAGTAATCCTTCGAAAAAATACGGAGCATTTATGTGATTCTCTATATTTTATCTCCCTGTGGAAGAGCTCCCGCATGATGATGTTGGGATGCGGCATTCTTTGGCGGATTTGGTGGCCAAAAGCTGCAGAAGGACCACATCAAATCCGATCCATTTAATCCATTTCATGCATGAGGTCACCCTGGAATTAGAATCTGATGTTCGCCTATTAAATCTATAGAACGAGACTGTAACTAGTTAACTAACGTAATCCACAAGCGAGCGGGCCACCCAAGCGAGCGGGCCACCAAAATCACCGTATAGTAATTAAGTAGATTTTAACCCAAAATACTCACACTCAACAACCCCTAATTAAATTAAATTATAGTACAATAGGACTAGGGCAGCTTCTTCTTGTATGCCCTACAATATGGCAGTTTGAACATGTTGGTGGCGCCCGTGAACATGGTGCTGGCTCTGGAGCAGCAGGATCAGGGGGTTGAATGACGGGCTGTTCAGCAGGCTCAACAGGTGGAATAATAAGATTCTGAGCCTCTTCCCTAGTTAGGCCTCCTTCGCGTGTAATTCTGCGATTAGATCTCTTGCGTTTTTGCTTCTCTTTCTCATTGGCATTGAATATATCCTGGTATTGCTTCTTCATAATGGTGGCACTGACCATCCCGTATTCGCAGGCCTTGATAATTTGGTCAAATCCTTCCACCAAGCCCTGAGGTGAGCTCTCAAGCCTCTCCCCCATGAGATTCTTGACCTTATTCACCTGTCTATGCAACTGACGCGGGTTGCTAGGTGTTTGTAGGATCCAGGATGACCCTGAGTTGCTAGATTGGCTGGCTGGGGGGGTAGGGGTTCGGAGCTGAATGTTGAGTTGTTGAAGAACTTGATCTGGATCAAATGGGGTTATTCCAGTAGCTATAAAGCCACTTTGAATATTCTGAGACTTGAAGGCCTCTGCGCGGGCTGCAGGATAGGCATCTAGGAAGTCTCCCTTCTTGATGGTGTTGAATCCAAGCCGCATTCGCTGTTCAACCAGACCCCCATAGGCCCGCTTTAACACCGCAAAAACGCTCACATCTAGAGGCTGCAAGAGATGGGATGAATGTGCAGGCATGCACAATGGAATAATCCTATTCTCCTTGCAGATATGGTCAAATTCAGGGGTAAGATGGCTGCCGTGCCCGTCCAGGATAAGAAGTAGATGAGTGCCAACCCTGCGTGGATTTACAGCTGGAATAAACAGCCTAGTAAGCCATCTGATTCCTATCTCATCTGTGGTCCAGCCATTAGAGCTAACATCAAGTCTCCAGCCATCTGGAAGCCCATCGAACCAGCCTTCCTGTAGATTCTGACCCTTAAGGATAATGTAGGGGGGTAGGGCCCATCCTGACGCGTTGACTGACTCGATCGTGGTGACCCATTCACGATTTCCAGCCTGTAGAAGCTTTGCCCGGCTGTAGCGCTCAGCACTGGTAATGACCTTAGTTGTTGCGCAGAGGCCCATTGCAAATCCAGTCTCATCAAAGTTGTAGATATCCTCAGCCAGGATCCCATGCTCAGCAATTGTATCCCCTAGAATCTTAAACCACTCCTGAATAACCTTCCTATCCTCACATTTTGCTCGTTCATGGTTACAGCGTCTGGAATAGCGGCATTGAAGCTCCGTACGGCGTGTAATCAGGTTTGACACCCAGTTCTTGCCAACGTGGGAGGGTGTGGTTGGTGTAGAGCGAAGGGTAAGAAGATGATTAGCCATATTCTCAACAAACGCCGGCCGGGGGGGTAATCCTCGTTTAGCTAGATCTAGCACCCATTCAACTAGCAGATTCTCTTCAGCTTCAGTCAATTTGATTGAATTTGCGCGTAAATTCACCCGTGCAGGTCGACCGCTCAGTCGATAACCTAGAGTTGTACGTGACACATTGAAATGACGTGCAGCTTCACGAATTGAGGTTATTTCTTGCTTTTTAATAGCAGATATCGCGAGTTCAAGTCTTCCCTCTATCTCTATAGAGTCTCTTGCTTTTTTTTTGCGAATTGGTGGCATAATCACGCGTTCAAGTGGTTGAGTAGTTAAAGTAGAAGGATTTTGAATTTGGTGGCCCGCTCGCTTGGGTGGCCCGCTCGCTTGTGGATTACGTTAATTAGTTTACCTGCCAGCCTAATGACTCAGCGCCAAGATTCTTAAGCTCGTCAAACGTTGAGCTTTGAAGGAAAAACATATTTACTCCTCTAAACAGTCTATTTTTCCGGTTCATTCCCGGCAATATTTTATGCGGGCCTACATACCCCAAACGTAATCATGTTTGCAGTCCCTGGATGGTCTATTTCGAATACAGAGTTAAAGCTACAAACAGAGTATAAAGCGAAACAACAGCAAGAACCCTCTCCTCAAGTACAAGATGGTGCAGCAGATCCAGATTCCCAATCTAAGAAGCGGAAAAGAGCTCAAGGGAAAAAACTCAATGACCAAAAGGTTACCAAGGCGAATGTGGATGAGATGTGGAGGAGAGTTATTGAAGGAGAGACACCCAGTTCTAGAAAAAAGAATGCTGCGCGAACTAAAAAGGAGATGAAGAAGCGGAGGAAATTGGCGAAATCTGCAGACGGCAGAGCTGTCCAGGAAGTTTGGGATGCGGGGAATGAAACGGGAGAGTTGAAAGAGGATTCTAACGTTACACCTGCGGCCGAAGCAGCAGCAGAAATACCGGCTAGTACTCCTGCTGCGTCCAGGAAGAGCAAGAAACAAAAGAGAAAATCGAATGATAACCAGCAACAAAATGTGACCACTGCGACACCCCCATTGCCAGCAGCAAACTCATTACCCTCTCCCCCACCTCCTCCTCCGGCATCCACATCTCTCACACGTTTGCAGCAATCCATGCGCCAAAAGCTCCTCTCGGCCCGATTCCGCCACCTCAATCAGACCCTGTACACCACGACATCCAACGAAGCTATGGAACTTTTCACCTCCAATCCAGAGCTCTTCGCAGAATACCATGCAGGATTTACCCGGCAGGTGCAAGAATCATGGCCCTCCAACCCCATCGATGGCTACATCAATGCAGTCAAGACGCGCGGCGCCATCCCCCCCCCTAATCAGAGAGGTAGTGGTCGAAAGCCGGACAAAAATGAACTACGAACTGCTGCTCTGGGTCCCTTACCTAGACGACCCCACGGGCTATGCACCATAGCAGACCTGGGCTGTGGTGATGCTAAGCTAGCACGGGTTCTCACACCGTCCGCTAAAGCTTTGAATCTGAGGCTCCTCAGTTTTGATCTGCATGTGGCTGATCCACTGATTACGAAGGCGGATATTTCGGCGCTGTCGGTTGCGGATGGGACGGTTGATGTGGCCATTTTCTGTCTTAGTTTGATGGGGACGAATTGGGTGTCGTTTGTTGAGGAGGCGTGGCGGGTGCTTAGGGGAGATGGAAAAGGGGAGTGCTGGGTTAGTGAGGTGAAAAGTCGGTTTGGGAAAGTTGTTAGGAGGACTAAAATCGGACAGAGGGTGGATGGAGCCGGGGCTGTGGCTGGAAAGAAGGACAAGAAGAAAAAGAAAAGTAAAAGCAACGATAAGGCTGATGAGGATGTTGACGAGGAGGAGATTTTTGCAGAGGATCAGGTCAATAAGGGCCCTAACTCGGAGGATGAGACTGATATATCTGCGTTTGTGGAAGTGTTTAGGACTCGTGGATTTGTGCTAAAGCAGGAATCTGTTGATAAATCAAACAAGATGTTTGTCAAGATGGAGTTTGTGAAGCATGGGCATCCTACGAAGGGCAAGTGGGCTGTTGACCCGAACGATGCCAAGTCTGGGAAGAAGAAATTCATTGAACTTGACGATGGCAAGGGACTGACTCCTGAAGAGGAGAGTAAGGTGCTGAAACCGTGTGTATATAAGATCAGATAGATGTCCAATTATAGTAAGCCATCAAAGTATATGTAATTGCTCTCGGTAGTATCACCAGTCCACACAACTACACTGGGAATTAGGGAGGTCTTTATAATTTTAATATCTTAAGTCCTCGTGGATGTCTGGTTTAATCGCTAAATATCACTGAGCTCCTGACTGCTAATTTCCTCCCAAAGTCGAAACAACCCGTCCCATCTCCTCCTCCCCGTAAATGCGGAATCCCAAATCCTTGGTCACGCTGGCCAGCTGCACATTCTTAGCATCCAGCTTCTCCTCCATCACCTGTTTCAAGGTTTTCAGCACAAGGGTCTCGGCTTCCGCAAGGGAAAGGGATCTGTGGTATTCGGTTTGGAGCTCCGCCTGCGCGCCTTCGCTCCCAGAGCCAATAGCTTTGGCATCGTATCGGTAGAAAGTGCCCGACGGCTCCGCATGGTATCTACAGGATGGTCATTAGTGTCTGTATATCTGCAAATAGGGCCTTGTAATATCCCCCGTCACCCCCCCAAATCCGCATCCCAGAATAGAAGATACTCCCATACAATTGTGGCCCATCCTCATCATAACCCGCAATGAGCAGCGCGACACCAAATGGTCTGCTCATTACACTCTCCTCACCATCAGCTCCCTCGCCGAATCTCAGCGCCAAGTCGCATATAGCCTGCGTACAGCTCTCAACTCTGAGAGGCTCTGAATAGTTAAATGCGTGATTTTGGCTCTCGACACGTGCATGTTCGACCATCGACCGGGCATCAGCCTGCAAACCAGACATTGCACAACCGATATGTCGGTCTATTTCGACGATCTTCTCTACAGATGATGTTTCCAGGAGAGTGGAGGTTACCCGCTTTTCGACACCCAATACGACCCCTTCTGAAGTTGCGACCTGAATAGTCCCAAGGGGGTATGTCAGAGATAAGATGCAGGTAATTTATATAAAGACGGGATTCCATATGGTTGGCAAAACGTACTCCGATTGCTGTTGACCCTAATTTTATCGCTTCGAGAGAGTATTCGACTTGGAAGAGACGACCTTCCGGCGAGAAGGTACTGTTAGGCGATAGATGAGTAAAGATTGACCTCCCAAGAGTAATTTCAACGGCATCGCTAGGTAGGCTCACTTGATACCACGGTCTTGGGGTACCTGCTAGTCAATATCGCAACAAATACATGGGGTTTCTGTAGGTCCTAGCTTACCATATTCTGACCGCGCGATAAACATGTTGGAGGAGCGGTATGTAAACGAAAGGGAAAATTAGAAAAGTTAATAAACCGACGAGAAGAATGGAATACAGAATATTGTATATCTGCAAAGAGAGTGTCTATATCCCAACGTTGCAGAGTGTTAACGTTGTCCACAGCTGTCTTGTCTTGTAGTTGAGTGAACTTAAAGCAGCTCCCGCGTTCGGTTTGGCTTACCTAAAAGCTCACTCAGGTGCCTGGAAGATCGCACGCTAACCCCAAAAGGGAGATAGAACAACTTTCCCTGATCAATAGCTATTCGAACCCCTCGACAACTCTGTATACACTACAACAAACAAGGAACGGCTGCAGAAGAGTACGTTTCATTTCCTTCTGCTTCCCCAAGCTGAATTGGAAGCGTGCCATGACGGGGAATTATGAATTCTCCTTCTCCTTCGACTGTGAAGCCAACTCCATCTGATGAACGATCGTCCACACATACAACCAGTTCTCGATCACGCGTTACTTCTTCAGGTCGCGTTAATGGGAAACGCACGCGGCATGGTCAGTCCGTGCCGGACGGCAAAATGCCAACTTCACGAGAAGGAACCCCAGGAGTGAGTCGTTCAAGCAGAGAATATAACTCAAGTGAAGTGCGCACCGAGAGGACGCAGGTCACAACCAGAGAAACTGTCCAGGTCAGGTCGAAGAAACCCACGACCAGTTCAACAGCAACACCAAAAAGAGATTGGGAAAGGGAGAAATCAAGAATGAAAAAATCTAGTCAACATGAGGTTTCTATTCCAGCTGCTAGGTCGAGAAAAGAGAAGGAAGTTGAAAAGGAGCTATCAGATGGTCAGTCATTATGTGCTTTTATCCAAAAATGAAGGTGGATACCCCGTATATAACTTCGGGGTTGAGGTTGAGGTTGAGGTTGAGACTGATATGGTTCCATTTCTAATATAGTGCCCTGGGAACCGCAAGCAACTCTAACTCCCCACTCAACCGCCCCCCTCGCTAGTCGTGTGTCTGTATCCCCCCTATCGTCACTGGCCCCGCAATCACTGCGCCCACCTCCTCTCCGAGAACTAAGCATGGAGGCTCAGGAGGCTGCAATACTCGAAGATCTTCTCTTTGTTTTTATGGGCTATGAAGGCCAATATATCCACTTTGTCAACTCATATAACCCATCTGAGGAAACAGATCGCTTAATCGGACCATCTTTTCAGGTCGAACCAGGCCTTGAGCCGAGCTTGAAGGACCTTACTCTTTCCATGCTGAAGATGGCCACCCACTACAGCGCTATGGAGGCTTTTGTAGAAGTTCAGAGCAGAGCAGAATTTGGCGCTGTCAACCACGCTCTTTGCGCGGCAATACGCAAACTACTAAAGGACTATCTTATTCTGATCGCGCAGTTAGAAAACCAAATGCTCAATAATCATAATTTTACATTGCATGTTCTCCACCTCCATATCATGCCAACCAGTCAAAGTATGGTACAGCTATACGCGCTCGGGCAAGAGTTGTTGAAGAAAAACTCGCTTCTGGTTCAGGAAACGGATGAATCAGTTGATGATTTTGATGATGTGGAAAATATCCTTGAACAACTGAGAGAAGGGGGAGAATTAGCTCCCGGCAGCATGTCCAAAAAGCTCTGCAAGGGTGGTAATGTCTTGAGAGTACTAACCCAGCGACTTGCGACTTTCTCAGGTGACCCGACTACCGGGACATTACTTCAGACCCTGTTGCGCGAAGCAAGCCGGCCGTATATGACCATGTTGAACGAGTGGCTACACCAGGGGGCTATCAACGATCCCCACGCGGAGTTCCTTATCAAAGAACAGAAAGGCATCAAGCGTGACAAACTCGAGGAGGATTACACTGATGAATACTGGGAGAAACGGTATACCATACGTGACTGCGAAGTTCCTCCACAGCTGGACACCGTTGGAGATAAGGTTCTCCTGGCTGGGAAGTATCTTAATGTTGTTCGTGAGTGCGGAGGAGTTGATATCAGTAAGGAAATTCGAGATGTTCCCACGACCTTTGACGATCCACGATTTCTTGATAACATAAATTCCGCATACGCATACGCAAATGCATCCCTGTTAAACCTTCTTTTAACGAAAAATTCCTTGACGACTCGATTCCGCTCGTTGAAACATTACTTCTTCCTGGACCGTTCGGATTTCTTTTCTTACTTCTTGGAACTTGGGGCATCGGAACTCCGAAAACCGGCAAAGAATGTCAATGAAGGCAAATTGCAGTCTCTTCTTGACCTCGTCCTTCGTCAACCTGGCAGTATCGCTGCACAGGATCCGTTCAAGGAAGATGTGAAGGTTCGCATGAATTACATAGGATTAACTAAGTGGCTCATGCGCGTGGTAAGCGTGTCTGGCATTGATCAAGATAATCCTGATGGAGGACTTGAAAGATATCAGACTCCCGCCCCACAAGTTACAGAGGAGGAGAAGGACATCATTGGTTTTGATGCCCTGGAACTTGACTACATGGTCCCATTCCCACTCTCGCTCGTTATCAGCCGTAAAACCGTCCTCCGCTATCAACTTATCTTCAGGTACATCCTGTCCCTACGACATTTGGAAACGATGCTAGGAACCTCATGGCAAGATCACATGAAAGTACAAAGCTGGCGCCATAGATCATCTGACCGAAAACTCGAGTTATGGAAAAGAAGGGCCTGGACATTGCGGGCTAGAATGCTCATATTCGTGCAACAACTTCTTTACTTTTGTACGGCTGAAGTGATTGAACCCAATTGGCAGAATCTTATGGACCGGGTGAACGGTGATGATGCTGATGGGACTGAGGTTATGGTTAATGGGACTAAACAAGTCAATCGGACGGTCGATGAGTTGATGCAGGATCATGTTGATTTCCTTGACACATGTCTAAAGGAATGCATGTTAACCCAGGGAAAACTTCTCAAGGTACGCACCCTCTTTCCAGTCTATGTTCGGATTTTAACATTTTTCAATTGACTGAACTTTTTTTTTCCCCTTCGTTTCACAGATTCATTCCAAACTCATGATCTGCTGCACCATGTTTTCCTCCTGGACGACGTCATCACTTTCGCGTGGTCTTATCTCCGCTGACCCAGATTTGTCGGGTCCTAACGCAAAGCCAAACGTTCCTGGTTCAGATGCCAATAAGGCGTATGACCCCTCGCGCCTAGAAAAGCTTGAAGATACATTAAAGAGATATGAAGGCCATTTCAATCGACACTTGAGGATATTGATGGATAGGTATGCTTATTCTTTTTGCTAGAACTATCCATCGACCTTGTGAACTGTTGCTAACTTACGTGTATTAGTTTAAATTACTTCGCCGCCACTGAAAGCGTCGTCCTGCTCAAACTCGCCCATTCACTAAGCACGATCTGCAAGGAGGACTGACTGACTTTCAAAGTGCGCAAAAACATGATTGAAAAATGTCCGACTATATGCGACATTAAGTTCCACTCCATGTGTTAGTTTGGTGGACTCAGCATTTAACCAAGGTACACTATGAGCGAATGGAATCCACCATTTTCAAAGAAAGCAATGAATGGGCTCACGCTGCTTTTCACTTTTGTTATTCCGATGCTCTGGACACGATCTCCCAATGTAACAACATAGGAGTTGTTGTTAGTCCGGGTACCTAAAGTACCTATACCACCACTTGGACCCATCCCTTCTACCAAGCACCACTGAAGGCTTATCTATCGGGCTTATTATTTTGTTGGCCTCCGTGATCGCCATATTGGAAATTCAAGACAGTGAAAATCAAGGCTGTGTAACTCATGCCGACCTACAATTGCTGTCATTTGATACTATCTCCCTCCAGACCTGTCCAATTAGACAATTTCCCCTGTATTGGACTGGTCACGTGATGTCTGAATCACAGCGTCCAAGGAGTTGTCGAGGTTGGTTTGGAGGAGCTTTCTTTCAGACCAACCAGTTTGGTTGGGAGTCGAAGGGGCAGGGGTGAAGTGCACCGGCAAAGCGCTAGGCACAAGGAGAGGACAGTATTGCCCACCTTGGAGCTTTAGATGCCCGCGTCTACATAAAGCTGATGAAAATGGGAAATCCTCTCCTGTGTCAACGCTTTCAACGGAATATCTACAAGTACTGTACATACCATTCAGCGAGTGAAGGTGCATTTGGCCGTGTAGCACAAACCCCTGTTGTTGGTCTTCAATCAAAAAGATGTATAAAAATCACTATCTTTGGTCTCGCCGTAACGGACAGATATATGTATGTACACAATAGTTCCTTGCCTTTATATCAACTATAGACAAGGAGAGAAAGTAAATTCATATCCATGTTCAATCGTTGCTGTTTCAATGCTCTGACACCAACACACTAGCCATTCCCATACCCTAAAAGTGTAGAACGTCGGGTCAGCCTCGTTCCTTTGGCATTGAGCTATTTTTCCTTGTCCTAATCTAGGAGGTGGACTAGTTCACCCAAAAAGCAGGGCTGGGTGGATCAAGACTTACAGTTCCAACACACATAGACGTTACAGCAACGCGATTGTTCTGTCTCCGAAGCTCGGATAGCGCAGTGACTACCTGGCGGGCACCAGTGCATCCAAGAGGATGACCGAGGGCACTGGAATTGAAATGTTAGCCTGTCTCATTTACAAGAGGTAGGACGAGAGTGACGTTATACGTACATTGCACCACCGCGTGGATTAACTTTGGCGACGTCCAGACCAAGCTTATTAACACAGTAGACTCCCTATTGAATTGTCACGGCAGAATTAGAAAACATCAAAATTGAGATAATCCTAATAAATTTCTACATACCATCGAAGCAAACGCCTCATTGATCTCGAAAATATCCACATCCTCCTTCTGCAGCCCAAGCTTGCCCATCAGCTTAGGGATCGCAAGCGTGGGTCCAATTCCCATAATTCGTGGCTCCAGACCAGCAACGGTCGCGCCGCAAAATTTGGCAAGGATGGGTTGACCCAGTTCCTGTGCACGGGACCGCTTCATCAAGAGCACCGCAGCGGCACCGTCCGTAATCTGAGACGCATTTCCACCGGTCGTGCGGCCGGGCTGCCATTGTGGGAAGGCAGGGCGGATCTTACTCAGGCCTTCGGCGGTGGTTCCATATCGCACACCATCGTCTCTGTCCGCGACAATTTCTTGAATTACACCGGTCTTGGGATCCTTCACTTTAACCTTAATGGGTACGATCTCATCAGCTACCCATCCGTTTTTCTGGGCCGCTTCGGCACGCTGGTAAGATCGGGCAGCAAATTCGTCCTGCTGCTCTCTTGTGATGTTGAATTGGCCTGCGACGTTCTCTGACGTTTGTCCCATGGGCATCTGGTTTTGGGATGCAATGGGGTGGTTGAGAACTGCTTCAGAGAACGCAATTGGGCCCTTATCCGGTGTTGTACTCATGCTCTCTGCGCCAACTCCGATGCCAATATCAATGGAACCGGCTTGGATTTGGTTGGCGATGTTCTGAATGGCGAGCAGCCCGGACGAACAGAAGCGGTTGGCGACTGACGCAGAGGCTGTTACAGGGTAGCCAGCTGCTAGGACAGCGGAGCGGGCAGAGTATGCGGAGGAGGGAGCCAGAACATTCCCAACACAGATATCCTCGACAAGGGACGGGTCGAGGTTGGATTTCTCGCGAACGGCCTGGTAAAAGACATCATGAGCGGTTTGGTTTGAGGGTTTTTCCCTTCTCCTTCTTAACAGAGGCGGTTCAATATAGCTTACAGTTAACAAGGCAATCAAAAGATCGTCAATGGCTGTATCCTTGAGAGCTCCCTTGCGAGCTTTGGTTAACGCAGTTCGGACAGCAAGTGTGATAACCTGTATATTTCGTGTTCTGTATCAGCGTTTGACTTTGGAAATGGGAATGGATAGCCCTAAAAGTCGTCTTACAATGTCATCGGGATTCTTGGACAGAAGCGCCTGTCTCGCTGGAGAATCACCAGCCTTGAGATGGCCCTGAATCGAAGATAACCTTTGTGCGGCAGCCATTGCGAAGGACAATATTTGTTCAATTTTCAGTTCAAGAGCTCTGAATCAAACCAAACAAGGAGATATTAATATATACACGAGAAGTAGAAAAGACTTCGCAAGGCAAGGAAATCACGGCTTATTATCTGTTGTCAATTTTGCCGTCTCTCATCCCTACCATTCGACCAATAGCCCCGGATGCAAGCGCCTTTCGCCCCTAGATCGTTTTCGTTCCTCGGCATATCTCTGAAAAATTTGGCCCCAGAACCAACCACCCAACAGCCGGTTCATAGTTAACTGAAGCTTATCGTTTGAGTTGGCAAAAAAAAAAATTATTATTATTATTATTATTATTATTATTATTATTATTATTATTATTATTTATTAATAAAAATAAAAATAAAAGAGTGGGAACCCCAGGCCCGGATGCTGAAACTACCGCAGATACAATTCTGTCAGAAAAAATCATCTTGGAAACCATCTTTCGCAGTTAATCCAACCTCAGTCATTCAGTGATCCTGCTTTGGCATAACAAAACCTCGAGAGGAACTTGAGCAGATTTGAAACAAAACAGCCCATGGCGGTATTAATAGAATCGTTGGTAACGTTTCCGAGACAACTATGGATGGGCCTACTCGCAACAGCAGTGCTTGAGATGTTTCGACTAGCTGATCATTGCAGGTATGCTCTCTGAGATGCCATTTCTGCTGGTGACAGTTCAGGACTCTTCTTGATGCTGTTCCGTTTGAGTAAGAATTTTTGCCGGCTCTTGAATATTTCGTTCAGGCGAGCTTGGTTAACGATACATTGCACCAGCAGGCTGGAGATCACTCGTGAGCGTCATATACTTACCCCTAGATACATGTAGCGTATATTGGACACCTGCGCTGTGTCAAATAGCATCCGAGACATTTATACATGCACTGGTAACTATTCAGTTCATCATATATTGTATCTAGGATTGCATAAGGGCTTAGGTATCAATATAATACTAGGTGTTTTAGTTGATTCTGTTTGACAATGACAAAATTAAATGAAGGAAATATTGGTTAAGGGTATGCATCTATAGAATGGTACGTGGGAATGATTGTTATATTTTACACAAGCACACAGGGGATATGATGTCAGAACCACAATGTTCCAACTATTGCTCCAGACAAAATGAATAAATGAAAGAAGAACGGTCATGAGAGATTATCATTCCTCCGCTTCAGCCGCAGGAGCATCCCGCGCTGGCTTCTTTGACTTCTTATGTTCCTTTTCTTTCTTTTCAGCCGACTTCTCGCCCTCTCCCTCCTCTCCCTCCCCATCATGCCGTTTCCGTTTCTTTTTCTTCTTCTCATCCACATCAGTCTCCTTGGGTGGCTCAAAGTCCTTCTCCAACTCCCTTGCTTTATTTTCTCTCTTTTCCCGTTGCTTCTCCATCATCTCCTCTTTTTTAGCCCGTTCCTTCGCCTGCTTACTGAGGAAATATTCACCGCTCTCGATCTGTAGATCAACCTTGCTCTTCTCCGGAGCTGGTGGGAATGGCGTATACACCTTCTTGCTCTTGTCAGTCACCTTGAACGGTTTCCTCCGCTTACTTAGCGTGCGTTTCTTGAAGTGCGGTAAGAATCGATCCCAACTTTCATTTGCAAGTTTGGGATCTTTCGCGAGTTCCTTCTTGATCATCATTTCTTTAATATGATAGATTGGGTGGATGTTGGCCATACAGTCCTCCACCACCCTTCTAATTTCCTTGAGTCCTTTGTATGGGCCCATGGCGGACACAGTATTCCCCTGCACGAGGATGTAAGTATTTGTAAGAAGTTCGAGGGCTTTTAGGGTGGTGCCTGACGGTCCGAGGATGCGCTGGCGTCGTTTTACAAATCGCTCTTTGTTTCTCACTAGGTTTCGGATTTTAATGATATCGCAAGCCACACCATCTTCGAGAATTTTTAAGGCCTATGAACGTTTTTAAAGAACAGAGGCTTGTCAGCGCTCTAATGTATCGAATATAAAGCGATGATTTCATAATTAAGGGGTGTAAATACCTGTGGTGCTGGCACGCTTCGCGCAAGCAGCTTAATCAAATCCCGCGCATTTAGGATCGCAGCCGGATCAAAGGTTTTTCGAGTGGTCTTCACAGTCATGCTTCCTTCAACCAAGTCAAGCGTGCAGGCTATGCCATGCTTTTCCAGTGCTCTAGTGACCATGGGCCATGTTTCCTTTAAATATGCTTCTCTGTATTTGGGAAATAAGCTGATAAAAGATGATTCCTCCGTGAATGTGCCGCCCGCATTGTGTTCTGGTTTGAATTCCTCGATCTATAGGGCCGACACGGCTGATTAGCGAACGAGAACAGCTATAAGTCAACTCATAAGAGGGGTGGATTACTAACCTTCCACTTATCAATATCATCTGTATCCCAGGGTTTATCCTTCTTGTATGTGGAGGGCATCTTGGATATATCCTGCAGTATACAATTGCTGGAGCCGTTGGATGTTATCCGTCAACTAAAAATGGCAACATTTCGGCAGCTTCAACGGTTTGGATGGTTTTTGTTAAGGGCTCTTTGAGAAACAGCATTTAGAGCCGAGGCCATCCTCGACTTGGGAAACAATAGCCGGTATGCTTGGTGTAATTAGCTGTTATAAGGCGCTTATGAAGCGCCCAAGCGCCGCTAAATTTCGTTAATCTAAATCTTTAATCTAAATCAAGGAGCGTCATGTATACATACACACGGTGAGTTAACGGAGAAACAGGGTAATATCCAGAGCTCCTTCAGTAAGAAATTCTAGGGTATATGGGGTGATCTGATATCATTGACGAGCAGATAGGTCATTAATTGAACCTCGGTAATTTCATTCTCATAGTTCTGACAGCTACACTTTTGCTTTAGGTCTAAGCTTGGTCCTGGATATCTGAGACAGCCAACAACTAGAATCCAGTGACAACTCTTAAATGCGTCCGAGTGGAACTTGGCATAGGGAGACGCTTGTCGGAAGCGTTCCGTCAGGTCCCTTGTCAGGAATGGAGACACTATCTAGCAACAATAGAACAAATGGCGCGGCACTATCTTGCTCATATTTCCCGTCCTTCCAAAAACCCTTGCTCGTCCTGTTTCCATAAAGAGCTACGATATTCCTCTTCCTTTCCTCCAACAAAGAGCGGCTCGCTGGTTTGTTGTTGGTGTATTATTCAATTGCGCAAGGTATCTCCTGAGGATCGTGTTAAGAAATTCAAAAGCACCGTCACCCGAGGGGATCAAGGACCACCAAACCGAAGCTAGCTCTAACTTAGGTTTGCACCCGTCTGTTGATGATCAACCCCGATGATCGACCTCATTGGAATGATACTCATGTAAGGTTTCATTCAATACGCGTATCAGCCTCCCAGGAAATCAGGGGATGAGATATTCCCGAATGCTGGTACGTAGCCAAACGGCAGCAAACATAACCTTTCGCTATCAAAAAGAACTGTTGGTAAATAGTACAATACGGTCAAGAGCACATGAAATTGTTTTTTAGCCAACTAGATGTCGCGGGAACAGCGGAATAAACCTTGATATCAACACGTTTCTTGGGGTATGCAATCGGCTGCCAACAAAACGCGAGAAGCAATTTCATTGGCTTGATCGAGGTGCAGCTTCGGGCAACATTCTTGAGCCCAGATACGTTTGTCTAACAGTTATGTAAATATGGCTTCCAGGTGGATGGACCTTTACGGAGTACAGCGCGACATCTGATTGCTCGCCTATGAAGGAGATATGCAAGTAATTTCCGCCACCCAAGGCAGTTCAGTGGCTGCCGGTGGATGCCTGTATGCCCTCGTGCCCTCGGAACTCACCATAAATTACCCAGCTGAACTTCGTATGGAGAGACGGCAGGTATGTATGAATGTATGAGGCCTTCCTCAGGTTGCGGTCTGTCACACGTCCAAAAGGGCACGCAACTGCCACGACCCCTTGAAACCCCCTTCACCTCTCCATCACATCTTCTTCCTCTCTTTCCCACCTCCAACCTCACCTCTATCAGTTCTCTCACTGACACCGGTCCTTGGAGGTTGGTGCTGATTATCCCTTATTCCAGGGATGGTCAGCTATGTTGGCGTCTACAGTCTCTTGTTGAACTCTCACACACCTTGCGAGCTCTCTACGACCCTCCCTCCTGTCACCATATCCGACTGCTTGAAACCAGTGCGACATGGTCCGATGCCACCAGAAGCCCTCAAATCCCTTCCGACCCTGTCAGTTAATGGTGATAAACTGGGATGATGGGATTTGTGTATTGGATTAGCTTCAACATCCGTTTTGGATTCGACTTGGTCTATCTTCATCACAGAAAGACCAGATGGATATTTCCCGTCGTGAGCCTTGTTGGTGAATTTTCCGTTGCGGGAAGGGTAGCATTAATGAGTCTCTTTTCCACCACCTAAGGAGATTGTGTCAAATGCTGGAAGGATCCCTCTTCTGGTAAAGAGATCAGAAATTTCTTTGTTTGCTCATTATATGAGCTAAAGTTGGGCAGTTGAGTGGATGGTGGAATGATGGCTCAGCTCCTCGGTCTGAGGTCCAAATTCGGTCCAGAACGCAATCTCATTCGAAAGACATCAACATTCCAAGACAACACTTTTAGGGTTTTCTGGAAAGGAAATAATTCAGTTTTGTATGAAAATATGGCTTTATTAGCTCAGATAATTTATATAATATCAAAACAGGCCTCAAAGCTAGAGTATGTTCATCCACTTTTCTTTCTAACTCAAGCAAACGCTAAATCTTCGTGGAAATACCAAGCTGACAGAATCGAGGTTACATACTTGCAGGTAACGGATGGATCTTGGATGCAATTGCGGCGGTATGGCTTGTGTAACCGTGACATTCGTTCCAGAAAACTGTCAAATGGCCCTATCAAACAAACGACAGCCCTCGAGCGGCTTCTGAACATTGCCACGACTATGCCCCGTGGATTCCAAGTTGATATAAAACAATACATGCAAGAAAGTTGGGCACCAAACCAGCTGGTCACGGCTTTCGACCGATACAAATATATCTACTTCATTGTGAGACGAATGGGAAACAGGAACCTCAAATAAGATATCGAATTCTTACAATGGAAAGTATGCTTTAAAGCTCAGGTCATCTACCTCCCTCCGAGCCTGCGCAACGAGAACTTCGAATTCCTCCCGGGTCATGTGTAATCGCTCCATCAGTGGATACAACGCCAACGAGCCAAGAAGCTTATGGACATTGGTCCTATTCATAGCTCCGACCTCCCTCATTCGCACATCTGGGAGAATGTGAGCGGACACCACAATACTACAATTTAAAGGGACATACCATTTGACCAGGGAGATAACGGAATATTTAACAATTTCGTTTCAACATTGACAAAACCGGCTGATGACAAAAATTGCCCCAGCCTCATTCCAACTCGAGGGTCCTTGACGTCTTGGATTGCTCGAGCATATTTCAAACTCCACTGTCTCAGGGCGTGAGCATCAGTGAGAGTCCCGTTATCGGATTGAACATTGAGATATAGTTCAGCCATTTGTACCCAACCGCCGGGTCTTAACGTCCTAATGATAAGAATCGGTTGAACCGGTCAGCTGGTGATCGATCATAAACGCCGCTGCTCCTTTTCGCCATTGCTTAATGTCATTTGCGAACGAGCACCTATTACAGGTACTCACATTTTTATATCTTGAATGTATCTTGGCCATCGCTGGCTATTCAATCCAGATGCGATAAGTCTGGAGTGAACTAGATCGAAGTGGTTTGGCGGAAATGTGAAGGTTCGGTTTAAATCATCAACCTGGTTATGTGCTGGACGTTAGCGGAAAACGAGAGCCATTGGACGGATATCATAGGATGTAGGAGCGTGTAGGGAGTACACCTGATAGTGGCTAACGGTTCGAGATTCAAAACTTGCAGTGATCGGTATATGACCCGAGTATGGTCGCAAAGGTAATATTCCTGGTGAACAGAATCCCAAAGGCAATTGTGCAAAAACAAAAAGAGTGATGATGCTTACCTGCAACCAGAGATTTTCAGGGGTGTCATCAGGTTTCATGTGTGGCGATATATCTACTCCAATAACCTTGGAGTGGTATTAGAATGGGCCATTTGAAGATACCAGTGCCTACCAGTGCCGCTCACTTCACAAAACGGATATTGTTCAGCAACTTCGACCGCCCAAGCTCCGTTCCCATAGCCACAATCGAGGACTCGTCGTAGTCTGAGCACTGGTGGAAAGATCAATCGATTATCAAAAATTTTGCTGAGAACTCGATGCTGTACCTCCAGCCTCTCTATTTCATCCTGCATAGTGTTAGCTGATGGGACACGACATAAAATGGGACTTACGGTACGAGCCATACATCGTCAACAGGCCCAAAATAAATACCATTTTCAACAGCATACTTTTGAAACTCCCTCCCTTCATATATGACCAGATCAAGGAAGGCTTCATCCAATACCATGGTGCCAGACTCCGGGTTCCTGGGACACAACGGTGATATCAGTTATGCGTTCTCGCAATTAAAAGCGAATGGCAACTGGACTTGTCCTGGGTACATGATCTCAGCTATTCTTCTGGACGTATATTTTCGATATATTTCTTGTGTTTTCCCTGGGATAGGAGGACGATGAAAACTGTCTTCAGAGAGGGATATCAGCAAATATGCCACCGATTTGTGTTCGAGTGCATCCAAAATCCGATAGAGTACAGTTACCCCTTTCGCTTCCCTCGCACGTTTATATCTTTCGCCACTTAGATAGAGGACTTGAATGACGTTTTGTCTGTTCAGGTTAGCGTCGGCCTCGATTTAGAGCCCCCGAGCATCATGCCTACGATTCTATGTGCTGAGATTATTGATTTAGGCTACCACCCAGTGGACCTGCTAGCATTCGTTTGCCGATGGTATACCCCGGTCATGCCTCACTTGGAAAAACAAAAATAAAAAAAAATCCGAGAGCCACCGTTGGGGTATCGCCTATGTCTTAATCGCAACCAGCCTCAGGATCTACTTCCCACGTGAGATTCTCCTCAGCTCCATATAATTTCAGCGCGATGCCATCATTGCTTCGACTTTCGCTTTGCTATTAGTCAAATTTGTGGTGCTAGGGCTCAATAAACCTAGGGTTGCTAGCCCGTACCTCCCTAGACATGGGGCAACGTCTGATATGCAAAACGAAAATAATCATGGGTGAAGCTAAGTGCGCACCAGATGGGAATAATGGCTTATTTAGGCTGAGCATGGGCAAACTGGTCGGTTATTTATGTAATCACCAGTACAAGCTCTCCTGGACGATTTCCTGATATACCAGTTACCACGACTGCGCATGATTGGTGAATAGAAAAGTTGCATGGTCGACGGGATGACAGTAAGATGCATCCATGAATATTATTTTTTTGAACTGCCCGTGGCCCCTTGGAGTTGTCTCTGTTTTTGAGTAATGCGAATCAGAACCGTGTAACTAAGGCCAGCCCGAGCAAAATGAAAGTGCATGCGCATATGGAGAACACAACGCCAATATACGATAAACGCCAATACCGCCATGGCAAGCTGCAGTTGGAGGGCAGACAAGGGATTTCTGCGAGACTGACGACAGGCAAATAAATTATCATTGGTCCTGATGTGAGGAGAGCTTGGCGCGGGAGTCGACAACGAACTTTTTTAACGCTTGTGTATAGATTCAATGTTGGGGTCCAATTGGGTCCCACCGACCACACAAGTTTTAAGAAGGGGAATACTTTTGTGTCCAGGCCGGCCAGAATAATAATGATGATAGCATATCTGTTTCCCCTATGCTATGGAGGTATTATCCGAACCTTGAACTCTATTATATTGCACCAAGTTGATACCTCTGTTACCTGCTTGTGATGTATCCTTGTCTCGCAGTTGAGAGGCAAAAGGTAGACCGCACACCACGAGAAATGGACAAAACAGATACCAGTGGAGCGTCGTTGGATTAGCGGTGTGGAAATGCCCGTCCCCGAGTAGCATACAAGAATGGAACGATCTATTCATTAACCTGCTACATGAAATAGTACCCAACTTCGTCTCAAACCTCCGTCCACTTTGTCGGGTCCATCCCAACCAAAGCCCCACTTGTCCTCCAATGGTACCGCACTTCTAGCCTTGTCAGGTATGTAATATTTCGATTCATCGAATCATCAGAATCCTGGCCCATGGTCCAAAATTGACGTGGCATGCACTGTCTACTTCTCTTTACACTACTCCAATGCAAATCGAAAGTCTCCACTACAAAGACAGAGAAACGCTATGTAACTTACCATGATCCCAGGGCATTGGGAAAAAGAAAATTTGACTTTCTGAGACAGACGTTGGGTGACATCTCATTCGAATTTCACGAGTCACCACTATCATCAACAGAAACGCCTATCCTAAAGATGCGAATGAGTGGGGTTCATTTTCTCCGCGACAATGAATAGAGATTATTAAAATACAATTGATTCAAACCCAACATTTCGTGCTAGTTAAAATCAGCCTATTTTTCTAGGACAACCTTCTTTTGTATCTATGTGGCGTTTGCATTGTTCTCGGCCATGTGCAAGGTATGATTCCAAACCATTATATTCTTAAGATGGTTTCCGACGACGACTCTTGACCTCAAGAAAGTTCTGCAATTATTGGTTCAAGTTTTGGACGTCCATACGTTATCCTCCCCACGCTTATTTTCCTATAACAGAATATTTACCACTAATTTTAGTCTTGAAGCTTTGCAGTGATTTAAGTCATTCTTATTGTGCAGTTCATTATGCCTTTGCGTTTGGCATTACTCCCGTTCTAACAGCACAGCGGGACAGGATATGCACGATCAATTAAGCCTACGACACGCGTGCAGCTGCAGAAAAGACCTTGGCCACAACGATCCATATGGTTAATGATGTTGTGATGTCAAGAACACTCGTTCAGTCATTGTTAACGAAAATGAGAATCTTCTTTGTCTGCTTGGCCTGCATGAGTGGTGTCTTACCGCCTGGCTGTTGAAATGATACCAATGAAAGCTGAAGATGAAGGGTGTCACCCCACCTGACGCGGACGCAGATTTCTTCTCAACGGGAATGTTTCCTGGACGACGTAAATAAAGAAAGTAAGATATGCGCCTGGGTGTCAACGGTAAAAGGACATCAGAAGACCTGGGTAACCTTGCGATTCTTGATACCCAACGTCTCCAATCCTTATCCCCTCCGGTTAGAGAAACATTGATTGTTCCACCGACCTCGGGGTAGCTCTGTGCGTGGACGTTGCTCCAGCCCTTTAGCAGAAATCCCCAGTGGCTCATTGATCCACTTCGCCCAATAACTAAGGCATCTGAAAGGGTAATCGTGGTGACGTTGGAAGTTGATGTCTATTATATTCAATTTCCTGAATCTTGAGGTTCTATTCTCGAAAATTGGTGGTTGGTGATCAATTGTGAATGGGATTGGGGCTCACGAACGTGTACTCAGTAAGCGAACGAATAAGGTATGATTCCAATCCACCTATCGAATCGTCCATTATTACTGCGTTTTCTCTTGCTTCTGGGCCACATGACCTTCGTTGTAGAAGCCGGAAAGGCCAAGCAAGATTATCTGGTGGGCTGAAGTCATAGGGCAGGTCGTTAGAGTAAGTGGGACGGTCGCAAATAGTTTACAAAAACCCGCTCTAACTGGATATAGTTTCGCAAACGGCAAGATTCCCACATCCCTGAATTTGCATGTTTTTACAGTTCAATAGGCAGATATTCCAAAATCCATCTTACGTGGTTATCTATCTTGGTCCCTACCTTCAATTTAATTGTTGGAGACACGTTATGCCTTTCACAGGGGACATTGTTTGGATCTGACAGTAATTGCAGCGCTTTTCCCCCATGCCCCACCTGCGTAACGCTTCATAAATCCGGAAGCACGCACTCTGTATGATGGGTCACAGGGGGCGGGAAGGTAAATGCGAGTCATGCAGCCCCCACTTGAGCGGAACAGAAATCGATTACGGATTTTGGACGGCAAATTTAAGCAGTGGGTGTACCGTGTGGGATTGGCGATTCATGCACAGTAATACAACGTCGCGCCGGGGTTGTATGTAGTGTGTTATTCTCGGGTAAACGGGCCGCCAGATGATGGCAGCTGCAGCCTTTATTGGGGGTATGCAAAAAGGTCCAGGTAGTTTTTGATGACAATATGTGACGTTTATCTGGCACAGTCCCCAGATTGTCGGTTTTAGATGTGCCTGGTTGCAGGGGATGTCATGGTCATATCTGAAGAGATATGGCGCTCCACGTTGCCATAAGGGATTTAAAAAATGTGACTGACTTTGATTTCAATGACTTAACCCATACTCACGAGAGTTACTTTTTATTCGCCTTGTATTGAGGTTTTTTTTTTTTTTTTTTTTTTTTTTTTTTTTTTTTTGATCGAGCTACTAAAATTTTTAGGGTATAACTTAGTTGTAAGGGAGACCGCAATTATTCCATTGAGCTGGCACTTGTTAGGCATCACATTACATGTAGACCCTTGTTGAATATATAATATAGAAATGCAAGGAATAATTAGATAAAGCGGTAATAAGAGTTATGTTTTCATGAAGGTGCCGCCTTGATGGGCGATGGAATCAACCAGACTTTTAAGTTGATTAAGCCTTTAGGCTCATCCCGAACCGAACTTTGAACCTTGGGAACGATGCGTTTGGCACCTCGCGTCTAGCGGTTACGCTTAACCCCAACGCTTAGAGAGAAGGACAACAAGCAAGCATGGAAAAGTATGGATGATAATACTGAAGCAAATAATGTTTTGAAGCATCCTGTGAAAACTCCCTGATCGCATCGTATCGTAGCTAGAACGTGCTATTCCGTATTCCCAGCTATTGATGTGCAAGGGTGAAGTACCCTAAGAAGATCGATGGATGTAGCAGTGATGCTGATAGCCATGAATAAAAAATAGAAAATAAAAAATAATTGTTATTACAGCAAAACAAACCATGCATTCGAACCTTTCTAAGGCACTTTGACGGTGGAGAAAAGCCCTCCCTCCCTTCTTTATAACACTCCCGGAAACATGCCACTATTATGATTATCCCGATACTCTCGCAAAGGTCTTTGGAAACTATTTATTCCCCAAGAAGTGTGTCCCTTGCATTTCACATAACCCAAGACCGAGTTAAGCAGTATCAATGGTACAAGGTTCCACAGGATGCGAATCACGTAGATTTCCTTCCCTTTTCCCGCTCCGCCTTCCGTAGCGCCCGCTTTCGAATAGATTCATGCATCGCCTTATTATAGCCTAGAACGAACTTACCCATTTTGCCCAGAACCTGCGTGAGCGCAAAGGCCATCAGGCCGTGACTCCAGTAGGGTGCTGAGGTATATGCATACGCTGAGAGCCCGCTTCCACGACCAATTTTGCTGAGAGTAGCGCGAACCATGTCACGCGGATTGGGGATGGTAACGCTAGTCCGACGGATCTTGGACATGGCCGACGTTACCAAGTGGCTCTGGACAAGCTGGACCTGGACACCGTATGGCTCAAGCTCGGAGCCCAAAGCGGTCGACCAATATTGCAGGAACGCCTTGCTGCCAGAGTATGTGGCGAGCAACGGAGTGGGTAGCATTCCGGCAAAAGAAGCCATGATTAGGATCAAACCGCGCTTGCGCTGCATCATTGCCGGAGCAACCAGCTGGGTGATACGTAGGGTGCCAAGACAGTTGATGGTAATGATATCTTCCATTTCGTCCAGAGGGGTTAAGACGAAGGGGGTGGGTATGCTATGGCTGCGGCCGACGTTATTGACAAGAATGGAGACATCGAGGTCCTGGATCAAGGCCTTGAGTTTCTCGTAGTCGAGATCATTATTGGCGGAGAAATCCATCGCATGGATTTTGGTTTGGGCGGTGGGTGTTTTAGTTTTGATTTCATTGGCGACGGCGGTTAGCTTTGAGGAACTCCGCGAAATAAGAAGTATATTATAACCCGCGCGCGCTAGTTGGAGAGAGAATTCTCTACCGATTCCTTCGGAAGCGCCAGTGACCACGGCCCAGCTGCCTTTTGGGCCGAATTTCGTGAGCTAGATTTGTGACAGAAAGGGTAAGCTGAAGAATCCTTAGGAGTGCTGAATTGAAGTAAAAATGGGGGGAGGAACGCAGGAGCCGTACCTTTTGGCCTGGTAGAATGAAAATACTAAATAAAGCGCGGAGAAAGCTGAGCAGTTTGCATGTTGTAACCAACGCCCCTGTCACCAGGAGGAAGGAGGTTGCAGCCGACTGCCAGCCTGAAGCCGGTTCAAAGCGGAACTGCGCAAGGCGGCCCATAAGGCTGGCTGAACAAGCCATTGCTTGCCCTGCAGAGCTTCCCGACGAAAGAGAGATTATGAGAAACGGATACTTCGGAGGAGAGCAGGGGGAGATAGTTCGTTGGAGGTTCGCTGGGATGTACGTATACTTGATGTTACTCTGTGTCCCGTGACGTTCCACGAAATCTATTACGTGGTTTGAACGACAGCCAACACCGTATTTTACGGGCCACCATATGGGACACGCTCCGTATCAGATGCCGTATTAATTGATCATACCGAACGAGGTTGCAAACTGTAGGAAGTCGAAGGAATTGCAATCGTTGCTAAGACCTTTGATCACGTGATTGAGCTCTTTGGTTTTAATCAAAGTGCGAGTCAAGGGCTCTCCTTTAACTGTCCGGTCAAGATACGCTGGCTGATTTGCGCCATATCCCTTCCTCATGCTCGCGGGATTAACAAGCCGCAGCTATACCCTTCTGCGCTTGGCATCATGGGAAATTCCTTCAGGAGTGTAGTGGTTTTCCTTGGCCGCAGTTCGTTCATGTGCGACATTCCTAAGGGATACAGATGAGACTTGGGGTCTCCTCAGAGTTGAATGTTTATGCAGCTAAATCACCTCCAATTCAGTAGCTTGCTCTGGTAGCTGACCGGCGATCACGGGTCTTGGTGGCAAGCCACGACTCCCTAAAACGCTGCACCCTTGGCTCCCCAATTCTGGAGATCCCGATCTCCAACGGGCCAATTGATCGTGGAGGACTGAGCTCATGCAGCTCCGTTCCTCCACATATGTCACCTGTGATAGAACTGCGTTCTTCCAAGCATGTTAAGAGGAAGTGACAATGATTCAGATGGCCTCTCCCGCTGTCGGTCTCTTAGCTATGGTTCTTCCACTAGACATACGGGTCCTGGATGGTTCAAGGGTCCGCAGCTTCCGTCACTCAGCCCAACAGACTGCTGTCTGCGAATGAGAGCAACCATACCATACAAGATACTCAGCCCTAACAATACTTCCTATGCCGACAGATAAATACTAAGCTCCAACCATTTTCATCCATAACACACTGTCAGACATGGGGACAGCAATGATGTTTACATCAACGATTTTGCTTGTTTTCCTCTACTTCTCTATCATGTGGATCAAGACTCACATGCTTTACGTTTCCTTATCATGTCACAATCAGGCCCCTTGTCGATTACCACACATGTTCGGGGTCTTGAATGAGCTAATCCTGCAAGCAGAAAGGCAGTGATCAATGACCAACTGGGAGGTGTCCCAAATTCAGCAAGTGGGATGCCATCAGTTGGCCAACAGGGTTTCTTATGCATTGCTTACTCCACGCTAAATTGGAGTCAGTCCTTCTCTTGCTTCCACCTAGTTTATTTTCCCATTTTGACCCACTACGGGTCATCATAAGCATGGAGCCGACATTTATGAAAGGCAGGAGTGTTGTTGATAAAAGACCCAACTGTTGAGTGATGCATTGTAGCATGTTAACAGCAATGTACCCATGGCCAGTTGTTGGATGTCAAGGGTAAATAGTTCATTCTTCTAGTTCATTCTCCAAACTCAAGCACTCTTTTTTTCATCAAGAAATGACATCAAGCGGGAGGGGCCATGAATATATTTGTTGGCAGTTTGAAAATTGCGATATCCTGCAGTCAATGATGTTGCAGAAATCATTTAAGCTTCAGACAGATTAACATATTCAGTCCAAATGTAGGCCAAAGACAGCACATTTTAGTCGTCTAATTGACGTTGGACATAGAGATTCCTTTGGAAAGTTGAAAGGATTTAAAAATAGCAGCTACGCAGATGCTAAACGGAAGTTTCGTATAAATGGAGAAAACGTCATCAAGAATTGTGGACTAGGGATTTAAACAAAAGATCTCGCTTGAAAGACACCAAAGTGGCGTATACAGTTTGGCCCATGGATGGCCCAAATCCGTATAGTTGTGGAAGAGGGACGGTTGCACGATTCTGTTGGAGCTTATGCCTAGGTCCCAAATTCGCAACAGCCCTCTTAATACGCATTGTTTGGGCAGCAGTTCTCATCAAATATCTTGAGACAAAGGAAATTGAATCTCGATCGCTTCGCTTGACCTCCTCCCTGAGCAAACAATACCAATCCAGATGCAAACATTGAAAGCTGCCATCTCTCCAGTCCTCTGACATGACAAATGCCCATAAAGGGTGAGGAAAATGTGCCACAATTATTTATAACAACCACATTGTTTGTTTAGATATTCTTCAAACGGTGGTGATTGAACAAGCATCATCAAGCGGTTCAAAATCATCCCTTGTATAGATGCTGGAAGTTTCCGAGCCTCCAACGTAAGCAGAATAGGGGCAAGGTTTGAGATGACATCAACGGGCCGTGGGTTAATCCGCGCCTGGATATCTTGGGAATTCCTTTAGATGTCACGAAGTAAAATCTACTATACCCTCCTAAATACCTTACACTTCCCCTCCTCATCTCCAAAACAGTTTAATTAATTTAACAAACTTATACAACCATCAGAGATGCAGTGCAACCCCTTTCAATTCTAGAACCTCCCAAATCCATCCACAATGTCTCTGCTCTCCTACCTCCCGCAACATGAAGGGCTCCTCCCTAGATGGCTCTTCTTTGTCTGTATATCCAACACCACCCCCCCCCCCCCCCCCCACAACAACAACAACAACAACAACAAATGTTTCTTTCTGTCTTTCTGCTTGATGTAGTCTGTAATCTCCAAACTAACCCCCATATTTTAACCCAAGAACAGGTCTCCATCGTCTCCGCTCTAAACTCGTCCCAAGCCTACCTTAGCTCAAACTACGCAGCACAGCTCTACAACAACGCCCCCGCCAATGCCGTCCAGTCGCGCACTTTTGGTACTTGGACCTTCCTCTCCTCCATAATCCGGCTGTACGCCGCCTATTATATTAGCGAATCGCATGTGTACGATTTGGCCATGTGGACGTATGGGATTGCCTTTGCGCATTTCGTGAGCGAGTGGTTGATTTTCGGCAGCGCCAAAGCCAAGGGGAGGTTCATCAGTCCACTGTTCGTCGCGAGTGGGAGTCTGCTGTGGATGGCCACGCAGAGAGAGTGGTATTCGGCATAGACCCTGTCGTTTGGGAAGGGTCTTGCAGTGGGGAAAAGTAATTAGTGGAGCTTAAAAATGTTAAAAATGGTGTACTAGGGTATGCATATATATAGTATGTAATGCACAAATAAGCTTTAATATGGCGGATTGAAATGGGGTATTATTCTTGTTTTTAAAATTATGGTATTATAAGGGGTATTTCTGTCAGTTTCCAGTGATGCTATCTTTCGATCAACCAATGTCGAAATAACATTTGCAGGATTGTATCACCAATAGACGGGGCACTTCTCCAGTAATAGCACTGGATCTAAATTATTCAGATAGCTCTTTTAAATTATCGCGATAAAGCTGGCCTGCGTATTGCCTGAGTCGGGTCGCAGCTTGTTCGGGGGTAATGTCCCGCTGAGGTTCCGCAAACATTTCATATCTATATAAGAACCCGTTAGCCATTATAAGAATAAAGGCGTAGAAATGATTGTTATTCTGAATACATGAAAATTCACTTACCCAACCAAAAATTTCCTCACAGATGCACTTCTCAATAATGGAGGATAAAAATGAATATGGAAATGAGAGGCTTCGAATTCCTCTTCCGATCCACAAAGCGGAGCTTGATGAATGCCCATACTGTATGGAAAATGTGTCTCAAACAAGTTATCATAGCGCCTCGTGATTTCTGCGATGGCCTCTGCCAATAGCTGCTTTTCCGAGGCAGTAAGATCTACAAGGGCGCGTTTGTGCTGTTTGCTGACTATCATCGTTTCGAAGGGCCAAATTGCCCACCACGGACAAAGAACAAGGAACAGGTCATTCTCGAATACAACACGCTCCTGCTTTCGCGACTCTAGCATCGCGTAGTCTTCAAGCATGTGCCTGCCACTGTTTTCATTCCGGTATTTCTGAAGCTGCGATAGCTCCAACGTAAGTTCCTCGGGAAGGCTGCTGAGTGTCCAGACCTGCCCATGTGGGTGCGGGTTAGAACAACCCATGGCGGCGCCTTTGTTTTCGAAGATCTGCATGTAGCGGAGTTGTTTTTTGGGTATTGGTATTTGGGAAATGGGTGACTCTGGTGAGATGGGCATGCGAGAAGCGGCCGCCGCTAATGGAGATGAGGGCGAGAGGTGTGAGATGTATAGATCCGTCCAGGCATCGATAATGAGCTTTATCTCAGCCGGCGAAAGATCTGCAAGAGTGCGATTGTGGCTCGCGGAGAATGTGAGAACGTAGCACCTGCCAGTGACAGGCTCGGCTTGGAAAAATTGGGATGAAAGGTCTATTCGCATGATGGCGCAAAAGGGTGTCATTAAATCATTTTGGACACAAAGAGCGGTAAATACAGGGATAAAACATTTGAAACGCACCGCCATCCCTCACCTCCGGTTGGTAAGCAGCCTGTTCTTCCTTGACTGCACTGTAGTCATTTATGAATATGAATGTGTTCTTGTACTGCGGATTCTGGTCGCCTTGCGCGCGTTTATTACCAGGACACAAGTAACAGCTGGGATCATAAACGGGGAGGGCCTTTTTGGACGGGGATTCTTGTTGGCCCCTGTAAGACGGTTTGTCAGATATAATACAGTGTTGCTGTTTTCATTGCGCGGGAACCAACGTACTGCCATGGTCTCTTGGTTCGATGTGGGGATACTAGAACATAGGAACCCCGCAGGATGTTGTATCTCCGGTGCGAGATGTCATTGAGCACGGATTCCACCATTGTTATGATAGCCTTGACTTTTCAAAAATTCCTAAATGAACCAAAATATATGTAAGGAAATATAAATTAAGAATAGGAGAGGTCTTAATAAAGATATTTAATTGTCGCTGGTTTCCTGTCGCAGCGGAGGGGAAAAAGTTGTAAGAGATGATTCAACCCGCCAAAGTGTGTGGTTTCACAAATTACGTCATGGGGCTAGCTTTACGTAGGGAACCAAGGTATAAGTAAAGCATAGTTGTGAACAACAACAACGACAACAACAACGAGAACCAGTTGAAAAATAATGAGGGAAGAGAATTATAGGAGTAAATGAAATAGTAGCTCTCCGCCGAGAAATTAATTCCCCGTGTTCCTGAACGTTGATAAAGAGGCACAAAATCATCCGGGGCAACCTTCATCAAAGCTTGATGACTAAGCCATATCCTGCCTTCAGCCAATAAAATAGTAGTTAAAATACAAAATTGCATCTCCTATTTCATTCCCACCAAGTATGTGCAACATTTCCTAACCACTTCCGACGTAACTAACATGTTGGAATAGAAACAACCATCTTCAATGCCTTGCACTCGTTTACAATGCGGCTGGATACTGTCAGGGTTGCATGAAAAATTCTACTTTTAGCTGCCCAATGTGTTCAATCAGGTGCTCTCTCCAACTCTGGAGCTTTGCAATCTCTGATCAATCCCAATACAAACAATTGACAACAGCTTTTAAAACCAAGGAAGCGCCCGGGTTTCCAAAAGATATCCAAATGCTAGGTTGAGTACTATGACCTTTTCAACTTTCCGAGGTTCTTCGTCTCTTTCTTCTTCTGTTTTCTTTTCTTTCATATATACCAATATGCAATATATGTTAATTCTACCTAGTACGACCAGGTTAATCTGCTCGACTATGAGCCTGATCCAACATTCGAGTCATGGAATGCAAACCGGGAGACAGCAGTCTCTATACTATCATCAGAATAGAGCTCTTTGCGTTGCCTCCACCTTATGCGCTGACAAGAACGATCCAGAGGGATTCCAAACGTCACTACCATTTATAGGGCTGGGACAAATACGCAGACTTTAATATTCTTCAATGCCTATTGTGATCAGGCATGGATAGTAATGTTTATTGCCATACTCAGCCTGAAAGATTAACTCTCATTATGTGAGAGATCTGTAAGTATGGCAACTAGTTAGTATATCTTCACTTCTGTCGTTGTGCTTACTAAGCGACTGACTCAAGAATATTAATTCGAAGATGTCGCCGTTTTCTGTCCTAAGGATCCGGCCTAGACACTGCACTGCATTTACACAATCGTATCGACATGTCGAGGCCAGACATGTCAATGGAGCCTGATGCCAGAGGTTGGCACAAAACTACTCTCCTCTCTCTTCCCAATGAGGTATGTGATATGAATCTATGTTGCTAGTATTCAGCAGCCCCACCCGGCAACATCTACATCCCCAATTTTTTATTTTTATTCTCATTTGCATTGCAATTACCTACTTCAAGTAACAGTTATATCGCCAGCTCATTTTACAAATCCTTGATCCCCTTCCAACCCGCTCTCTCCTTCCTTTATCCCTCACCTGTCGGCGCATCCGCGACATCATTGCACGCCTCATCTATTACCGCCTATACACCCTCATGACAACCGTAGGGGCTGACAGCACTTTTCTCGAGTGCTATCATCCCGCCTTTAAACCTATCGGGCCATACTTGAAATGCGCCTATCTACGCACTGATGCGCTTATTGACCACGGAAGCTCCCCTCATAATGACCCCACAGCTCCCTACCAACTGGACAAATCCGACTCTGCACGATTCACGACTACAGAATACCTAGGGCGGTTAAACAGCTCATATACTCACTTCCTTCCCCTGTGTCCCAGAGGGTCTTGGATAAATACGAACATGTCCATGGCGGGGTCCCCCCGATTCATGGTGGAACAAACAATCTCCCCGCAACAGCAATTAGATAACAGCTATAACATGCACATCCGAGGTTCCATTTTCCTGGACGAAAACGAACTATTCTCTCAGCTTATTACGGGGGTGTGGCTTGGGAGACCACATAGGCAGAGATATTTGCTGGATGGTGGAGTTGTGAGACTCTGGAGACGGTGGCTAGGGGATAGAGATAGGGAGAGGAGAAGGGAGTGGAAAAGGATGTTTATGACTGGGATTGGTGTTGGGGCTTATGGTGGAGAAACCTACTCTGCGGTGAAGACAGGGGATCCAGCATATAGTGGGCAGATTGGAGAGATGGTTCCTCCCTGGGAAGACAGTAGCGTTCTCTGGCTTGGAGAGAAACGGGCAGGTCTCAAGTTTCGTGTGTGTCACCGGAATCGAGGCGAGGGATTGCAGTTTGGGGAGGAATCTGACACTGACAGCGACGTGGGAGAGGAGCAGGGTGAGGACGATGACAACACGTCGGTCCGGTATGACATTGAAATTGAAGGTTGGTATTCAAAATGTTCATTTTCTTGTCTTAGGACAGGCTAAATAATCTCCCTGAATTTGTCGTTTGTTTGCTCCTTTTTGTGAGCTTCGTGACCTAACGCTTAACGTTTTGATCAGAGCTTCTTGTGCACACTACGACACTTTTGCTTGCAATCGAGAAAGGTTGTTGCAAGTAGTAGTTTTGGAGAGCTAGGGAGGATTGGATGGATGGAGCGGGCCCAGATGGGAAGTTTTAATACAACACCCGATAAGATCTATCGTCGTTCGGATATCGATTGACGTAGTTTGGGGATACTAGTCGTCGAGATATCTCTTTCTCATTATTTGACAGGAAGCAGTGGAGCTCAACCTACTTTGGCGATTTCAAATATAGCCATCCTTTTCAAGGACTTCAATTGTGGCATGTCCCTGCTGTTTGAATGGCTTAAAACCGTTAGGTTTTATTAATGGCACAGACGTCGGACAAACACTGGAAAGTGTGGAGCTTGATGATCCGCAACTCTGAACACCGGTAGACGGCTCATCTCCGCGTTCTCGCTCATCCTGCTCATGATTGACAACCTAATTCGATGAGAAGGACGCATGGTGCCCAGCCCACGAGCTCCCAAAGGAAGCTAACTGCAGGTCCTGTTCATCACTTACAACGCAGAACATCGCTCACCTCTTACATCGAATGGGTCGCTCGTGGCCGCTTACGGATGACAGGGCAACGTGGATGACCAGGACCCCACTGAACATTGCAGGCACAATGTTCCAACTCAGGAGCAACGGGATGCACGTACTGAACAGAGGAATGCAGGGTCAATGATCGCTCCTGGTAGATCCAGCAGGAGTGGGCCTCGAGGCGTGAGCAAGGTGGTCAATAAATGTGTGTTGAATGACATGAAATTTTGCTTCGATGTGTCGTCTAGAGTCGTCTAGGGTGTGTCGTTTTCCAGAAGGCCCGAAAACTTGTCAGGTCAGTGTAGTGGAAGTCAAGCGTTGACGGATTTGCTAGTAATTCTTTGATTGCTGGAAAGAGTTTTTTAGGGAGCCAAGGTACGGAGTATTGATGAAGAAGATCGTCATATATGGTAGACAAAAGACTGGTGATGCCAATCATAGTTTTAGTCAAACAACAACAGAAGACATTAAATATAATGCCCAACATGTTTTTCATATCAGCTTAGAATGATATCGATTATTATCGATTATTTTCAACCATAGGACATGTCGTGGCAATTAGGATAGAAAAATAAATACAATTACTAGTAAAGTATGAAATGAACCCAATCATACAGGGGTCAAGTGATGTGCTGCTGATTATATCCATGTTTGCTTTTCCCAGCAGGTTTTTTCACTGTCCACTCCATCGTCACACACAGCAGCACACAGTGAAAGAATTGGATCATACGCACTGGCTGCGTGTACAAAGTCGTCCACACAATTTAAGGCGGAGAGCTGAGAGTTTGTGTCTCACGAGAATAGGCAAAGTTCGAGCGTGTTGTGCTCCTCGGATTTTGAGAGAGCATTGGACAAGGTTGGGGGCAAACAGACAGAAAGTCAAAGCAGGGTCAGTGAGTCTCACGCTGGTGATCATTTGGGAAAGACGAGTTGCTGCAATTGCTTCTCGAAAAAGAGGATTCATTCGCGGCCACGTTGAACCTGTAGCACTCCTCAACCAATGCAGAAAGACCAAGGAATTGGGGGGACATAGCAATTGTATGGTCGAAATGAGAGAACAATTAGTTACGTATCTTCATAACAACCAGACCTGCTGTTGATGTTAACGAGGCAAAGGAGCCGAATGGACTCGGCAAACATAGATACGTCTGGCTGAAGAAACTTGAGCCAGACGTTCGACATTTGCAGGCCAGCCCACGTATCAACAAAGAGACCCACATATCAACGAAGAGAAAAGGGCGGTCCAGCTCTGCACGTATGGTAGGTATTTCATTGTGGATTGGGTATCGACGAATCAGCCATGCCTCTGTCGGGCGCAGCGGGTGTCATCGGCAGCCAATATCCAACCCCTCCCTTGATTGGCCTGCATCGCATGCTAATATGCAGAAACTGAGTGGACGAATCTGTGGGGTATCTTAAGAAGAATGCAGCCATGTTAAGAGAATACAATTTTCACAGTGCGAGGAGGGAGGCTGATGGGGATGCAAGGATATTTATGTATTTGTGAGGTTTACAAAGAGGGGCAAAGGGTTGAGTTCTGAGCGTGTCTATAAACAGCAAACATATTGATCGATTGCTTGACCCCTGGCTTATTCAATATCGGATATCGTAGCGTTGGGCATCCAGGGCATCAACGAAGCTTGGTATCAGCAACGAGCATCTGTTTGCCGCAGGGGAGAGGTGGATTTGATACGGACGACGCCTCGGTAGATCCTGGGCCGAGAGATCGAGTGTGCTCTATTTAAGTTAATATCGTTTGGGTGGAACAAGGTATATACTTATATAAATATATGGATGTTTCGCATCATTCCCATTTATAATTCAAGTCTTCAGAGGAATCAGGCAATAACAAGCGTCGATTGTATATAGGGGGAAACAGTCGAGCTGAAAGCATTGAAGTTACAACCGTGAGAGTCATTCCATCACTTCTACTTCACTAGCTAAATAATTCACTCCATCGTTGGTCGAAGGGATTCTTATTAATATTCGTTTTAGGCGTCTGCCTGGTTGCAAAGATCGCCGTTTGGCTAAATATTTATGACCTCAACCCCCCAGATAAATAACTAATCGTCATACCCATCGAGAACCCAATATTTATCTCTATTAGTGCTCACAGAAGAACAACTTGGTGCTATCCACTGCACACAATATCGTCCTTTTGTTTCGAGTTGATTTTCCATCTGCCGATTTCTTCACTGGCGCTTGGTCCACCTGATAAATATACTGACAACGGTCCAACACCAAAAAACAACTCTATTCCCCGCTTCAGCCGCGGGAGAAACCTGAACTTTTATTTGAGAAGCACTCGTCTGGCGCACTGGTTTCCAGCCTCAATTTCCACGGATCTTGGATATCTTGTTCCGCATTCTACAAAGCTCTACAAAAGAAAATTCCGGCTAAGGACGCTATTTAAATAACTGCTTTCTTCATGCCCCGCTACCGCGATTCATCCTCCTCCAGTAGCAGCAGCTCTGGAAGGGGTGAAGGAGGGGGAGGCAGATGGGATGCAAACCGTTTTTTCAGAGAGCGCGATGAGCGTCAGGAATCGCAGACTCGAGAAAGACGAACTACACAAGTTGTTGATCGACCTCCACCTGAAGAAAGACGGCGACGTAATATCGACGATATACTCCAGGCCGCTCATGAGCGCTACGGCCCGCCTGCCAGGAGAGCCGATCGGACCTATAACGACGACCACCTCATCCCCTCGTCAGGTGCCTTAATTCCCTACCAGGAGAGAGAGCAACGGGACCGGAGTCCAGTAATACGTCCTCGACTCCTCCGTCGCCAATCCTCTCTCGACACCTTCGACCGTGCCGCCAGTCGGCGGGTCCATGATGCCTATGATAGCGAGGACTACGGACCCCCGGTGACTCCGATTCCGATAGTTGTCCCGCGACGGAGACGCACACCCCCTGTCTATGAAAAAACTGACTTGACTGAGATACGCGTTGCAGAGCCAGACTATTATGGAGACGAGGTGTTCCGCACTATACGGTCGCGGGATAGAAGTGTTACCCCCCGGCCACGGGGTCGGAGCGTTGTAACTGTTCCCCGGGAAGTTGAGGTGAGGGAGATTCGGCCTGCATCAGCACCACGCCGCGGGATGACTCGTGTGCCCAAGCACATCGTCCACCCTCGAGCCATCATTGATTCTGGCTACACGTATGAGGAAGAGGTATGCGCGGTTCCCCACCCTCTGCCCCCTCTCCTCTCTCTCACACACATGCCCGTTCACCTAATTGCAATATTTAACTGACTGACACATGTGACATCTAGGGCAACTCCTATCTTATTTTCCAAGCACTACAGGAATCTCATATTAAAGACTTAGTCTCCAGGAGCAGGGAAATCAGACGAACACCTAGTCCGTGCAGTTCCTTTCTTCTCTCTGAAACCAACAGTTCATTCCCACAAACCAGTTGGTGTTGAACATTCAAATATGTCAATTGTTGAGAATCCTACTAATGGTGGCCCCTCTCATACAGCAACGACGGAAATTAAGGATACATTGGCTGTTGGCCCTCCACGGGAAACCGTCAGCATGGAAAGACGGAGATCAGTCTCAAGGAGGCCCATACGAGTGGTAGGATCGCGGTCGCGAAGGCCATCTGTCTCACGAGTAGAGATCCAGCCCATCCGTCACCATCGCCGTCGACGATCGTCACCTATCCGAATCATCGAACCCAAGGACTTCATCGTGGAAGATGTCCTTGTACCCCGGGCAGAAGTTGCGCTCATCATGCCTGACCGCCATCGCCTCCGAGAGAGTGATATCCAAGCAGACGTCCTCGCCTTGGATCGGGAGAGGAGAGCTCTAAGGCAAGAACGTGTGGAGGGAGCATTGGAAGTTGAAGAAACTCTGGATGTGCGACGGGAACCTAAAGGTATGCTTAAATTTTAACTTCGCTCTATCCTTGGTTCTTGACGAGTTTAAATTTTTTTTTTTTTTGCGTAAATGGCAACTAACAAACAACCTGCGGGATTTAGCACCAAGTCCTCGACTGATCAGGGCGATGATGGCAACGCTGACCTGATTGTTTAAATGTAAATCAATTCGAACGTTACCAAGACTCAGCACAGCGGATGAGAATGACCTCAATGACAATGAATGGGTGTTCGTCCCGGCGTCCGCTTGCCTCCACCTGTTCTATTTAACCGGTGTAATCCGAATTTTTCTTTTTTTTGTTAATTTAATTTAATTTAATTTACTTAATTTAATTTGTTTCATCTTTCATTTGGGGTGTCCCACGAATGCAGAGTGCATGGCAATTTGACCTTTGTCGTTTTCAAACCTGTCCAAAATTGTGGCATTCGGGGAGCTATCTATGTAGAGATCATGCTATTTGCTCGGAAGCGGTTTTATCTTTGTATCTCACCTTATTAGGTGCCCTGGTACCTTATCTTAGACCTGCTTGATGCGACTTCATCACTCTTCATGATGAATACAGGTAATTATGCTCAGGCATGCCTCCAATCTCGTCATCAGCACGTATTTAAGGTTTAGACAGGTACCAATGGTACGTAAATTAGAAAGCGAATCACATGACTTATGGATGACAGAATATGAGGTGGCCGAAAACGGATAGTTTCCCCGGCGTCGGGGCTGAAACGTCCGACTTGCTCTTTGGTGTCTCAACTTCGACATCTCACGTTGAAACTACATAATCCAGTCACAATATCCCTAGGGCAAATTTATCACCTCCGCGCAGTGTGAAGAATTATCTATCTACTATAAATATACCTTTCTGCCTATCCAATATCTCCAACTGTCCTGCAAGGTAGTCTCCCGGCGACCATGGACAAAGTACAGGCCTTTGGGAAGAACATCAGGTACCAGATTTCCTCATCTCCTGACTTGGCATCCAGTTCCACCCCAAGCTGCGATGCGTCCCTCTCCCGCCAACCAGTGAACGCTAGGGATTATTTATTTCCTTTTAAAACGGACCCCATTTTCTGATTGTGGCGAATTGCCATAGTGCGTCGTTTACCCCTTTCGCCGCCCGCACCCAGCAATATGTAAAGGAACAACTTGGACAGGTGGAAGAGAAGGTACGCAATCATGATATATCCACCTATGACTTTGGAAAAATCCCTCTTCGACATGACGGGCTGCCTGGTTAACTCGCGATATTATTGGGCTAGACACAACTTCCCGATGACTATATCCAACTCGAGAAGCGCGTGGATGCGTTGAAGCTAGTACATCAGAAGCTCTTGCAGGTTACGTATGTGCAGAATTATTATATACAGTCCACGCCACTTTCAACCTACCTATGTTAGATTTTGGGACAATGTTCGGTTCACCTATCTTGGTTCACAGCTTAAAAGTGAAACCCTTTGCTGATACTTGAACATTTATTCGTAAATTAAATTTTTAGCTCCCAATACTCGCATGAAGCATATGATTACCCTCCCAATATCCGGGAGTCCTTCAATGACCTTGGCCGCACAATCAGCGAGAAAGTCCAACTTCTCTCCCATGCCACCTCCCCGGCTGAGGCCCAGGCTGCCCTCACGGCTCCCCCATCCGCCAAACCACAGCCCAAAACTCTCAGCCATGCCATCGCCCGTGCCTCGTTGGCCGGCTCTCATCTAATCTCCCAGGCCCATTCTGGTGGTTCAGAGGACCCTCTTGCCATCGGCTTGGAGAAATATGCACTTGCCTCAGAACGGGTTGGCGAGGCACGACTGACCCAGGATGCTCAGATCCAGAGCCGGTTCCTGGCCGGGTGGAATACCACGCTGAACACCAACTTGATGTTCGCAGCCAAGGCCCGCAAGAACGTTGAGAATGCGAGGTTGATGCTTGATTCGATTAAGGCCAGCAAGGGTGTCTCGAAGGGAGATTTGAACCACCTCAGTGAAGAAGATCGGGCTGAGATTGAGCAGGCGGAAGATGAGTTTGTTGGCCAAACTGAAGAGGCTGTCGGAGTGATGAAGAATGTTAGATTTCACTCTCACTTATTCTGTTTTTACGTTTATAATTTTCAGTTTGTCTCCTGACCAGCAATCCCAGGTTTTGGATACACCCGAACCCCTCCGGAATTTGGCCGACCTGATCGCCGCTCAGTTGGAGTATCACAAGAAGTCATACGAGATCCTCAGCGAACTTGCGCCAGTGGTCGACGGGTTGCAAGTTGAACAAGAGGTTCGTGATTAGTTTTGCAATTCCTAACAGCCTCCAGTACGACAACTAAAACAAAAATCTTTTCCCCTTCCCTTGAATTTTAAGCGCTCACCCCACTGTTCGTGCAGAATAAAATCCACTAATTGCCCATCAACAACAGGCTAGCTACCGTAAAAGCCGAGAAGGAGCGTAAATTTACACCAGCCCCCTCCAACACTAAATAAGCTATCAATCAAGCTCTTCTCTTCTGCCGTCATAAATTTCAGTTCGCGAAACTCCCTGACATTCGCACGCTGTCAAACACCCACCATTTCCGGTTTACTTTCCAATGATATATTCCAAGATAATAGGCATGCGATGAACAGGAATCTGGTAGTCTTGAATACATTAAGGGGTTACATACAAACCCTATTCTTCTCGAAAATTTTGTGTACCAACCACTTCACACTTCATAATGCTATTGCTTGTCATTCCTACAAACTGATATATTGGAACCTGTGTTTTGTTGTCTACATATTTTCCCCTGTGTTTCAAACTCCTGTCAATCACCCTATACCAGGATACACGGGTCTTCTTCCCATATTGCCTCTGCTGTGTGAGTCTTTACACATGTATATCCAGCTTTCCCTTTTCGCTCTTCATTTTTCGTTGGTTTTTTATTCTTCCCTTGTCAATCCCATTATATTTTATGTGCTATTCACCTTTACCCTATGTCACATTTCCCCTTTTTTCGCCTGGCCTATCAATGCTATCTATCAGACCTGTCAAGTTACTTATTTCTTGATAGGTTCTGTTACCCTCCCTTTAACAGTCCAGTATTGTTGAAATTTTTAGAATTCGTTTTCCGACATACCAATTTCTGCCTACAAACTTTTTTAAGGTTTAAGGATGATACTAGCATCTTTCTCTCGCACTCCCTCTATATTTTGATTTAGCTGGACGCTTATCATAATTACACGCCGCTGTGGACCAACTTCTCTGGCTATTTAGGAACCTGCCACATCCATGAAATTGCTCCCGTTCAGATATGTCTAGTGAGGGATACTGATTCCTATCAGCAGAACAATCCACTCTTCTCCAACACCTAGCCTTCGACTCTATCATTCTGCACATATTAACAAGTACAGAATTCCATGTGCTAATATTGGGGGTCGTATGTATTTCCAACACACATCTCTCTCTTTGAGACCTCAGGAAGTCGGACAGCAGGAAAACAAAAAGCAAAGCAAAGCAAAGCAAAAAACCAACAAGGAAACATCACCCATACATCCCAACTGCCCAATCCCCAGCCCTCATGAAATGTCAGAGTTCGACGCTCAATCCTCATGAAGAACAGCCCCAACCCCTGGCTCAAAATATACCATCAATACCCCCTGATGCAAGGTTCTCGCCAGCCCCTTCAAGGCCGCATGTGCTGCGCACCACTCATCGTAATAGCGCATATCTTCGAGACTTGCGAAGGTTGATGCGGCAGCGACGGTGTAGCCCTGTCGTCGTTGGTCGTTGATTGTTGGACCTGCTCGGACGGAGAGGATGTATGGGTTGCCGTCCTACATAGAAGGAGTTGAGGTAGGGTTGGTGAGTGAAATAGGATCCTGGTTGCATGGAAGGTTTATACAGAGCAAGTGATGGTGTGTAATGGTACGGGATGTATGGACCTATATATATGGTACCTTGAGCGCATCCTTCTGTATTGTTTGGTATTTTTCTAGTAGTTGCTGTTGATGAGTTGGATCTGGGATCTTGAAAAGGGTTAAACGGGTGATTTGCGAAGGCATGGTTTGATGAGATAAACATGTGAATGCTTCCAATGTTGGTCTATCTCGTCCTTAATGGTTTTGAAGAAATAAAGCACAGGAGATGTAGATAGGCAAATGATAAAAAAAAGGAAATCCTTTTTCTTAATATTCCTTCCTTGTCACAGGTTACTTCTATTGCAGAGACAAGATCTGGGGGAGCTCTCTTATATATCAGCCCGCTATCCAGTTTTTAAGGCCCCCCTCACTCTCTAGCCTCGGACGGAAAGAATGCTCAGCCATTCTCCAGAAATGCCAATGGAGATATGGATCTGGATTCGTCCGTGGAGACTCAAGATATAGCTGACCGCAGTGTTGCTCCAAGGGCGGAATTTCCGCGCCCTCAACTTACTTGTTTCCCGCTAACCAGCTAATCAGCCCGAGGACTTGACTCTTAGTTGCTCACCCCTCAATCTCTCAGTTGAGAGAAAATTACTAGATTCAATACGCCAAAATTAATGTCGCCCATGTGTATTTGCTGAAAGGTTGTTGGATATGAGGTTGAGATCCTGATCATCTTGTTTCAATGGGTTAATGCTCGGGTACTCATTTACTATCCTCCACCATTAAGTTCCTCATACTAAACCTTAATTAACTAACGTATTTCCCAAGCGAGCGCAACACCCAAGCGAGTGCAACACCAATTCAAAATATCTTTTAATTTAACTGCCCTTCCACTTCAACGCGCAATTATGCCACCAATTCGCAATAAAAATGCTTCAGATTCTCTGGAAAGAGAGGGAAGACTTGAACTCATGATAAAAGCTTTTAAAAATCAAGAAATTGCTTCAATTCATGAAGCTGCTTGCTTATTTAATGTCTCTTATTCTACTTTCACTATCAACTGAATGGCCGGCAATCAAGGATCAATTTACATGCAAATTCACACAAATTATCTCCTGCTGAAGAAGATAAGCTAGTTGAATGGGTGCTGGACCAGGCTAAACAAGGATTCCCCTCACAGCCAGCATTGGTTGAGGATACAGCTAATTCTCTTCTTACTATTCAGAATTCAACCACCTCCACCACCCCCCCTCTCCGCATTGGCAAGAACTGGGTGTCAAATCTAGTGGCACACTGTCCAGAGCTCCAAAGCTGCTATTCCAGGTGCTATAATCATGAACAGACCAAGTATGAAGATCAGTGGATTATATGTGATTGATTTAAGACCTTGAGAGATAAAATTGCTAAGCATGAGATTCTGTCAGAAGATATATACAACTTTGATGAGACTGGATCTGCTATGAGAGTTTGTGCCACTGCTAAGATTATTACTAGTAGTGAGTGCTACAGCAGAGTAAAAGCTTTGATCAAATTATCAAGACCTGTGAATATGAGGATGGTCAGTGTCACTCTTTATGAAGAAGCAATACCAGAATATATTCAACATGAATGAGATAGAGAAGCAAAAATGCAAGAGATCTAGACACCAAATTCAACAAGAAGTAGGAGGTTTAACTAGTGAAGAAGTTCAAAGTCTTCTAGCTTCACCTGCACCATCTGCAGAGTCTGCAGCACCTGTTGAACAGCCAGTTATTCAATCTCATGAGTTTCACTATCTGTACCTGCCCCATGCTGATGAGCTCCACAACACTGCAGCAATTGCAATGTTCTCAGACATACAAGATTAAGATGTTCTCAACTGCATGTAATTTAATTTAATTGAGTGTTGTAGTGTTGAGATAATTTGAATTAAAATCCAATGAGTTGAGCTCTGTGGTTTTGGTGTTGCACTCGCTTGGGAAATACGTTAGTTAACTAATTAATGTAATCCATCACCTAGTCGATCAGATCATCTAGTTGATCAGATCACCTAGTTGATTGGCCTTTCACCACTCAAAGTATTTCAGATTAAATTAAGCAACAATTATATACAGAAAGTAGTAAATTATATTAAGAATTATTTCCTGCACACTGAGAGCATGTATGAGCAGTATGTCCAATAGTCCCACATACACTACACTGTGGTGCTGTGTGTTTTCATGGTTGAGAGTCAGCAGCTTCAACCACCCCTCCTTCCCATTCATTGACCCTTTGTACGCGATTCAAGCCTTTTTCAACCCTCAAAGCACCCTCTTTGAGCTACATATGTACAGCCTCTTTCTCACTTTCTCTTTTGTTTGGCATATGCGGCTCTTAGTTCCTTGACCTCCTGCTCCAAAAGTGCCATTCTATGCATGGTCATTTGACAGCCCTTGACAAGCTGGCTTAGGGCCTGATGGGTAGGACTGGGTGGACTCTACATACAGTGTTTGATATATTTCCTGACCTTCTCAGCCTGCTGCTCCAATTGGTGTACATTATGTGGTGTGGCTGTGGCCCAGGAAGCTTGGGAGCTATGAGAAGTTCCAGAAGAGATGGGTGTATGCATTGTGGTATTAAGGTGTGAGAGAACCTGTTCAGGATCATATGGAACCAGCCCAGCAGCTCTAAAGCTGCTCTTGATGTTGCTCTCAGTCAGGGCCTGTATATGAGTGATAGGATAGAGACTCAGAAACTTCTTTTTGTCAATGTGATTGATTCCAAGCCACATCTGCTTCTCTACCAGTTGTCTGTACACTGTTTTCAGTGGGGAGAAGCAGCCAACATTCAATGACTGAAAAAGATGAGAGGAATGAGCTGGCATGTAGAGAGCAATAATATTGTTCTCAGAGCAGAACCAGTCAAATTCAGCTGAAGCATGACTTCCATGTCCATCAAGAATCAACAGTCAGTATTTGTCCTTTGTACAGGGTAGAGTGTCCTTGTTGAACACCTCCTTCAGTCAATACAGACCCAGTTTGTCAGTTGTCCAGCCATTATCACTGACTTCAATGACTCAGTTGCCTGGCAGCCCTTCCATCTCATACCAACAGGATTGGTGCACTTTTCCTTTGAGGATGATCATTGTATGAAGAGCCCAATCTGTGGCATTGATTCCAGCAATAACAGTCACCCATTCTTGATTTCCAGGTTGAGCCAGTTTTGGATGATTGGTTCTTTTAGACCCAGTCACCACCCTAGCAGTGCTAATAACTCCCATCTGAAATCCAGTCTCATCAAAGTTGTAGATATCATCTTTCAGAATCCCATACTTTGCAATGGTGTTTTGTACAAGCCTGAACCACCCACAGATAATCTCAGGATCCTCACATAGAGCCCATTGATGATCATACTTGTGTGAGAACTTGGATTTGAGCTCAGAATGGTGATCAATAAATCAATTAACCCAGCATTTGCCAACTGTAGGTGGAGGTTTGGCCTAAGTGCTAGGATCTCAGTTGGCAAGAAGAAGGTTGGCTGTTTCTCATACAGTGCGCACTTGAGGAGGCTGGCCACATTCATCCATGGATAGAATCCACTGTACAAGAACTGACTCTTCAGTAGAGGCTAATTTTTGATTGTTGAGTTGGGAATTCTCTCATGTTTTATGACCATTCAATCAATTCTGTAAGGTGGTAAAAGGGATGCCGTACAAGCTTGCAGCTTTCGTAATACTTGAAGTTTGACCTCTTTTTAATGCCTGAATAGCCAAAAGAATCTTTCCTTCCTGAGTGGAAGCTTGAGAAGGCCGTAGGGTGGGCATTTTGTTGATGTGAATGCTAGACGCATGCACGTTGGATAAACCGATCGACTAGGTGATCCGATCGACTAGGTGATGGATTACGTTAACTATGTTAGCCAGCTTATGTAATCTTATCCTAGTTGACTGACAAATCGCATAACTACGGCTGAGAGCTCCAGTCTTCAGTTTCAACATCCACTTCGTTCAGCGCAAAGGACGGTTTAACACATGCAACCGTTCAGTTAAGATATACAAACCGTCAAAATTATACTCTCTACCTACAAAACTCCGGAACCCCCATCTCGCGTCCCCTGTCGCCGCTGCAGTCGTTTCAAGACCAACTACTTACCTCAATTCTCGCCCGAAATCCACGACCTGTTCACACCTCAAAAATATCGGGCAGTACGTACCGACAGCTGCAAGTACGCCGCAGTTAGCGCAACCTTTTATTTCGAAGTTTAATAGATATTTCCTGCGCACATATATCTATATTATAACACATCAATCATGGCAAACGGGTATGGCATTGCCTCTTATGGAACATTTAACCAGTCCGTCCACAGGCTGACCAAAACTCCGCCGCTTGCCTGTGCTCTCGTCTGAGCAACCACACGGCACTAGGAATGGAATTGTATTATAGATGGAGTATAATAATCGGCCTCGTCTTTGTTGTTCTGGCAAATCTGCTTGCTTGGGTATTTAGTCCAAAGGGAGAGGATAGAACGTCAGTGCCTCTATCTCCCATTATTAGCTCCTGCTATTTCCCCGTTCGACTTCAACCCTTTGGAATACAAGCCTATTGCATATCTGGATCTGTTTTGGCTGTTTTGGGGGAATTGGGGTGAAGTCCGCGTGACTTGTTCACATTATGCGAGGAGTAGTAGGCTGTACAACTCGGACAAAGATCATATGGAAAGAAGGGAATATCGGTTTCTCAAACTCGAACCAGGATGGAGGTGTGGTCAAAATATTAAAAAAAATCTTGGTTCCCGAGTAAGACGGATGAAGGTCCCGGAAACTGATATGGCCCCTTCGCTCCGTTGTCGTTGGAAAACCGCAGATCCCATACTCACTCACCTTTACCCTTCCGCACACTATGCTCTACAAATTATCACACCAGCAAAGGGAAAATACTGACAGCTATTACAGGGTATGGCGCAGCTCTTTAATACTCGCATTCACAGCCTGCTATCTAATGTGGGGTATGTATACACACATACATTTTAACCTTATTTCCATTCGTCCAATTCCTATACCTCGTGCAGACACATAATCTAACCACCATTCCTCTGTGTAGCAATAACATTCCTCGCGCAATTACATCCATTAATTGCGCCAAAGAGAAGTGATATCCGCCCTGGTATGGTACCGCATTAAATGGGGAAGGCGGTGAAGGGGAGCGCATGTTTTGAAGCGGACCGCCATTTTCTATATCGACACTATCCGTGTTTATCTTCACATCTTTCCAGCTGGTTATGGGGGCACTTTTTTGTATGCTTCTCAGCATATATTGTACTTATATTTTCTGAGGTTTGCTTTTTTGCATTGTGCTAAGAATGTGAGAGATATACCCTAATAATTTAGAGAAAATTACCCAATACATAAAATGGGATCGGAAACGCTACCTGTCAAACAGCAATACAATAACTGTTGCATAAGTAAACACATGATCCCTCTCTGTATTGACTCCAAAGGAAAGTCAAAACCAAAGTGCCAAAGCCCAAAACACCCAAGCGCTAATTCCGATATGCATTATTAAACAAGTGTTTTTCTGGCCTCCTTTGCACCTCATAAGCATATCGTCAAAGTCAATTTATTTATTTGTTCACAATCCCACCAACCCCAACATTGTCTTTTCAACAACCCATCTCGCAAACTGGCCACCCAGCGCCAGCATCGCTGCCCGTATATACCCGCAATCAAGCAGTATGAAAAGCGCTTCTGTATTATTCAGCAGAACGAGATGGGTATTCGTAATCGAGAGGACAAGGGAGAGGAGCGGGTCTAGGATCGAGGAGGAGAGGGATGATGAGGATATATTTGAAGCGTGCGACGGGGATGGAGAAGGAAATAGTTGCTGCTGCTGCGGTTGTTGCGTCGAGATGCTAGATATAGTGGAAGGGGAGGCGTAGCTCATGACTGTACAAACCAGGGAACTGGAAATGATTCCTGTGGCTGACCCCGACGCTGCGGTGGTTGTGTTGTTGGCGTCTGGTGTTTCTGGGCTCCAGATCACGAGGAGGATTGGGAAGAGTTTGGTGCAGCTGCTGACGAAGAGAGCGGTGCTTATGGAATTCGCGCTGGCGGGGAAAGGGGGAGGCATGGGATTGACCTGGAGGGGTGATGTGGACGATCTTCGGACAAGTGGTGGGTGTGCAAAAAGAGTATTTGCGGAGGGATTTTGATTAGGTTCGCTGGAAGTCGGCTGAGGCTGCTGTTGCCCTCCATTGCCTGGTGCCGTGCTGGTGGTGAGCGCAGGTGTCTGATTATGGGACTGTGAAGGGGAATTGTTGAGATGGGGTTGGAGAGTTGAAGGGCTGGGTGGGAATAGCTCTGCACGGCTGGAGTCGTTCCGGGTATTGGTGGGTAACGGAGGCCGCGGGACCAAGAAAGAAGCAAGGAGACGGACTGTAATGTGGTGCGCCAGTGTTGCGAGGGTGTTCAGTGTGAGGAAGAAGAGGTATTGGACTATAATCGGAGATGTTGAGAGTGTGGATGCGGAGAGCGAGGAACTTTTCTCGACCCGTGCCCATGAGAGATAGACGTCAAAGAGTAAGATTAATGTTCCGAGGCGTATAATCGAGCGCTGGAGAGACACATTATTATCCATTCAACAACTACAAGAGTGCCAAACGGGATATGGAGCGTAGGTTGTATACATACATCGAACTTATCGTCCGACCTCCCAAGTCGATTGAACAAGAGGTGCCGATACACCTAGATCAGAAAGGCTTAAAGTTAGCCAATACCGCAATAGCAGACAACAATTCCGAGCTGGAGAGTATTGCTCATCACTTACCTGCGGCTTTATCAAGACCAGATCGATGAACAACACCACGAAATCATGCTCCACATACTTGTCCGCGAACCGTTTGCAGCGCGGACATTGTGTCAACCGAACTCCCTTGCCTAGGGAGCGGTCATCGGCTTTGCTGTAGGAGGTGTAGAGATGGGAGACGGGATAGCAGCATTCGATACATATTGGCATTGTGGATATTCATGTTGCACATTCGGCAGGGAAGGGATTGGACCTATTCATGTTCCATTTTGGAGCGTTTCTTGTTGTTTGTCTGTTGGTCTCTCTTGATGACGTTCAAAGATGTCTTTCCCACAAGGATTAGTTAATTGTACTGCTTGGTCCGTGCACAAACAGCTCTTTCAACACGGAAAAAGGGGAAATTTTGGCAGTGGAAATTTTCTCTATCTTCGCCAATTATTTTTGAACATGGAATACGGAGGATGGGAAGAGCCAGACACAATATACACTGGACTTAAGTTTGGAAGGCTATTTATTTTCACGGCTATGTTCTTCGTATAAACCTATATCCTCTCTCAAGGCTGCGAAGACATGGTAATTATATTTACTACCTTGACTACTAACAATTAGTCTTCTGTAACGAAAGCTGTTATAACTGACCAAGAACTACACATTGCAAATTCTCCAGAAATGTCATCATTAAGGCGCATCCATATCCAGAGATATATATACTGCTCAATCAGCAACATGTTTATTATCCGCCCAACTAGGCTCAATATGCCGACAAACCGCTTCATAATCCCAAAACACCCTATCGTTCTCTGGTACCCCATCAGTCGTCCAGAACATCGTCCAGTTCGTCCCAGGGAGCTTCCACGTCCCCCTTGCCCGCTCAAAATACCACTTATTCACCGGATTATCACGACGGCTCCGCCAGGCGACACCCTTGCGTAAACAGGTTCGAACCATGGCGTTAAACACGATATCCGCCACGCCACCCGCCCCCTGGCTGCGTTTAAGAACAGCAAATTTATCTAGATACGGAACCATTCGCGATCGGCTTGCTTCGCTTCCGTCATTGGGCACGCCGGGTGGTAGTTCCCAGGTTAAGATGGCTCCGCCTTCATACTCGCCTGCGATGATGAGTCCGGCTAGGTGATCATTCACGCGGTTGAGGTAGTGTTGCACGTCTAATTTCCTGTTAAACGAGTCTTCGATTAATTGGACGAGTCGAGGTAGGTCGATGCATGGATCATTAAGCGTCATCCGGGATTCTCCATTTTTGGGAGGCTCCCAGATCTGGATACGCGGGTCAGGAAATAGGGTTAGCGGCATGCCCTTTTTGAAAAATGTTGAGTGAATCACTGGGGTTGTATTGTAGGATGAAGAGCCGTTGTTTGCACCCAGCCTTCCCGCTGGAAGTGAAGCGGAATGGCTGGGCTTATCGGTAAGTAGATTGTGAATCAGAGGATTCCGCTGTCGTCGGGTGCCAACAGAGGATAGCTCTGATGGGTCCCGAGGTGGGCTTGCGGAGTTCGCTGCATCTTGGGGCGTTGTGATGATGCCAGATGAGGACGGTGGTAGGTAGGTTAGGGTGCCATGTAGAAGCTTCAAATTGTCGAGGTGCCTCTGAAGATTTGGGGATTGGGAGGTATCTCGATTCGATGCAAGACCTAGCTCACTGCGTAACGACACAGCTTCTTTTTCTACCAACGTTGAAAAGGGATTGGATTTCGCCAACGATGATACTGATTGTCGCTCCCCCACACGCTTATCATTCGTGTCTTCGTTTGTGGCCATCCCTAACTTTAACTCCTCGCTAATCTCTTCATATTCCTGCTCCAAATTCACGAAAACGTGCGCTTTCGTGCGCCGTTTGAGTGACGGTATACCACCTGCCGGATCCAACACAATAAGCCTGTCAACAGAGACTTCCTTTTGGAGCTCTGAAACCTTCCGCGCCAGCTCATGGGGGTTATCACCTTGGCTAGGTTTGACACTCAATCCCGTAAATTCCTTAGTTAATGCCAATACAACATCATCCGCTGGAACAGCAACTCCTGTAAGGGTATCCTCTGTGTAACCAATAGGCGGAATAACAACAATTCTTCCACGCCGTAAAGGAGAAAGAAGTTGATCCCTTGAAAGCACAGAAACAGCATTCTCATTTGAAGGCGCCAAGCGTATGACATCATCCAGTCGTTGGGAGTCTAAACCATTGTCACTTGCGTCAATTGCAGCTGACACACGGTCTGCCTGTTCAATTGCACGTCTTCTCCACGAGGAGTCATTTTCGGGCAGTGCGGGATCAAGCACGACACAACAACCCATCCCCAGCATGGCGAGCTGTGACAATGTTCTTCCAACCCCTTTGAGCGTGTTGTCCTCCAGGAGCTGAGGTTCCCGAATCTTGACTAGAGCGATGTGCAGTGGCTCTCGATTCATTTCTAGTAGTGGTGATATCTGGGGCGTAGAGTCCTGTCTCAACACCGGAAGATTATGCGTAGCTCTCGCTACACCAGACACCGCATCTCCCAGATTTGCCCCTAACCCGACGATATTTGCGTCTACCCCGCCCAGGGCATTGGTATTAGCGTCCTGCTGCTTCGGCTTTCCGGGAGCTGGCACCTGATATTTGAAGCGTGAAAGATACGACTGAGCTTCTCTTTTTGTTGATGCAGAGCTTAGCAGGCTGAAGAAAAAGTCCTAACATCAGAAATACAACAGTTAATCCTTCACAGTTCTACGAATAGATGCTCAACCTCTCAAGGGCAAAGCGATGGATGATAACCTTATCCGCCAACTTCTCCCTAGCCCTGTGACCCAGCTGTCTCTGATAATCATTCTGCTCTGGAGGCGTTTCACCATCCTGCCGCCTAACGGAGGATGTGGACACAAGGCGTCCTGCCGGAGCTAAGAAGCAACGGTTTTTTATGGGAAGGCAGCTGGTGCATGTAGGGACACTGATTCGTTCATACTGGAGGCCAAGAAGATGGGGAAGAAATAGATGCGATGTTAGCAACATAATCTCCTGCCATGTGAGCACGGGGAAGACCAAACCTTGGAAACGCACCTTATGAAGGAATAAGTGTGGGCCCGAGGGCCAGTCCAACACCGCTCTTCGGTTCATCGTGCATGATTTTCAGACAACGTTGATGGTAGTAGGTATGTTGGAGCGGAGAACTCCGCAGCAGTTTATTGAGGGAGCAACTGAGCGGTTTAACTACAACTCGCCCAGGTCATCGGTCGAGGAAGGGCAATGCGTACGGGGTCATTGTCGCCGTGAAACCCGGGGACAGAACAATAGAACCGTGGTGGGGTGGCCTCCATGTGAGTCAGTGATGCAGAGTTTGGGGTTTGAAAGCTGGCTGGCTGCTGTCTTGCTGCTTGTTCGGGTGGAGTAGGCTTTATTTCCACGATGCCTGGGGTTTTGCCACCGCCAATTTGGGGCAGGCGGTCTGACGCCCGGCCAAACTACGGCGATCAGATAAGGTTGCAGGCACGCACCTTATTTGCCAGAAGATATTCTAGCTCCAACGCTAGGCTAGGGCTGAGCCCTAATCAATCAATCGCTCCTGGGAACCTTGGCAGGTTTAAATGTTCTGTTCCTCTGCGATCAGCTGCATTCGATAACCACTAGATACGCTACAGCGACAGTCTTCGCTGCGCAGCCTCCAGGGCGTTCAGGCTGTGAGGGTTATATATCATTAATGCCTATATACGGAGTATATATATATATCACCCAGTCTGTCGACATGTCCGGAACAAATTCCCTCAGCGATGATTCCGCCCTATTCCCAATGATGAAATGTGAAAAAATTACTTAAAATATCCACCGACAATAATGACACCATGTATGACAACACTCCACCTCTGTAGGTAAAGCTTCCTATGCCCGTTAACCAATCGGCTCCCGGGTTCCATCTGCTCTCTCTCCCCAATCTAATCCCTCTTCGACTTGGTCACTCGCTCTTTCAGTCGATAAAACATATCGATACCCATTAGTGCAGCTGTCATTCAGCAATCGTAGAATTACATATCTATAGTTAGCGTGATTTGTGCAGCATGTCTTCGCGGTGTTATACAATCTATCCAACAGCAAACTATTTATTTGCACTACACAAAAGAGAAAGATAGAAAATTCAAAAGCAAGTAAAGCTAGCACATACCAAATGCAGCATAAGGCGCGTACATATACGTAATCGTTGTCTTCTGCTCGGTCGTGCGATCGGTCCAGCTCCACACGTCGACCAGGCAAGTAAGAGTTGTGATGAATGTCTGTACCGCAAAGACGAGCAAGTGGACGGGGACCATGGGAGCATCTGTATATGGTTTTTTGTCGGTTAGCTGCCCATGCTTATCGCAACAAGGGTTCAAAAGTCCATCTCTAATGCCACCACTTAGGAAATGAAGAAAAAAGGGAGGTATTTCATCTAGATTCCCGTTTTAAAATGATGCGAACCATATACAGGGGCGAGGAGATGAAATATGCACCCATACCTCTAAGTATGGCACCGACTGCCCAAATGCTCAATGGCAAGTGATATACCGCTTCCATGAAAATATAAGCCTTCCCCCACGCGGCCGGTTCCGAGAAGAACTTATCCTGGTACTTCTCGATATAGTCGCTGCGGACCTTGTCGACGAAAGCCGGCCTGATGGAGGCCGGGTAGAGAGGGGTGATGTCCACCACTAAATTTTTCCAAGAGGAATTGGGTTAGTTGGTATGACTTTTTGTTATATGTTGTGCTCAGGGTGCTGATTTTCTGTTTCTTAACAAATGAAAGCTGTTTCGCACAGAATGGCCCTTTACCTTCCTATGCGCTGCAGCCCTGCAAAAATATCTGCTTCATAGGAAAAGAACATGTCCAATATGGGCATTGAACTCCTGGAACCGGCAGCTACCAAAGCAGAGTGTGGAAACATGTCTAAAACTGAGCACATTGATAATGGCCTCTACGCCTGCAACACTGAGTGTACAATCTCAAGCTGACCACGAGCATACGGCCCAGAATTATTCGCTGAGACAATATGAAATAAACGGGCCCGTAAACACAAAACACATACATAATATAATCACAACATGAAGCAAGAAGAACGAAAGATAGAAGAGATCGACTTTGCGTTCTGATATTGACTTGTGAGTTGTTGTTGTTGTCATCTTGATTGTTTTGCTCTATCCGTCCGTTAAAAGTCGGGTTGAGAACGGTGAGCTTTTGGACTTCAAAGAAAATGAAACTATGAAGCTAAACTGGTAGAGTAACTGGGCTATCAAGAAACACGGGGGAGAAATAACGAATTGAGCAAGTAAAAATGGAAGCGAAACAAGCTGGGGGGGAATATGAAGAGAGCGCACGCATCAGTCTGCGATGTTGTCGACGAGTGGGGAATCTCTGCAAGACTCCATGTATTTCACGTGCACAGACTTGTAGCGAAAGGCAACTAATAATTAAGAATGAATCAAATGTTGATACACAAAGTGTACGACACACTCTTCTGCTACCGCAACATTCAATAAATATTTAATCGATTAATTCATCTATTTGTCTCTCTGATCTTCCCTTTCCCCCAATCTCTATCATCGCCATATTTTGCTCCGAACTTTATATCCATGAAAAAACTAACCAGGGAGGGGGGGGGGGAAGGAATACGCCACAAAACGAGGCTAAATAACGTCTGGCATAAGAAGTGCATGAAAATAAAATAAAACAGGGAGAAGGAAAAGAAGAAGAAAACGCTACTGACATGAAGAAGAAATAGAACGAAAAAAGACGAAAAAAGCTACGAGGTTTGCATGTTTAGATTGCGAATGATGAAAAGGATTAAAAATGGGATGGCGACTTTTAGAATAATATCACAACACCAGTGACAACATTACAACGAAAAATGGTTAGTTATAGTTAGTTAGGTGCAATGATGCAAAGGATTATGCAAGCCCACTTTCGTGGTTATGGCCTCTTTCATCTTCCTTCCGGCATGTACCGCCTGTAGTCACTGCCAACAATCATGCAGATTATTACAGAGACCGCTGAATCTTGGCCTGCAGATCCCGACATTCCTCAGCTGAAGTATCATCCAACCCACTCTGTTGCAAGAGTAGCAGCATCTCCGAAACCCGGTGTGCGCAGACATCGCTGCCAAACGCCCCCGATCCAACTCGAAGTGAATCTTGGAACCAGCGAGCGATCAAGTACAAGAGATCCCGTGCGATGTATCGTCTATTCTTGCCGTGGAACGGAACTTCGTTGGTATAGAACAGCGATTCAAGAACGGTGTATATCTGTTCGTGTGAAACTTGGAGATCGAGGAATAGGTCTACGACCCACGTGTCTGGGCCGACACCTAGCTGCTGTTCCAGGACATATCGGTCCAGCATGGGTAATAGCATCGAGACTGGGAATGTAGTGTCTGACATCCTGATACGGCCGGAGAGGTTTCTTATTTTTTCGATTACGGCTTCGTATGGGAGAGGTGTGCCTCGTGCCGAAGCCTCTTCGTGGACTTCTTGGATTAGGTTCTGCCAGCATACTTTGATATCTGCTGCGTTGCGGTAGTTGGCGAGGTGCATGATATGAAGGCAGATGTCGTAATAGCCGCCTGGATCGGCATATAGGTTAAAGAGCTAAAGAGCGCATAATGTTAGTTCACAGTTGTGATTATTTAAGGGAGATGTTTGTGGTTTTCCTTAAAAGTTACCTTATTGAGTTCCATGATCTCTCCGTCAACCTCTTGAAGGACCTCAGATTTACGCTCTGGAGCGATTCTGGCATCTTCTTTGAGGCGCTGCAAAAGATCATCCTGTACATTAGCCACATCCATCAATGTCGACACTTCCTGAAGGAGTCTTTGCCTCGACGCTCGCGAAATATTAGGTGTAAAGACAGATGCATTTGCCCTGGCTTGGCTGAGATATTCAATCCGTCGGCTCAGGGGAAGCAAGAATGAGCTCTGAGCAAGCTGCAGCTGGACAGATGCAGCCTCGTAAAATCGACTGGATTGTGCGTAATATCTCCAGAGCAAATCTGCGTGTGAGAGGTCTTCGGTGGACTTTCTTTGAAGATAAGTGACGACGAAAGGAGTCTGGACTTGCAGGAGACGTTCACTCCAACCATGCATCAAATACCAGTCATACAGGCTGGTAAGAAACACCTCATCATCGCAGCTTGAGATCACATCATACGCTTCATTCTTTCTTCGGGCAACTGGAGTAAACTGTCCATCAACAAAACCTGGGTCTTGACTCGAAAGGTCGTCAACTGCGAGAATAACCCTATAGATTAAGTCATAACACTGTTTTCGAATCTCGAAGCTGGCTTGCCGAGAATCCTACATCACATCAACGTTAGATACAATGAAGGTACAAGTGATTGTGTGGGAAATATACCTCTGGTGGTCGACCGTCCATGATCCACGAAAGAGCACGATTTGCCTTGTCGGAATGAGCCGCAACGCCCAGGCACAGCTGAATTGCCCCTAAAATGAAGATTAGATATTGGCCATTTAACAGAAGGTTGGGAAATAAACATACCAGCAAAGAATTGACTCTGGATATATTGCTCCACGGCGGACTGAAGATAGTCCATTGGCAGATATTCAGCCACTTGTCGAAAAAGGACTAAACTCTCATTGAGCAAATTCCGGCCCAACTCTGAGTTTGCTCCTGCCTCCGACGCTCTCTTCAGCAGTTCTTGAGCCTTGAAGATCACGACATCTTCCGCACTACAGAACGTGCCGCACCTTCGTCGCAGAGCCTCCGCAACAGTCTCCACGTTCGACCCCTTGGCGATATTCCGATTCACTATAGCTTTAACAAGTTCTTTCGCAACATCATGACCTTTGCTGCTACTGAACAGCTCTTCGAACGTGAGGGTTAAAAATCGCTGCTTCGATTCTTCTGGTAATAGGGCGAGAATTTCATCAACTCGTTCATCAAACAGCACGAGAACGAAAGAAATTCCTTCGGTTGTGTCGGAAACGAGCTGAACCATTGAATGTAGCGCACGATGTTCTCCCTGTAAGGCAATCTCGTCCTGTTTTGTGATGGCCCGTGAGAGCGCCTCCGGCCCACTCAATCCCTCGATAAACGATTTGTTCGCGCGGAAGAAATCCTGAAGAGCAGATAAATCTCGCTGAATCGAATGTAGTTTTGAAATCTCGACAGATGGAGAAATAGTAACGCCTCCAGAGGGGGTCCTGTTTTTCTTGGCAATTACTGTTTTCCAAATCGACCTTAAGAGGCGTGAGGTGTAGAGAGCAATACCGGCATGGCGCGGGGAGGGGATCACAGCATCAATGGCAGGGGTGGTGGTATCGGCAACAGCGTTCTCATTGAATGTAGGCTTCCCACCAAACTCAATAAATACCTTTCGCGCAAACTCAAGAACATCGGGGTCATTTATCTTCGAAAGACGAGAATCGGCAGACAGCTCAACTCCCTGACCACAGGCGACCGCCAGAGCCGTCGCCAGCGTCTCGCTGCGGCCATACAATCGTATCAGGGTTTTAACTTGGGTTTCCAAACCTTCTTCACCTCCAGCGTTCCGTATAAGGGAGGCGAAAATATCCACCAGTCGCCGTCTGCGAATAACGTGAATGCCAGTATTAGTTAAAATCGCAATTTCCGCAGCAGGCTTGTCAAATTGAACTGCAAGCTCGTTTCCAGAGCTTTCTGCTGAGTTGGTAGTGGATACTGGTGTACATAATCCAATGTCTTCTGCTCGACTACCAAGAGTTAGCCAGATGGCAGTTTCGCCAGGTTTAATAGGGAGTGCGCTGTCCTGGGGACGAGCAAGGCGACCAGAGTCTGGAGTCGATATGAAAAGCGTATCTGTTCGATGCATGGGGTCCTTTGATGTAAAGCAGAAGAAGTAGCCAGGAGGGAATCGCTTGGCTGATCTGGTAGGATCAAGTGAGTGGATGGCGAGTTTTGCACCAAATGAAGCCTGATACGGCGACCCAGCGACAGGAGGTGGCCCTTGAGGAATTTGACTTGGGGGTATGTCAGACGGAGGTGTCTTCACATGGTGTGCTTGCATACTGGTCGGCGCATTAGTCGCGGTTGGCGTTGCGGACCAACTATATGTCCCAGTAGCGCTAAGATAGATTCTGTATCCAGTAGCAGTTGTTGCCACAAGATGGTATCTAGACGCCTCTGCGGCTGGGATAGGACTGATAGAAACTATCTTAACCCGAGGATTGAGCGTTTCGTTGGTGCTGATTATGTGGCCAAGGTTCGAGTATATATCGATAGCATGTTTTGTAATGGTAAGGTTAACCGTTCCATCAGGTTTCAAGTGGAATACGCGGATGCACGAGTTCGAAGAGAGTGTGTATAGGAGGTTTCGGCTATCATCGACAACCATCTGCTCAACGTGTTCCGTTGGCTTATGGCCTAGAATAATTGACGGAGTAAAAACAGTAAAGCTCTTACTTGTGTGGTTCACTTTCCCACATCGGCCTTGGAACCATCGCTCTTCCTGTTGATAGGTGAGTTCATAGACCTCATTGTCAGCAGACCCAGCAAAAAATATCCTCCCGGTCGAGTCTGAGGAGGCAATCACATTGATATCCATGCCTTTAATCGATGTCGCCATCGCAGTTTGATAGAGTGTCACCAGCTTTGTTCCAGAGGGAGAAGTATCGCAACCCAAACCCAATATCAAGACTTCTGCCGTCGTTGAGATAATGAGGATATGCGAGATTGACGGAAGGAATACGCCAGCTCTGGGTCGCGCAAGCTTGACAGTGTTTATACTATTTGGTTGGCTCTCAAATCCCACCAGCTGCGGATTTGGATGCGTGTAATCCCAGAGATACAGTGCATTATCAATAGCAACCCAGGCGTGATTCAACTCCGCAAAAAGACCCATACTCGTCGATACCTGTGCTCGATTGTACTGGTCGAATATTTGGTCTGGAATATTATACATCTTCACTTTTTGAAACGGCGCCCAAGACGCTGACGTTGGGATATCATAATCGGAAGAAAATCCCTCTGTTACCCTCTCATGTTAGTCTTTCCGTATTTTTGTTTTATTTTATTTCATTTCATTTTTATTTTCTTTTGCTATTTCCAGCAGCGCAAGTCACTGCCAACGCTGGGGCTTCCTTAATACATACGGGATAAATAACTGTCCAAATCTGGGTATCGTGCTTCTTGCGCCAAAGCCTCATCTACCGTCCGCGCAGCTCGCTGCCGTGGGTTCAAGGTCTCCACTCTGTTCTTAATCTTCGTCGCTGGTAGCCTTGGACGACGGGGTTGGGGGAACGGTTCCGCCGCAGTCGCAGGTTGGTCGCGGCCACCAGACAGGTTAGATGACTGGAAGAGAGGCCCATTGTATGCTGACGGAGCGGGAGTCTGGAAGTAGGCACCTGGAAGAGGTTTTTGAGGAGTAAGAGGTGGGAAGGACATCGTTTTACAAGGTCCGCTGGCGCATAAAGCTGGGAAAGCTCGCCTGCTCTGGGGACAAGTCGCGCGCCAAAGGTTTTGCTAACTACCCTACCACGGCGGATAGGATAGGGTAAGAAAAGTAAAAGGATGAATGAAGGCAGATTAAGAGTGTCTCATCTAAGACATAGCATAAGAACAGATGTCTAGTCAGGAACCAGCTTCGTGGAGAAGGTTGGGACAAGGCACTCCTCCGTCGTAGCAGGAATGGGTGTATCTTCGCCGAGCTCCATTCAAAACACAAAAAGCACGAAAAGCAGGAGAGCGCACGGACCAGCAGACAACTAGCCACTGAACAATTATTTAACTTCGCAGGTACTTCACACTTCACTATTACTTATCTACTCAAGCAACACTCTGGCTTTAAAATAATTCAGTCCACTGCACAGTACTGCACAGTAAAAACAGCAGTATTCTTCTTGTTGTCAAGGCCATTTTGAATAGCCAATCCATTTGCTACCAATTCACTATGTTCCGCTCACCCAGCATCCGCCCGCAACTCTGCCTACGAGGTAGCATCCGACACAACTCTACAGCTCCTGTAACACCCCCTTTACTGCTGAAAATAAAATCAGACCTCAAGGATGCCATGAGAGCAAAGGATACCTCAAGGTTCGTGCCTTAAAAACAACCGCCGCTCCTTCATTCATGGATATAAAGTGTCTTTCGATTCCTTCTAGCTAACCGTCATTCATTTCAACACATAAAAAAGGCTCAATGTCCTCCGCGCACTAATATCAGAAACAACCAATGCCTCCAAAACATCCTCCCCCATAAAAACTGACTTGCAACTTCTAATCCTAATGCGCAAGCGCGCCGCCGCCCTCAAGGATGCGAAAAGCGAATACAACCAGGCAGGCCGGGCGGACCTGAGCGACAATGCAGACAAAGAAATCCAAGTCCTGGACGGCTATGCGAGCCAGGTAGAAACTACGAGTGCTGAGGAGATCCAATCCGCCGTCTCGAAGGCCATTGCAGAGCTGCAGAGCACCGGGAAAAAGGTTGTGGTGGGATCTGTTATCAAGGCACTTGTCGGTCGAGGGGGTTTGCTGGAGGGGAAACCAGTTGAAACTGCGCAGATCATCGGGATCGCGAACGAATTTATACCCAAGAAGTAAAATTTGGGGATGTATCTTTTTGTGTTCCTGGGATATATTGTGCAATATATTAATGCTAGGTACGCGCAAATTTTGGGATCGTTCTCCACTCCGGATTACGAATGGCCTGGCTATTTGGATCTAGCGGGGTGGGTGTTACGATATCCACGGCTCATTCCGTTCCGCAGGTTGCAACGGGTGAAACGAGAAGGGAGAATAATAAGGTGAAGCACTTTCTCTCTGAGAAGTGTTGACTGACATGTTCCCCTCATTCGGTTTAGGACCAAGCCACTGTATTATTATTTGCTACAATGATATAGAATGGTAGATTGTTGACGCTTCGAGAATCATTAAACGAGGAAAATAAACGACGCCAATCAATATATGCAATATGAAGTGTCATTAAAGCCCTCTAAAGAAAATGAAATGAAACGAAATGAAAGAAACAAGGCCATTCCAGACCAGCAGACTCTCGAGCAGTGCACCCAGCTAACCGTATCATAGATTTTTAAAACAATGATATCCTATCAACCACCACCTCCCCCTTTTCCCTTGGCCATCAAAACGCCAATCTCTCCCAAGACAAAATCCTTGAGAAACTATTAATAAATGAAAAACAAAACCCTCGTATCATCAAGGAACCCCATCATCAAGGGAAACCCCCTTAAACAAACCTAAGATGCACATAAACTATGACAATAATATTGCGAATCCCTTTTACTTATAGATCAAAACCAGCCCACCAACAGCTGTCATGAACACACCCACCCACCAAAGCGTATCCATCCCCGACTGATTGTTGTCCCCTTCCATGTCGACAGATGCATTTTTGTTTAACAACGATTCAAAGTCCACTCCTAAGCCCGCGCCCTCTTGTTCTCTCCTTTCAAGAACTGAACCATCTCTTTTTCCTTTTCCTTTCCCTTTACCAGTATGTATTGGATTCAGGGTCTCTGTCGGGAGCATTTGCGGCTGTCTCGAGACGAGGTACATGGGATGCATAGGTGTGCCGTCGAATTGGTAGAGGTTGAGACGTTCGACGCCGCTGTAGGGGTCTGTTAGAACTTCGTATCTCTGCCGTGTTTGTAAATCCTGTGTTAACTATATGCAAATATAATATATTTTTCGTTTTGATGGCTTTTGATGTTGATTCCCCTACCTCGAACAGTTCCTCCTGGGTATATCGAGAGTAATATGCATTTGGGCCTTCACAACGGTTGGAGACTAATTGTCGACCATCGGAGCCGAACGGTGTGAGGATCAGTGATCCGTTGGTTGCAATTTCGTATTTTCCGTGTTGGAACTGCATCATTCCCCTTGCGCAATTGGGTCGGGTAGCTAAGATGCGATATGTCAGCGGATTTTTGTATAGTTATTTAATATCCAACATTGATGATGAATGATCCGGGGCAAGTAGGGGTGTTTACTGACGATTAGCCATTGCCCTATAGTGTGCCTCTTCGTAGAATCCTTTGATTGAGAACGAATATGAGATGCCTGTATGCGACGGTTCATTGAATCTATCTTTTACCGGATCATAGAATCCCTTTTAACAACAAACAGCGCAAAATGGTCAGTATGTGAGTGCGTGCTGTACCAAGACGGGCTTTTGCTTTACGGTTTCGTTCCTTTAATTCAAGGAATAAAGAAAGAAGAATGGGTAAAAGCCACAACCGAATTCGAAGGCGACAGACAGATAGGACATACTAAACCTGTCAAGACTTTCGCGGACTTTGTCGTCCAAGTGCCTGCGAGCCGTGGATCATACGGACGTTGCGCGGCCACGCCATCAGATAAACAAGCCAAAAAGAGTAAAAAGAGTGAGAGTTCAGCTAACATGGTTGACGCGGCTATCCTTTAGCCTAAAACATGGAGGGCAAGAAAGCAGAACGAGGAATAAACAAAAGGAATAGCACAAGCGACTCGAGGGAGGACGTGAGAGTAGTTGTGGCGTTGGGATGATATGACTTGCAGTAGGTAGAATTGTTGGACCTTTTTTTGTTAGGTGTCTGGCAGAGTGGGTTGAACTTGACACCACAGCGGGGTTCCTAATTTAAGATTATCCGTAGGGAACAAGGGGTTCACATCTGCGAATGTTGTACCCACAAAGAAGTTAAGTTGTAACCTATGTGGAAATAAGCAGACAGGGACATTATTATTATTATTGGATTTTACTGCAAGAAATAAACCAGATCAACCACAGTGGCCTGGCTGTTTTGTTGCAGCTGCAAATTCGGGACTTGTGAACACATATATATGTATTCTCCATGCCACAATGATCAGCAGCAATGAGCAGCGTAGTCATCGATGAATTGATGCTTGCTGCATGGCTGGATGATAGTGGGACCTGTTATTTACCAGTGTTTTGGTATATGGGGCAACTGTACAGTGAGTTAACCCTGGTAGAATGTATTGAATATTTCTTTCAAGAATATATACAATGCAAGTTGCGACCATTTTCCATAACTGCCGGTCACCACAAGTAAGCGCGTAACTACTGGGGAGCGGCTAATTTGTTCCGCTAAAGTCACCTTTCTTTAGGCGATTCTCGCGAAGGATTTAAACAGCGCGGCTAGGCACATGTTTAACAGGAGAATTAGTCGCGGAGAATCATCTTCGAATCTTCGATCAACAGTAATTGGGACCAGCAAGCAAGAGCTAAACTAGATGCCCATAGCTGTTGATTGACTTATCTTCGGAACCATCTGACAGTAAGAGGCGTCTACAGTATCTTCACCTGACGTCTTCCTCCTAATCCCCTTGCCTATAACTAAACGCTGCTCTCATTGCGGATGCATATATTGCAAAATTATAACAAACCCCTCATGGCCACTCTCCAAAGAGCCAAGAAGGAATTACGGAGCAGACTACGGAAGATACTCTCAGAAGTATCTAAAGAATGCATAACTGCCCAATGTTAGAGCCAACCTCCTCCATCCGACTTCATTAACTGTATACTGATATATAAATTCATTCCCTTTTCTCTGGGAACAAGCCTCCGTCACGACAAGAAATCTGCTGTCCCTGCCCGAGTATCACGCTGCAAAAAGTCTCAGCATCTACCTCTCAATGCCATCGGGAGAAATATCAACAACAGCTATTGTCCGCGATGCATTCAGCAGAGGTAAACAGGTATATGTGCCATATCTTTATCAATCGGATCCAAACACAGCTGCAACGCGGGACCGCGCATCGGTTATGGAAATGCTGGCGTTGCGCTCACTTGAAGACTACGAATCATTACAACCGGACAAATGGGGTATCCCATCACTAGATGCGAGTACGATTGCCAATAGAAAGAATTGTCTTGGTGGGTATGGCATTCCGACAACGACAACAAGTCAATCAAGTAGTACATCGACGGACGCAGAAGCAGAAGGTACGGGATTGGACTTGATTGTCATGCCGGGAATAGCTTTTGACGAACAGCTGAGAAGATTGGGGCACGGGAAAGGGTACTATGATCATTTCATCAATCGACTGATGAAGAAAGGGGAGGTTAATGTAGTCGAAGGCAAAACAAACATGCGAAGGCCATATCTCGGTAAGGAACCAATCCCAATATGCTGTAAAATCAAGACAAATATGTCCGCCATATCACTCCCAAGGTGGCCCCTGCTAATTAAATGGTCTTCATCTATTCTCATCTCAGTCGCCTTGGCTCTGGGAGAGCAGCTTCTTCCCCCAGATGAGAAGATACCCGTCGCGGAGCATGACTATCCCATGGATGCCCTTGTCGTCGGAAATGGGCGAATTCTCACCAGCAGCAAGAAAGAAGCAACGTAGCTTTCCCCGTTGTTCAAAATGCTCCATCAACCACACTTTTTAATTTTCATTTTCTCTCCTTAATTCGTTCACCATATTTCTTCTTCTTTTTTTGGTATAACTATAGCAAGTAGCATTCAATTTCTAACGCCTGTTTGCACCCAAAGCCACCGCATTCCTATCTCACCCGCTTTGCGATCATTGAAGGGCCTGAATTAACGAAACATTATCTCCTTTAAGCAAAATTTGACCTGCAACTGTGTGTTAGAGATCGAGGAAGATAGAGATAGATTAAGAATCTGAGTGGTTGAGCCCGTACCAAGTTGTCTCTTTCTCTCCTCCTCTGTTTTTGTCGCAAGTCGAACTTCAACAGCGTCATCAACGACTAGATTCATAAATTCATCAAATCCCTTTTCAACAACAGAGCCATGGTTAGCACAATTACGTTTCAATACAGAACTAGAAACTGGGGTAATATTAATTAAAAAAAAAAAAAAAAAAAAAAAAAAAAAAAAAAGGCAATCATGTGTGGACGGAGGGGTCCAGTCTCTGAGGACGAACCCGAATTTTCCCTTCTATCCTGATAGCCAGCTGTTCGTAGAGCCATATTGAGACAACAGATCTCTGCTGTAGGAGCTTGAAGATGAAATGGATTGGAGCCAGGAGTGTCTTGCGACCTCCTCCACCGCCTCTACCTGTCATTGCGCGTGTGGAATCGGGTATATGTGGACGGACAACGGGTATCTGAACTTGCGAGAGTTGATCCGGTCGGGAGAGGGAGTGGAATACCGTGCAGGTGAATACGTAGCTCGAGTTACGAAACGTTGGGTGGTTGGGTAGTTGTAAATAATCAACAGTCGAGTTGCCATGCGGCTAAAATCAGAATTCTGCCAGACCCAAAAAGCGGCCAAACCCAAACCCTCTTTTCTGCCGCCCCCCAGCCAGAAAGAACAACGACCTCCACCTCCACCGCATCATTCCATTTCTTCTTATTAGAGCCACACGCCACTGCTCATACAAAAGCCGCCTGCTCCCTTTAATTACCCTTGAGTTTCCCCCTTTTGATTCATGAGATTTCTTTGTCACTATCCAATCTCTCAGCTTGGCTGAACTGCTCTATCCGCTTTACATTGGTCCGGTAGCATCCCTCCGTCACCCGACACTCATCAACTCCCACATCCCACTATGGCTTCCAAAGGGAACGGAGCGGGGCAGGCTTTTGCGCCCGTCCTGGCAGCTCTCGCGACAATGCAAGGGAATGCTGCTCGGTCAGAAAAGACACAGGCTCATGAGTTCCTCGAAAAGTTTCAGAAATCAGTGAGAGATAACTTCGTTTCCCCGATTTACCTGTTCTTCGGTTAAGCGACAACCCGGCCATCTAACTGCGTCGCGATATCTGTATCTATAGGTCGATGCGTGGACTACAACGCATGCCTTACTACAATCCACAGAGATACCCGTCGAAGCAAAGCTATTCGCAGCTACAACACTGAAAGGAAAAGTATGGTTATGAATCGTTTATTTTTCACATCGCATTACACCTTCGTTCGTTGAAGAACCCCCACCAGCTAACCCGTACTTCTACAAAATCAGATCACATATGATCTAGATCAAATACCTGCAGAGTCCCTATCAGCTCTGAGGGACTCCATCCTCTCCCTCCTAAATGTTTATAGCTCGGGACCAAAACCGATACAGACTCAACTGTGCGTTTGTTTAGCCAGTCTGGCTATCCAAATGACAGCATGGAAGGATGTCCTTGCTACCGTTGGCTCAGCTCTGGGAAGTGAGTCGGGAGACTGTGTCTTAGAATTCCTCAAAATACTCCCCGAGGAGGTTACAGAAGGGCGCAAAATCAACATGACTGTATGTGCGGCCGAGTCACCATCTATGTCCAACCCATCATCCAAATCCGCCCTTGTTTGCGCAAAAGAGTTCAGCTGCGACATCATTCCTTTGCGACCAGAAGTCTAGAATCTAATCCATCATCATAACACTTAGGAAGAGGAACTTTCCACAAGGACAGCAGAACTATTGGAGAACAACGCAGATCATGTCTTACGTCTCCTAGTGCAATATGCGCAGTCTTCTGGTATGGGACCCTTCCCCCACAAGTCGATACGTTTTTCCCCCTTGGCTAGTTCTGACTGGACATATAATGAGAAACAGAATCTGCCGCAACAAACCCTCAACTTCTGGAATGCATTACCTCGTGGATGCGTGAAATACCATCTGCGCAAATAGTCAACTCCCCCCTTTTGGACTTAATTATCAAGGCCCTCTCCAATGACCGTAGTTTCGAAGCTGCTGTGGATACCATCTGTACAATATACAGGGACACGCTTGAGGTTGATGACGCAATGTCTATCATCCAAACGCTGTATCCAAGGATAATTGCCCTAAGACCCAAAATTAGGGAGGCTGCAGAGACAGAGGATTTTGAAATGCTCAGAGGATTAACCAGGCTTTTTGCTGAAGCTGGCGAGGCATGGGTAGTGCTGATTGCCCGTTTGCCCACTCAATTTAGAAGTTTAGTCGAAGCAGTCTTGGAATGCTGCATCGTTGACAAGGAGCGGGATGTGATCTCCATTACCTTTGTCTTTTGGTATGAGCTTAAGCAGTATTTGACCATAGAACGATACCTGCCGGCTAGAACGGAGCTTGCCGACTTATTCTCGAAGTTGGTGGATATTATGATCAAACATCTGGAATACCCTTCGCCTGATAATGAGCATAGCGATTTATTCGATGGAGATCGCGAACAGGAGGAAATATTCCGTGAATTCCGCCACTCTATGGGCGATGTGCTTAAAGACTGCTGCGCGGTTATTGGTGTCACCGAATGTCTTGGGAAATCATATAGTCTGATTCAGAACTGGGTCGCTAAATACGCGTCTCAAGCAACACATGCCCATGTCCCACATTGGCAAGAGTTGGAAGCGCCGCTTTTCAGTATGAGAGCGATGGGGAGGATGGTGGAGCCTGAAGAAAGCTCCGTTTTGCCGCAAATAATCCCCCTCATTGTACAGATACCCGATCAAGAAAAAGTGCGATTTCAGGCCATCATGGCTCTCGGTCGATATACGGAATGGACCGCCCAACACCCTGAAACGCTTGAAGCCCAATTGAATTATGTCATATCCGGTTTCCAGCACAAGTCGCAGGAGGTCGTACAGGCGTCTGCTCTCGCATTCAAATTTCTTGGTACCGATTGTCAAAAGCTTCTTGGTGGTCATATCACCCAGCTTCATTCCTTTTACGAATTGGTCATCGACAACCTAAAGCCGTCTAGTCAGGAAGAAGTTACGGAGGGAGTGGCTGCGGTAGTTGCTGTGCAGCCAGTCGAGAAAATATACGAAACCCTAAAGTTATTCTGTGATCCTATCATGAATAGAATCATGAATCTCGCGAACAATGCTAAGGATGATGCAGGCCAGAAGGCGGTTGCCGGTCAGTACACGACGAGCGATGAATTAGTGATGAAAATATGCTAACCAAAACCAACACTCTTTTCTGCAGATCATCTCCAATTAATTACTATCTTCATTCAAGTCGTCTCACCTTATGTCGGCCCCGGTACCCAAAATCCCGGCGTCAGATACTGTGAGGAGATCCTCCCCGTTCTAAATACAATCGTGCTGAATTTCACAAAATCCGTCCCCATTCTTGAGAGGGTATGCCGGTGCTGGCGCCACATGATTATCTCCTACCGAAACGCCATGACTCCTCTCTTACCAAGTTTAGCGCAAAGCATATCTGCAGGATTTGAGGCATCCAAAGAAGGCTGTTTCCTGTGGGCTACAGATGCAGTCATTCGAGAATTCTCTGATGGGGCTGAGTATGTTGATCAAGCGACAAGTGATGCCGTATATCAATTCTTTGAGCAACAAGTTGTACTCTTTCTCAGAATTCTCAATGACTTGCCACCCCACCATCTCCCTGATAGTAAGATAGCTCCTAACGACCATAACCCTTCTCCCGTCTGTATATCAAATTTCTTACCATATTCCAAAAACAGTGATCGAAGATGTTTTCCGCCTCCTAACCGACGCAGTACGCTACTATCCCAAAAAATCCCTAACCTCCCAATTAGCCGCTCCAATTTTCTCCGCCTCCCTAAGCGCCCTTACACTTCAGCAAGTCGACCCTCTAACCGCAGTCCTCCACTACTGCCGCGATGTGCTCAGCTTTGGCTTTGACAAACCATCCATATCTGAATTCACAGACCCTGATGGTGAACCATACACCAACACCCCGGAAGTTCGTTCCGCTGTGAAGCAGTTAATAACTTCACAAGGCGCGGTGCTCGTCCAGAGAGTGTTGACGGGGATGATGTTCAGTTTCCCTGACGACTGCTTCCCAGATGCCTCTGGGGTTCTGATGGCACTGTTTGAAATGATGCCGCAGGAAACGGCAAGCTGGGTAGAAGCGACTGTGCACATGCTGCCTGCTGGAACTGTTAAACCAGGCGAAAGTGATCGGCTTATGAAAACATTATCTGAAAAGATTCAGCAGGGTGATGTTCGGAGGACAAGAGTTGTTTTGCAAGGTTCGTAAACACTGTTTCCCCCCTATGTTTTTATATACCTAAACTTCGGATTGAATTTAACCTCCGGTAACTAATACATATTTTCTTTATTTACTCTTCTCGCATTTTAGATTTCACAAACTCTTATCGACGGAGAAATGTAGCCCCCAGAGAGGGCCTGGGTAGGCTGGAAGCGGCCCGATTCAAGTTCAGTGGCTAGTTTTTGTTATTATTTTTTCTTGTATGACTTTTCCCCATCTTTAACGACAGGTACGAACAAAGAGGTAAAACAATACCTTTTAGGCCCGATAAACCAACAAAAAAATATTAAAAAAAAATATTAAAAAAAAACGATGAGATTTTTGCTTCATACTATGCATACCATATCACTATTATAACCAGTCCCTCCCTCTTTTCATTTTATATATATTTCTTTTACTTTTTGGGCATATGTTGTTTACACGGCGTTTTTATGTGCATGGTTTTACTTTATCTTTTCTATATTGTGGCATTTTAGTAGACGAATGGACAAGGAAGGGTGAATTAGATACGCGGCCTGGGTTTTGCATGACGATTGAGGAAGCTGGCTTGAGATGAAAAAGTTGGAGGAGTGTGTACAGGGGACTAAAACAAATAACATGGATGTTACGGTTTTAAAGGACGGGATGGGATGGGATGGGATGGGATTTGACTCAGCTGAGCTGGAACTGAGATCTGGGACAAAAAGTTAACGGTTAACTAGAATATTTCTGGGACATCGCTCTCGTGAATGGGTGAATAATCAGGCATGAATGATTTGAGATAATTTTTCACTTACCATTTATCATAGTTATATATGTGAAGGATAGATTGCTTGATTGATTATGAAGCGATCGCTAGCTACGCGGAAGTTATAACTATACGGTGCGGATTACGTAAGAATGCGGATAGGCCTGACAATATATATATATATTTTCGTGTTTCATTCTTTAGTGGTCTTTCGAGAAGTGCAGGGCAGAGTTAAATGATCAGATAAGAATACAGAGATAAGACCCTCATCCTCTCCTTTGATGCTTTACCCTCCCATCTCTCCGCCATGAGTTCCAGGATACAGTCTCAAAAGCAAACCTCACCGTCTGTGTATGGCTGTAACGTATGCGTATCATGCCCCAAAAATGCAACTTCGACTTCTTATCCATCCCTCCACTCTCCAAGTGGGCATTCCCCGACCGACATCTATCGGGCTTTCATCACAATGCAAGTGCCATGTCAACCTCCTGGCTAACCTTGCCAAAACCCGTTAAGGAATGCCAATTCCTAGGAAAACCCGGTATCGGCACATCAACCCGCCCTGCCCAATGGCGATAACGACCGTTTATTTATCGCTTTTTTCCTGCGTGCCAGGGGTCAAAACGACGCGCGCATGATCGGTTTCTCTTTTGAGAATAAAAATACTACTGCCTCTGACGAACATGACCATCTTTGGTCACAGGTTCGGGACACGAAATGGTAATCATGGATAGATCCGTCCATCCTACCTATCATTGGGTTTTTTTATTTTTGTTTTTATTTTTTATTTTTTTTTTGGCGAGAATGTGAACACAGCCAATCACTTAACTAGGCTGTAGCAGGGGGAGACTAATGGTTATTCTCATGGGGTTCCCTGTTCGCCAAAATAGCTTAACTTCCATGGAGACAACCGTACCTGGATGTGTTGTTGAGGAACGATTTATGCAGGAGTGAAGACGCATAACGTTATGAAACGTACCTCCAAGTTGCGAGGATGAAAATGAGATTCCGATGTGTGAAGGTGCTATGGGGTTGGATATATGCAACATCCTGTTCTCCAGTCCTGCATAACCTTCAACTCTTCTAGGGAGGAGGCGTTGTGATGACGAGGGTCAGCCACGTACGTACCAAAAGCAGGAACAAACGATTTTGCACTGAGGTCAGGCTCGCGTCTGAGCTTGATCCCTTTTGCGTACTTGAAAGCAAACGTGGGCGCGGTCGAAACAGAGTTTTGCGACGTTCTTCAAGGACTCCTGACAAAGATTAACAGATAGGCAGGATATCAAGCCAATTCTTGGTTGTTGTTTAGCTCTCCGGGGGATCATCACTGGCAGACTTAAGGGTCAGGCTGCTCCTCAGTGGCTAACAGAAAATGTCGAGAAAGGACCTATGAGATCAAGCCATCGAATGTTCTACCATCGCAGAGTTCTGATATCTGATCATCTACCGCTATTTTCTTTCCCTGTCAAATAACAATAGAACCTGAGAGAAGAGCTTTCTAGGCCCCCAAGCCTTCATGGCAGTGTCACGCTTGGAAAAGACATCCATCCATACATGAATCCCGCCGGGGAAGCATAGATGCCCCCGGAGAAATCAAGAACTAATGTCAAGAGATCTGGCTATTTTTTTTGCTTTTTCTGGTCAAGGCACGAATGTCAAACACGCGTTTGAGCACGAGCCTGGGGGCCAAGAGCTAAGAGAGGGTCTGTCTGCCAGTTGTCACAAGTACATAGCGTGTGCTGCATGGGCGAAACTGGGAACGCGGAAGAGCTAAGAGGCTCCCGGGTTTATGAGGCTGGGCTTTTTTGTGGATAGCCTGACGCAGGGAGTCATGGCCGAGTCTATCATTGGTTTTGGCTTACGCATGGCTATTTGTTATGAAGGATGCAATTTTTTCTTTCATGTTGGGTGTTTGCAATCCTTTATGAAGTAGTTTGTTTAATCAATAACATTATTAACGTGGACGGTACCGAACTATTTTCTACTTGTTGAGATTACCGTCATGGGAGCTTGTAAACAGATTGTTCTGGAGGGATGGCATTGCGTTGGCTTTTCCTCCTCGTGAAGGAGTAGGTAACTATCATCCAATTTGTAGCTCAACAGCCAAGATCAACAGCAATCAGAAAACTATGGAGGATTGGTACGAGAATCGGTTTACCCCGCCTGTCGTCTCGCCCTTGGCTACGGCCCATGGGCAAAGTAGCGTTCACCCATCTCGTTTATCGAAAAAACAGTGCCGGTAGTTATATGTTAGTCCTATCCATGGTGCTTCGGGGACCGCGGTTTTGTTTTAAAAGAAAAGCAAGAAAAAGAACCAACCACATTATGATGGGAAATAAAGTAACCAAGCCGTGTAGGACTGCAAGAACCCAACATTTACATCTGAAGCCGCCGAGAATGTTGGAGTCTACAAACACTAGAGAAAAAGCCATAATAATACGTAGTTAATTAGCAGGATCTTGGGCCCGGATCATCGCGAACTCTGGATTTAATCCCGTATGTGACCCGTTCCTTTCGCCGGATTGAGCTAACTGGCTAGGTGGATCGATGTAGATCTAAATGAACAGATTAACATATGGACAACCCAATCAGAGGTATTTATATTTCTTTCTGTTGTCTGGAGGTTTTATGCATCACTCTTCCCAAGGTCAGTTAAGATTGTATGTACATAACTACGTCATTGTATTTTGGTCTGGGGTGTCAACTTGTTCTCGGACGGGATCATTAGTTAATTTGTTACCCAGGAACTTCAGACTTCGAGGACCGTTCGTCTTACAGCATTGTTTATAACTAAAACTCCCACCGTCATTGCTTCTCCTTTCCCTCCCCCTGCTTCAGCTTTGGTATCACCCATGTCTCCCGCAATTTGGAACCGAGGACATATTGTTCCGTCTGCAACGCCCAGCCCCGTCTGTCGCTTGTCCCAGGAAAACTCGCCTACATAACGTGTAAAGGTAACTAGCTAGCGGGGAGTAACTAGTTCTGCATCATTGGATCAAACTCATAAAGCTTCCGACTCCCCAAACCTGGCGAATATCAAGTAAGCAATGACATACATTCCCTTTTCCCCTCTTTATTTCTTCTTTTGAGAAGCATGCATTGCTTGATTGGATATTCTGTCGCTCCTATTACCGCTGGATTTTAGCCTTAAGCCTTTCTTGCCCTTCGAGAAACAAAATTTCTCGGGTCCGGAGTTGGGCAGCTTGACCTCCAGGGCTGAGTCTGTTTTGCCTCTCGGGTCCGTGGCCATTCCTGTCACGGAGAGTTTTTCATTTGAGAAGATAATGTTGATCGTAGTATGATGTCGAAACACCGTATAACTTGCATGCGGGGGAAATTTCCGTATATCTAGTCGCATTAACTACCTTAAGTAGGCAGGATTTCATACCGTGTTTCATACAGTCATTGGCTACATAAGGCAATTGTGATTTCAGGCATTCACGAGCAAGTATTGCCAAAAAATGCTTTCACTAATGGACTCGAGATAGTTCTGTGGGAGACTTTCAAGGTGGTTATTCTCAATGATGCCTTTGTGTTCTCTGACACCATGCCCCACATTTACAATTCGATCGGGTTTAAGCCATTCGGTTCGTTTATCCCCCCACACTGTTTTGGCCGTGGTATCCTTAGCTGCTGCTCATTACCAGCTGGTTGGGTAAGTCGTTAGTTATTGCATAGTTTAACAGGCGAAGGTAACAACTCCTGATCCCTTTATTTAACAGCTTTTTTTTCTTCACTGGCGTTTGTTTCTCTTCTAGCGGCGGATTAGGATGCAGAAGTTAAGGCATGATGGAGGAGAGAAATTAACTTTGAAACTTCGATGCGCAAAGGCGTCCTCTGGGAAGAGCGCATGTGTTTATTGAGGATCATTCAATTCGTCCCCTGCATTCTTTTGGAATAACTGGGAGTTTGTAAGATAGCATCGGTATGCGGCTTCATTTCTCGTCTTTTCTGGATGGATCCGCTGGCCGTGTTTCATCTCTTCCAGATTTATGAGGTCATCTCATTTCCCTTAAAATAGTACGGACGAGCGCAATTATTAGATAACTAACCATTAACTAACTTAGCAGGAATTAGTGAACTAAGATTCGACATGATTTCAAGTGAACATGTTCAGGGATCGCTGTTCACCATGGGGCCGTGACGGACCATGACGTTAGGCATAAAAATAGATGTAGCAACTAAACCAATCTCCCAAAACGGTGGACCCAGGAGTCAGGACAAGCGAGCAGTCAACGCCATGTTTACCTCTGCAGGAGGAGGGATGGATGTGAAAAGCTGAAAAAACAAAAACACAAGAGAAAAGATAGCGATGTCAACTGATCGGCTATTACTGGATTAATGCTGCTATCCATGGTTGTTGAGGCACGGGAGCCATGCAACTCCAACCAGCCATGCTCTTCTATGTCGAGTTATCAGGGAACATGGCTGGGATTGATTCTGGCGGCGGAACCGTGGAATCTGACTCTCCTCCTCCTTGTTGTGTGCCCGTACATATATATGTGACCATGCAGCCTATAATTGAGTGAGAGTTATCCGAAGGTTCGCGTTCAGGTTCCCCAGATTACTCCTGCTTGAGCTCTCACTGCATCCGAGATGGGGAGAAAAAAAGAAAAGAAAAAGCCAACATTACAGCTGGTCATCTGCTCAATGTTTAGGGTGATGTTTCCAGCGTGTTCGTTGGCTGCTTGGTGTGGTCGCTTGTATTGGAGTTATCTTGCTCGAGACAGGCTTACAGGAGGTTTAGCTCGTCGTCGTCGTCGTTCGTCCTAGTTATCCTGGTCGCAGTTAGCTGTCGCAGTTTAACCAGGCCGGTCCTAGCACTGGACACTGCGAGTTTAACAGTTCGCTCGAGTTTTAGTGTGTCGATTCTTCCGTCTGAAGGGACTTTCTGTCTTTTCAACCTCCTCGCGATCTCTAGCATCCATCATCGTCGCCATCTGCTTCTTCTTCTTCTTCTTCTTCTTCTTCTTCTTCTTCTTCTTCTTCTTCTTCTTCTTCTTCTTCTTCTGCTTCGTCTTCTCCTTTCCTCCCTCACAACATAAAATGATTTGTTTCCTGTAATGCTTACCCATCCACCGTGTGTCCTTCATACTTTGCATGTCGCAACCTAGCGTACCCTCTGTTGTTGATGTCCATATGCGCCTGGCCCTTCTACCCCTCACCCGCCCTGTCAACCTCGAGCTCTGATGGGCGCCCGAGGTTACCGCGCCATTCCTATAGATTGCAGCAAGGGCATTGGGTAGAGTAAACCGTTACGGGCGCCATTGGCGAGTAAATATATACATTAGAGATTCATACCGTTCATTCCAGCTATGATCCTCGCTGTTGGATCAATGGCAGATACCAACACGTTATCCCACACTCGTCGACAAAGACGCGCTGATGAATCAGGCCCCTCGTCTGAAGTAAATGATCGTAAAGATAGCGGGGAACCTGCGCATCTCCAGAGCGATACATCCAAGAAGCGGAAGAGGAGCAGGAAAGGTGATTCAGAGAAGAAGTTCTACTGTAAACATGAGGGATGCGGGAAGAGCTATTCAAGAGCTGAACATCTATACAGACATCAACTAAACCGTACGTTACGTTTTGTCCTCTTATATGTTCTATTCTATATTGCTACGTATTTTGTTATTTTTCTCTCTATTTTGCCTAAATGCTCTTTTGTCTTGGATGGATGCTAGCATCATATTTACTAGGTGGTTCTTTTCTACTACATCTCTCACCCGTTCTGTTCCAAAGCTTATAGCTGATTTTTTTTTCTCTTCAAGATTCCCCAAAACACATCTATCGCTGTGACTTCCCAGACTGCTACCGCTCCTTTGTTCGTCAGGATCTTTGTGTCCGTCATCGAGAGCGTCACACTACTCATGGTTCTCAGCTCCAAAAACGCGACAATTTCACCCATGCCGCCAGCGCGCTCGCGGCGGCGGCGGCGGCTCCTCCACCACGAAACGATGCCCACCCCCCTAACGGAAATGGACCTATTACTGCGGGGTCGCCAACTGATGGCCCGACTTCGCCATACCTGAAGCAAATATCATCTGCGAATGCGCCAGGGAACATGTTAAGACCACGGCTTCCCAGGTCGTCCTATACCGCCACAAATTCGAATCCCCAAAATTACCCTAATTCCGCTTCCGCCCCTGTCCGCCCCGCTTGCACGTCCTCGTCCACTTCCATAGAAAGTCATTTGCAACCGCTTACGCCACAACAACAATATGCTGGCCCTGACCCACGAATAAAACGGTCCAACAGTTCCAGTAGTTATACCCTCAGCCCCAAACAACAATCCACATCAATATATAGCGCTTCCAATCGTCAGCCCGGATACGGAAAATATGATAACCAGCGTTACCCAAACACCACGTTTAGCCCCCCAGAGCTTGCCCCCCCAATCAACCAACCCTCTGACCCATCAAACGCTCAACCGCGCAGGTTATCATCCACTGGACCCGCACTCTCGGGTTCCACTACGTACATGTCTGTTCCAGGCATACCAAGCAATGTATCTTTGGTTACAGATCCAAATACGTATATTTCACAACAGAATTTGCATATGACATCCTTACCACCACCAGGTTATTCGAATTTAAACATGCCACGGGCCACCTCTTCATCGTTTGCAAATGCGATATCCAACGGTTTTAGTGCTCTTGATCCTTCCCCTGGTCTAATGGGAACTGGTTCTTCTGTCACAGAGTGGGATGCTTTATCATCTTATACCCTTCCTATCTTTGGCGGTGAAACGCTAAACCGTTCTCCTTTTGCAATGACTGATGATTTTACTGCTTGGTTATTCAATGAGCATTCCAACACCCCATCTCCAATTGCTTATCCAAATGCGTCTGGCATGATGCCTAACTACGCAGCTCCGACTGCCGCCCACCTCCATGGACCTTACTATCCAAGCGACGCCGCTTTGACCAGCTACTTTACCAATGTGGTCCAGCAACAGCATCCGATGAGTGTAACGAGCCTTCTCGACTCTGAACCTCCCCAGTCGATCATATCAGTGGAGAAGCGAAATGAGTTGCTTGACCTCATTCAAACACGCTTTAACGAAAATAACCATGCTGCAATTAAAAAGCGAAAAGATTCTTTGCTAGAAGGTGATCTCGAAGAAGATAGTCACATCCTTAGCTTACGAATGATGCAAACCTATATTGGTTCCTACTGGCGTCACAGCCACGACCAACTTCCCATTTTGCACAAACCAACATTTTCGGCGGACAAAGTACCGAATCTTCTCCTCCTCGCTATTATGTCCATTGGCGCCTCAACACTCGACAAAATTCATGGACAGGCTGTCAGTATCGCTACCTCAGATCTGGCCAACTTTCTAATCTGGCACATTCGATGGGAGATTTTTATGGATGCGGATTTCCAGCCACCAGCGAAGCTTTGGGTATTTCAGGCGTTGTTACTTGTCGAAATCTACGAGAAGCTGTACTCGACACGGGCGTTGCACGAACGTGCGCATATTCATCACGATACCACATTGACCCTGATGCGCCGTGGGAGTTCGTTAATTGGTCGATCGCCATTTGACTCTCCACCAAGCCTTCGAGATGACACACAGAACAGATTAACAACAGGATCTGGCACCAATTCTGCTTCCGAATGCGGGGCGGCAGAAGAGTCCTGGGCTCATTGGATCAAGGCGGAAGCCACCCGCAGAGTGGCATTTGCCGCCTTTGTCATGGATTCGACGCACGCCACAATGTTTGGCCACTCCGCGAAAATGGTCGCGCATGAATTGCGCCTTCCACTCCCATGCGATGAAGCCCTATGGTCAGCAACAAGTGCCGCGGAAGTTTCAAGAGTGCAATCCAGTCTGCATGCCAACGGTTTTAAGGCAACAATGTTTCTGGATGGGCTGAAGAAAACGCTAAATGGCCAGAAAGTTCGAACCAATTCCTTTGGTCGGACGATTATCATGGCCGGTTTACTAAGTGTCAGTTGGCATATGAACCAACGAGATCTCCAAGTCAGCTCACTGGGGGTTGCCCAAGCTCTAGGAGGGAGAGATAGATGGCGATCGTCTCTCCTGCGTTCATTTGATAATTGGAAACGGGACTTTGACGAGGCTTTGGCAGAGTCCAACAGCTCAAATTATACATCCACCTTCAGGCAATACACCTTTGACGATGACGTCATTTTCGAATCTCGTACCGTTTTGCACCACCTTGCCCATATGGCGTCGCACGTTGATGTGGTAGATTGCCAAATATTCGCTGGAGCAGGTCGTCTACTGGGCCGCTCCATTACACCAAAGGACTACAGCACTGCGCGGGAAAAAATGAGAGAACGCTGGGCAAACAAAGCCGCCGCACGGGACGCGGCCTTCTTCGCGCTAAAATTTCTCGTCCAAGTACTCAATGCGGAGGACGGCCGTATAGGGATCCGCCACGGCCCCACGGGCTACACTGATATGAACGAATACAGTGCCCGCGACGATTTCCTCCTCAATCGACCGTGGGTGATTTACTTTGCCGCCCTCGTGGTCTGGAGCTATGGATACGCACTGGATGGAGCGATAACCCCACCCGTTCCGGAACTTCTCACTCCAGAAGAGCAGCGGAGGGATATGCATACGTTTTTTGACCGGGTTGGCGGCGTGAGTACGCCGGAGGAGCTTCTGCATGTCCGTGACCGGAACCGGTGCATGGGCCTGCTCATGATTTTGCAGGAGACTTTCTCCCACGCCCGATGGGAACTCCTCAATGAGGCTTCCAACCTTCTTGGGAGCTGTATTGAAAAGTTGAAAGGGGCTGGCGACCCATCCAACCCTTCATGACGCGATGGCATGATATTTCTCTCTTTCTTTTTTTGTTTATTTACTATGGCCTAATCTTCTATAACAAAAAGGGATTTGTGTCTTGTCTTCACACCACGGTGTTTCCCATATCTTTGCCATATACCTGCGCTACGACGTCTTATTGCATTCATGTCCTTTTCCTTTTATACTTCCCTTCGTGGTTTTTATCCTTTTTCTACTTTATTTAATTATCTTCATTTATATACCCTATCACTTCGTATATGTTCGTACCAGAGGAACAAAGGAGAACAAGGAAAAGGGACACTCTTCCCTGACTAAACTACAACTGATCTATTTAGCAACGGTGGTGTTGAGTCTTGCGTACTTTCCCCCTTTTGAAACCTGTCATTTGTTTCTTTTCCTGCCTGCAAAATTGAAGCGATGTTTTTGACAAAAAGAAAGAAAGAGGATAAACCCAAGGTTTTCTAGAAAAGTTGGATTTGTCAATTGGCTGCTCGTTTGGATTTCGTCACAATACCTCTTTTCTGATTTCCTTTTTTTCTGATTGCTGTTGTCAGCCACAAAATAGTTTGCCTTTCTGCACAAATATCCTCACGTTTTACATACACAAATATACATGCATACATACATACATACATACACATATATATACCCATCGTGCTATCTTGTCTGTCTCAATATTTTCTCCTTTTGTTGCTCTTGAGGCTAATCTGTTATTATGATCATGGTTACTAGGGCTAGCGCTATTTCAACATATTTAATAACTACCCTCTCCAGTGTATGCTTATATATCTTTGTTGTGTTTTAAGATCAGTAGTTTAGGGGGAGGGTGATTGAGAATGACGGATTCTTGTTTCAACAGTTTTAAAAGATCTCATGTTGATTTTTTGGAAAATTAATTTTTTTTCCCGATGATATGAGCGAATGATCTCCACAATCCGTCTTTCTTCCCTCCCAAACCCTCCCCATATTCTTCTCTCGTAGGCCAATAGATATTTTTGGAATTTATATTGCTTTTCTTGGAAATGTAAAACGCCTTCCCGTTCGATTAATGGTTTGTAGTCAACCGTCGTTCCTAAGAGGCGATGTTCTACGCGACGCATCTCAGATCAAGACGTTTAATGTTTTTGGGAGCCACACGGCCTTTTAGAGAAGTGGTTAAAGTCTCAGCATCCTGTGTTGTTTGGTTTTTACACAATTGATCCTGCAACATCGTTGAAGGACTGACTATTAAACGACAACGTCTTGGAAAGGGAAAGGTGACCCTCTTTTTTCCGCTGTGATGTGGCAGCTAAACCCCTCAAAATGAGGTTTACGGGGTTGCAATTCGATTAGTCAGGGCATTCATATTTGAATGGGCCTCCGATGCATGTCCAACATCAATTATCGAATTTTTGAGATGATAACATGTCAGGAATATATGCCCAGGCACCGAAGACAAACAACCAGACTTTTGAACTTCTCTACACTTTTCACACCTGAATCCAACCGACTCCATCATGGACACCTCAGGTGAAACAGATCTAACCACCCTCCTCGCATCTCTCGATCCAATCCTCGATCCAGAGATCTTCGTCTTCCTCAGCACCACCCAGCCCATACACGCTCTGCCCCTCCAATCCCTTCAACCACAAATGCTATTCCAGGAGGCTGAGGGTCTCACTATCATCACATCAAAACACCTAGCGACAACCCATGGCTTCGCGGACCAGGCCACGTTTCCCTGTCGGAAGATATCTTTGAAGGTGCACTCGAGCCTAGGGGCGGTGGGCCTGATTGCGACAATCGCGGCAAAGTTGAGGGAACGAGGGATTAGTTCCAATGTAGTCAGTGGTTTCTTTCATGATCATATATTTGTGCCCGTGAGCCGGGAAGATGATGCTTTGGAAGCGCTTCGCCAGTTAGCAAGGGAGGCGAGGGGTGTGAGATGAATATTCCCCATTCCCCCCTTACCTCTCTCTCTCATGCTCTCACAAGAGGGCAATTTTGTTTAATCAAATAAGAGATAGAGAGCGCACACTGCTGCACAATAATATATCCACTCAAGTATGCGGGAGCTTCCTCCAATGTGCGTGTAATCCCCACAGACTGCTAAGGCTCGGGGTTCATATTTTCCATTTGTGTCAGATGCCACACGTAGCTGCTAATTGAAACCCGTATTAGTTGTCTGTCAGTATGACAGTGATCTCCTGTGTCTGGAATCAAAAGCGAGCATTGTGTAAAGTATGAAATGATAAGAGAAGTAAGAGGAATATTAAAGGAGTATAAAGGAGCCCCATGCATACGGGGACAGTAGATGCAAGTTGGAAATATCTATTCCAGAGGAAACGGTATTCTGACGTTTTGATGCAATGATGAGATATTTAGATGAGATGATGATGATGATGATGATCTGCGGTCAAGATCTATATAATAAATAAACATGGAATGCCGAAACAGCGTTGGTTGTTGCAGCAACCATCTGATCCATCCAACCAAAACCCAGTCCCCGTCGTCCAGGAATCTCTCTCCAACAACTAACAAACAACAACTGACGATTATTCACCACCTCCAACTTCTCACCTCCTCACCTCCTCACCTCCTCGTTGTCTCCCCGTCAAAACCTTCCGTGACAGCAACCCGTCTATTATTTTCCCATACCCCCCCCCCCCCCGGGCCGACCACCGCACAAACGTATAACAATGGTAAGTTGTACTGTGTTCTCCCTGCTGTTGTTGTCCTCGAGTTGCAGCGAACCTCGTCCTCCCAAACTTCACCTCAAGCTTCACCTAGCAAAGAGGCGCCAAAAGTGGTGTGCGGGTTGACTGCGCTTCCAGCTTCCAAGTCGTTGGACTGTGCAATAACTTGTTTACCTGCGGCGAGTCCCTCTTGCCAGGAAGAAGCGTGCAAAACATACACAACACCCTCCCTTATCCCATTGTATCCCACTGCTTCATCCTCCAACACCCCCTGCGGAATCTGCTCGCTTTATCATCCTGCCTACACACTCTCTCTATATATGTACCCTTGAAGCCCTTGCCACTCCCTGGTCTATTCTCTCCCATATAGTACATCGCGACTCCAAAACCCCACCAAATCAACCACAGCAAATCCCGCAGCAATGGACAATTCACGCCTCTTCCAGCACAGCCATGCTAACCAAATGGACAACTCACAACATCAACAGGCATCCACAAACTACAAAGAAGCATTCTCCCTCTTCGACAAGCGCGGCAACGGCCGTGTAGCGCTCGATTCCCTGGGAGATCTGCTCCGCGCTTGCGGCCAGAACCCCACCTTAGCTGAGATCAGAGATCTGGAGAAGAGTATTGGCGGAGACTGTGAGTTTTGTTCTTTGGAATCAGAAAAGGAAAATACGATGATATATATATATATATATATGTAAACCGATGAAATGGGGGGCAGACTGACCATGTGGATGGACATTCTAGTCGATTTCGAAGCGTTCTCTAAAGCCCTTAACCGGCCAGGCGGATTTCGTGATCCTGGTGAGCCGGAGGAATACTGCCGTGGATTCCAGGTGTTTGATAAGGACATGACCGGGTTTATTGGCGTGGGCCAGCTCCGATATAGTCAGTGTTTCCGATTCTCTCCTTGCGCCGTTCTCCGGCGATGTATTAAACATACGTGCTGTGATGTTGGTTTGTCTGACTCTTTGTATTTTTTATTTCCCCCCTGTAGTCCTAACAAATTTGGGCGAGAAAATGACCGACGAAGAAGTTGATGAGCTTCTTAAAGCTGTTGACACGAGTTCCGGAGAGATCAACTATACTGGTATGGCATCCTCCTTTTTGCGACAGCGTCGCAGGAACAATTAATCCCCAGATCGCATCTCCATATCTCATCAAATCCCACTAACATAATACACAGAGCTTGTCCGGACCATCCTGGCCAACTAAACAACTGTTTTGATTTCCCAATTCATTCTTCATCCTACGATTATTACATCCCACTTTTTTTTTTGTCGCGCATAGTATCCTACGGCCTACGACGAGATGTTTTCTCTTTGCTCCTTGATAATCACCCATCCATGGCGGTTTCGAATGGCGTATTTTGAATCCGCACCACCGCGATGATGAGGAAGGAGGTGGAGACAAAGACAGCTTTAGATAGAGAGTCCGGTTTTTGCATTGGCTCTTTTTTATTTTATTTTGGCGAATGGTTGTGTCTTGAGAGCTGGTATAACGTATGGGATATGTTGCTATGATGATGGCTAGAGTCAGCGTGCTGAATGTTAGGATCGCCGATGATTCCATATCGAACGAGGTTGTTTCTCGCGTTTCTTCATTTCCCTTTTGTCATAAACAAATGTAGAAGTTTAGTTGGTGCTTAATCCTTCTTAGATTCAGCTCGATGCTAGGTATTCTGATACTCCCTTTCGATATATCCACCCTCACTTCTTGCCCTTCTCCCAACACGTCCACTCCGCCCGCTGAACCATATTCTCCCCCTTCCCCATCTCCTCTGTCTCCACCAAGGAACCGGGTAAGATATAGACAACCTCCTCCGCCTTCTTCCTCCGCCTCTTCCGTTCCTTCTCTTTCCCATCCCCGTTCCCATCCCCACTACCTGCAATAACACCAACTTTATTATCCGCAAAATGCACCTCATCCAACGCATATCCCATAACCACCCGACACCGTCCACAGCGCAGCGACAACCTCTTCTCGAACCCATCTTCACGCCGGATCATGGTTGGCTGGCGATCTGGTATCGTTGTGGAGAGGAGGATGGTATAGTGTTTCTGCTGTTGCTGTTGCTGTTGCTGTTGCTGTTGCTGTTGCTGCTGTCGTTTTGAATCAGACTTCGTTTTCGACTTTTCGTTCTTCTCGTTCTGGGAGTTGCTGGCACCCCCGGGTGCGGCTTTAGTTTCATTTTCATTTTCGCTTTCGTGTTCAGCACCCTCTCTATCACACCCCTCCGCCTCTTCTTCCTCTTCCTCTTCCTCTTCTTCCTCTTCTTCTTCTTCTGGGACTGCTTTCGGAAGCGGTAATATCAATGCGCGATCTCGCGCTGGCTCGCGGCGGCAGGGTAAGCTGGCCAGATCGCGGGTTGAGGCGAGGAGGAGGTGGTTGCAGAAGGCGCAGTGGTAGGTTTTTATCGGGAGACGCGCTTGCGGCTGCTTCTGTTGCTGGGGGATTCGTTGGAGGTCCAGGTTTGTGTTTGATTCTGGGTTTGGTGATTGGGATTGGGATTGGGATTGGGATTGGGATTGGGATTCTGGTTGTGCTGGTTGTGAGACGAGCGCGGCAGCTGGCAACTTCTTGGGACTCGCCGTCACCATCCTTTGATTTTTGATATGTTCAGAGGCAGCTTTGTAGTTACGAAGCGTCTAGGTCTAGCTTGAGGTAACGCTTTTGTTAGATGCTGTTGGGATTTGGTGATGGTGGTTGCTTATGGAGAAGAGACCGAGCAATTGAGTAACGCGACAATGGAAACTGGTTCCCTAAGTCTATTCATTTACGGATTATTTATGGGGGGGGGGGGGGCAATCATAATCCATGGATAATGGTTTTGAGCTCGGACATGCAAAAGGATAGCCCCAGCTGGCGGCTTCGTGATTGAGCTTCAACTTTCCCAAGGATTGAGGTTTTCGAGTGTAAGCTCACGTGGTCTTATCGATAAAGGCTCTTTCTGTGGGATGGTTGAATCTCTCATATTGGGAGGCCTAGCTAGCTATCTAATATACGCTATATCACGTGCGGCGGGGCGGCCGCCCGGGCAACACACGCCCAACACTTTCTTACACACGCATAGTTACGTTGCTGGTTGCCCGGGCAGCATAGCGTGTATGAATTTAGCTGGCTCCTTAACCATCCCATAAGACAACCACTTGTAAGGCACTCAGGATGGATATACATGGATTGCAAGGAAAAGGGCAATATATTGAGCATCAAGCATAGCAGTAACTATTTATATCTCAATCTTCCTATTCCTCAACCCATAATCTGTCCTAATCCCTTCGGCTCCCTGCTAAGGAAAAGACGGGAATATCTAATCAACATACCAAGTCTATCTAGCGGATTACGAATAAGGACACAGGCGTTTAAAAAAAAAAAAAAAATCACACTGCATCAAATGTAAAGTGGCATACAGCGTCTGCCCCTCCGGGCCAAACTGCCCTAATTATGCAGTCCAAGCTCTCTATAGAATGCATCCATGTTGGGCTCGCGGCCCAGGAACTGCTTGAGAGTTTTCATCTCATCCCGGCTGCCACCTGGCTCCAGGACGGTATGGCGATATCGTCGGCCTTCTTTCGCGTTCATGGGGTTTTCTTTGAAGACGGAGTAGAACATGTCTGCTGAATACACTAGGGAGCTGGATGGCAGATGAAAACGAGATGTTAGTTGAGGGAAGTGAGTAAAATATAAACAAAAGGGGGAGTGGCAGGGAAGGAAGGTAAATAATTACGAATGGGGAAAAGGAGTGAAGGGTATGAAGACGAACCTAAGGTAACCGTAATATCCTGCATCATAACCACCAATAAGATGCCCGAATGTCGCTTGCCCATGTCCCCAGTCGTTTCCTTGTCCGAGAACCTCAGGGCCATCAAGCTGAGAAATCTCCTTGCGCAACTCATTGTATGTTACGGAGATATCCAAATTTTCGATGGCAGCATGGTCAGCAGGTTCGTGCACGGTCATGTCGAAGATACCAAAGTGAAGCTGGCGGAGGTTGAAGAGGGCGTCATTCACATGTTTAGTCTTGATCAGGTTGTTGATCAGCTCGTCAGGGATCTTTTGGGCTGGCTGTGGCTTGTCGCCTGCGGTCTCCTTCCAGGCCTGGTAATATCCATCTGAAAGGAAGGAATAGTGTGTGCTGAGAGATTTGATCTGAGACGGTGTCCAACACCAGTTCTCCAGCATCTGACTGGGTGCCTCGACAAAGTCACGCACGGTGTTTGTTCCATGGAAGCGGGAGTATGTTGTTCTGGAGACTAGATCGTGGATTCCATGACCAAGTTCGTGGAAGAAGGTTACAACTTCATCGTGCTTCAGCAAGCTGGGCTTCTTTGCCGTTGGCTTGGAGAAGTTGCACACCAGTGCCGTGGCGGGATATCGGCGGCTTCCATCCGAGGCAACGAATCCCTGAATGACGCCGCCATTAATCCATGTTAAAACGGCACCTTTATGTAGAAGGGAAACGTAAAGCTTACCGGCTGCAGATTGAAATTCGCGGCATGGCCATACTTCCCTTCTCTGGGAAACAAATCAAGATACAGGTATCCCACAAATCCACTCCCCTCTTCTTCATCATCCCAGACACTGAAAACCTGGACTTCCTCGTGCCAGACAATGTCGTTACCATTGCCAGTTTCTGAGATCTTATCCCTCTCTTCTCCAGTTATCTCAACAAACACTAGTCCAAATAGCTCTTCGAAAATCTTCAACATTCCCTGAATCGTAGTCTGCAATGGGAAGTACTCCGCAATCAACTGCTGATCAAGAGAAAAGTTCTTTTCCAGCATCATGCGATCATAGAAGCGGTGGTCCCATAGGTAGTAATGGCCATCAAACGATTGATTTGAAGCGCGAGACTTAATATCAGCCTCTTTAAGCTCCTTGAGAGCTTTGAGCTCCTTTTCACCTCCTGCCTTGAGTCGTGAACGCAGGCCTCCAAGGAAGTCATCCACGGTCTTGGGAGTCTTTGCCATCTTATCCTCAATCCTAAACGTGGCATGGTTGGGATATCCGAGAAGGCGGGCAGCTTCATCTCTGAGAATGACTGCTTCTTTGAACAATGGGACGTTCTGGTTACACTTGTTCTCGTTGGCAATTGTGAGCTGTTTCCGCACCTCGGCGCTAGTGGCATACTTCAACGTTGGGAAAAGATCAGGGTACTTGAACGTCACTCGTAGTTTTCCTTCATTCACTCCTTCACCTTTCTTCAGGACGGACAATACGTCCATTGGGACACCAGCCAGCTCCTCTTCGGTAAACCACAGGCCCCCACTCTCTTCATTCAAGTTCTTCTGGAACTCGATGCTTATCTGACTCAGCCGTTTCTTGATTTCCTTGAACCTATCACGCTTTGGTCCCGCGGGGATCCCCAGGCCATTGCGGATGTAATCCTTGTGCTCCTTTTCCAAGAGATTTTGCGACTCGGGATCTAGCTTCTCGCCCTTCTTCAAGGCAGCGGCAACGAGCTTAAACAGGTCCTCACGCATAGCGGACTCGATTGCAAAATCGTCCATTAGTTTCTCTGCCTCGGATGAAGCATCCCGTAGCTTGCTATCCGTCGAAATCGCCTGGTAAAAGCCTATAATGTGCGATTCAAGCGCCATGAGGTTCTCATCTTGTGCCAGTGGCAGCAGCACTTTGGCAAAGGTAGCTTCTTCCGCCGTAACCTTGGCCGCTACGGCATCTTGCACTTTACGGGACTTGCTGATCATGCGTTTGGTGTCTTCGATTAAGGAGCTAGGGGTAGCAGTAAAGACAGGCGGGGCCTGCGGAGGGGACTTCAGCTTTGTCGGGGCCATTGTTGCAGTAATGGGAGGCCGTTGGGGAGCGGAGGTTTGGAAAACAGCCGTAGTAGGCTTAAAGGGCGTTGCCGCTGGCGACGTTGTTGCCCGAAATTTGCTCAGGAGTAATTGGAGCCTGGGGGCGGGGATACGGAGCGGGTGAGCCAGGATGAACGATATCCCAACAAGGAGGGAGAGACAACCCAGGAGGTGGAGGAGGTGAAGCGAGCTAGACCGTAACCCCGCCAGGATGAATGAATGGGACGAGCAACCAAAACAAGAATAGTGAAAAGCGACCTAAGATGACATAAAGAGCGACCAAAATTAGGATGACAACTCGGGAGGACAAAAGTGTGGGATGGTTAGTTCTTCCATTGGTTGGGAGGACGACTGGCCAGCTAACTAATATACGCGTATATCACGTGAGGTGCGGTCATGCCCAACAAAAAGAAGGAGACCGCAGCCACGCACAAATCAACAAAATAAAGTTATTGTTTGAATAATATTTCTTTAATATAGTAAAAACATCAAGAAGGTGTGTTGGTTTTTCAGAATGTTATTTTTTAAGAACGGCTTTGAGTTGAACCGATCGTTGGGGGTAGCCACCCCCTCACGTGATATACACGTATACCATCATTCCCAACAGGTTTCTCTCATTGCATAGTCCCGTCAAACGACGAACTTCAGTCAACTCATCAACGTCTGCTTTGGTATCAAGCCAACAAACTGCAACTAACTGCCTACAGCAGCAACAATATATACAGAAAGCTGTTCTGGTAATTGAAGTTATTACTGAAAGTTACATACCTACAATTACGGCTAATCATCATCATCATCATCATCATGGCAATTAGCGCAATTCTACAAGACGGTCCTATGAAGCAGAGTAGAACTGTATTTTTCTTGAGAGATATAAAAGCTGTATGTTTCTCTCTGTCATGTTTCTTCAAAATGCAACGTCCTTTTCATTTCCTTGTTTTTATCATATTAAAATTTCCGGACACTCTGCAACTCAGAACAGTCACTTCCCAGTAAGTCAGTCCCGGAAATCTACCTCTGCACGGCGGAAGGCAGCCCAGGTCAATTTGTGAGAGCTTCATGTTCTTGACAAAAGATTAAGTGAAGTGTACAGGTTAATCAGAAAATCTCACCAAGACCCAAACAACTACAACTAGCAGCAGAATAGCGATGAACTGGAACGACGAATCTTTTCCTTGTGTCATCTGCTAGACCCGTGAGGCGGCTTAATGCTTACCGCGCCATCTATACACAGGGCAGACAATGGCTAGATGCCAACCTGTCAAGTGTGGGATATGCCCATGAACGAATTGAGTCATCAACTCTCGTGCCCCTTTCTCCCGAGGTGATATGATGACGAGGTGATATGACGACTACATGATTGCCGCACTCCGCTCTGACACGGAATGCTCTGGGTGCCGTGTATCCCACAAGACAGTTCAAACTTAAACGAAAACAATGTTCTCATCCGAGACTTCGAATACAATTGGACATTCAGATTGAATAATGACAGTTCTGGGCTTAACAACAAGCGGCTCAATATACATCTTGCTCAAATTCTTTGTCCACTACATTATTTCCATTTCAGAGGTCATCGAGGCATTCATCTGCAAAATATTGTTCCGATATTCGCCTGGGCTTACTTTCAGGACGAATATTGGAATGAGTCAATACGTATTTCACAGAACCTCTCCACTCATGTGATTCGCAAAAGGAAATATCTTCAAGGAGCGAACGGCTCTCCAAATGAAGAAAGATCTCAGAGTGATTTTCCAAATAATGATTGTTTTGGCTTACGGTTAGCAACAACTTTGATCAACAAAAGTTGTACGTGGAATAAAGCTGTGGGGATGAACTGGATGATTGGTTTGGACATATTCTTTCAGATATTTAACATATACATGCTTCAGTTTTTGAAAACTATTTGCGCTTGATTCATTTGCAACGGGCATCGTTGAAATAGTCTTCTGCACAATTCCTCGTAATGTACGAGGGACAACTTCGGGAGAAGTGAGCACAATTTCCACAAAAATCTTTTTCCAAAAACCTAAATAGGTTCGCCAGGTAAGAATGCAGCTCCATCATTAACAATATTATTACAATATTTATTCTCGTTTACCTAGGATATTTGGAAGCGCTATATTATCTGCTTATCAGGTCCTTTGATCTAACCAACGCTCCCGCTTTTTAAAACTCCAATACAAGTTCCCCTTGATCGCAGCTCAAACTCGAAAGCTCCCCATCTCGTCTCACCCCGCTTCTCTGGACCAAAATAGTAGATAAAGAAGAGAAGCGAAGAGATATTGAAAAAGGGTAGCCTCCTCTGTCAGACGCAAATTAAAAGTTAAAACCCTTTTAACTAGTTAGTTAATAAGTGTGCTTACTCCGAACTTTTCGATGATTATCTCCCCCGATTTTGAAGCGCCACATTCCAGCCCCGATGATCGGCGCAGCTTGTGAGATCTGCGCATCGCATCTCAAGCTTCTAGGCACAATGGAGCCCGGGGATTCCCAGTGGTAACCAGGAAACAATGGGGGAGAAAAAAAAGAAAAGAAAAGAAAGAAAAAACAGCCATGGAATAAGCTAGTCCCGTTATTCGCTCTCTACAGAATTTTTTTTCACCCGCCCTAAACCCCCCCCTATTTTTATCACGCAGTCTCTCAGTCACAAGCCGTCGATGTAACGACTGAAAATCTTCGTTGATAAACGTGCTGAACAATAGAGTAGTTATCCCGTCTGGGCGGTTGGTTATCAACTACTACTAGTTACTAACTACATAGAATTTTATTATTACTTACCTCATCATGCAGCTTGCGGATTTGTCTGTATCACATAGCTACTCCGTAATTAGCTGGTCCAGGGTTTTAACTCCACATATTTTCCTCCGCACTTCAGACCCTTGATAGATTATATATATATATATATTTTCGGGACCTGCCTCCTTGTGGAGCGATGAATCAGATGAGACCCAAACAACTAATCCATCGTAGGAAATTCTTTATGGTCGAATAAGGGATGCCCCATCTATATGTTAAATATAGTGTATAGATAAATCGAAAGATTCATAGCAGGAAAAACTCACTTAATTCACCCTCCAGGGTTGATACCCAAGAATACTCCAACAGGGTAAAAAAAGAGAGAGAGAGAGAAAGGAAGGAAAAACAAGCCATGGCTGAAGAACCCGAACAAATTGTTCCGAACATGGATTCGAAAAGCAGGAGATCGTTTGGAGATGGATTGCGCAGGGTGGTCAAGAAATTTACGACCCGGTACGTTAAAAGGAGACAAGGGAAAAGTTACTTACCTCTTCATCCAACCTCCATCCCTCGTTTTTTGTCAATATACTGTGTATACGTATATATAGCGAAGGCGGCCGTCCCCAGTTCTGACAAGCAACAAATAGAAAGGGACTTATCGGCGAATATAACTATGCCTTCTTATTCACGCCGAACCTCCCATTGATGACATCACGACAGCGGTCTGCGCCCTTTTTCGGCCTGGATGATAGGATGCCGGTGGTTCTGGCGCTGATTCTGGGTTTGCAGCATGCGCTTGCGATGTTGGCGGGGAGTATGTCAAATCTCTTTCCCCTCTGCTTTCTTCCACCACATAGCACTCTGCGCGGAGAAGGAGGAGAAGGAGGAGGAGGAGAAGAAGAAGAAGAAGAAGAAGAAGAAGAAGAAGAAGAAGAAGAAGAAGAAGAAGAAGAAGAAGAAGAAGAAGAAGAAGAGCTGATCACAAAACACCAAAACCCAGTAATAACCCCCCCAATCCTCATCTCCAGCTCCAGCGCCGCCACCCTCCCCCCCTCCGCCAGCCAATACCTCGTCTCCACCTCCCTAATCGTCTCTGGCTTCCTCTCCTCCATCCAAATGGCCCGCTTCCACCTGTACAAAACCCCCTACTACGTCGGCACAGGCCTGCTCTCCGTCGTTGGTACCTCCTTCGCCACCATACCAGTGGCCGTGGGCGCCTTCGCCCAGATGTACGCATCGGGCTACTGCCCCATCGACAAGGAGACGGGCATCCATCTGCCCTGCCCCCACGGCTACGGCGCAGTACTGGGCACGTCGTGCCTGTGCGCGCTGCTGGAGGTCGGCCTGTCGTTCACGAGCACGCGGGGTCTGAAACGGCTGTTCCCGCCGCTGGTGACGGGGCCGACCGTGCTGCTAATCGGGGTGAAGCTGATTGAGAGCGGGTTGAGGAATTGGGCTGGTGGCAGCGGGCCGTGCGCGTCCCGGCCCACGGAGACGGTGTACATGCTCTGTCCCACCAGTGATGCGCCGCACGCATTGCCCTGGGGCAGCGCGGAGTTCATCGGGCTGGGCTTCCTGGTGTTCCTGACGATAATCCTATGTGAGCGCTTTGGGTCGCCGATCATGAAGTCCTGCGCTGTCGTGCTGGGGATGCTGGTTGGATGTGTCGTTGCGGCTGCGTGTGGTTACTTTGACAGGTCCGGTGTTGACTCTGCGCCCGCCGTGTCGTTTGTGTGGGTGCACACGTTTCCCCTGAGGCTTTATCCACCCATCATCCTGCCGCTGCTGGCGGTGTATATCGTGCTGATGATGGAGGCCATTGGCGATATTACGGCAACCTGCGACGTGTCGCGGTTGGATGTTGAGGGGCCGCTGTTCGACTCCCGGATTCGGGGGGGCGTGTTGGCGGATGGCATCAATGGGTTACTTGCGGGCCTGTGCACGATCACGCCCATGTCTGTGTTCGCGCAGAATAACGGGGTGATCTCGCTGACGCGCTGCGCTAATCGGCAGGCGGGGTATTGCTGCTGCATCTTCCTGGTGGTGATGGGGATATTCTCGAAATTTGCTGCAGCATTGGTTTCGATTCCTTCCGCGGTGTTGGGGGGGATGACGACGTTTTTGTTTTCGAGTGTTGTAGTGTCTGGGATGCGGATTATTGCTACGATCCGGTTTACGAGGAGGAATCGGTTTATATTGACGGCGACGTTGTCGTTGGGGATGGGGGCGACGCTTGTGCCGGAGTGGTTTGCATTTGTGTTTACGTACCAGGGCGGGAATAAGGCGAAGCAGGGGTTGTTGGATGCTGTGGAGTTGGTGATGACGACTGGGTTTGCGGTTGCAGCGTTTATCGCGTTGGTTTTGAATCTGGTGTTGAAGGAAGAGGAGGAGGAAGAGGAATGAGGAGGAAGTAGAAGGAGTCAAAGAGAGCCAGGGGAGGGATAAGCAGGCGGAGGATCAGGAGGCGGTGGTTAAGGGGGATTGATGTACGATGGATGATATTGATGTTGAAGATTTAACTGAGATGAAATCTGATCTTATCTGATCTTATCTGACCCTTATCACATTTATCACGTGTTCTATATCTGGGCAACTGGGACCTACCGTTGCGCTAACGGATAAACCTAATCCGATGCTAGAAAAGCGGCAAACCCTGGCAAAAAAAGACGCCACCGCAAAAGGAGTCTTGGAGGCTTAAAAATCGGTTGGGGAAGAAAAATGGGTTTCCCGACAGCAGCAGAGGGTCCTTTTTCTATATTTATTTATTTATTTATTTATTTATTTATTTATTTATTTATTATTAAGTAATTGGAACAAGTAATGAGAACTGTATGGCGTGTTGGCTGTGGAGACTTGGGTACAATGATACATGTACATTGTTTTTGATAACTCCGTCATTACAAACCCTTGATTGAGATGGGATCAACTACCCTAATCACGTGCCTCCTCCTGCAGGCCTTCACTAGTTTCAACACGCCACAAGCAGCGGTTTTGGTCCCTTTCCCTTGGACCACCCCCGCCAAGACCCACAGACGACTTTAAAAATGCCCTTCAGCCAATCAGAGGGCAGGTCACCGCTCAGAGTGGAGCCACCCTTTTGGGTTTTGTTGGGAGAGCGCTAAGCCTGTTGGGGAAGACCGGTGGAACGTGCGTTGAGTGTATTTTTCCGGGCCGACGAAGCGGCGGGATGCGATTGGCTGGAGAGAGTATTCCTGGGTGACCATGTTCTTCTTCTGGTTTGAACAGCCAATGGTGCAGATACATCATATACAGAGAGAGAATAGCTACATGTGTGTGTGTGTGTGTGTGTGTACCTTCTTTTGTCGTTCCTCTGGTGGTGAAATATGTGGGGGATGAGAGGTGGTGGGGAATATGCGGCTAAGTTACACATCTATCTTTGTTGAGCGTCCGGCTGAATCATCAAAGGAATGACGCAAAGTTGGGTGGGCGTTGGGAGCTTCCAGAGTTTTTCAGTCCTGGGTCCGGCTGGTACTGGTACATGCAGGAATACGCTTCGGGGCCCAAACTCAACCAAGCCTGTAGTTCAAAGAGTGAATAGAAATATATATCAATGGATGTATGCCATTCCATCTCGTTTATAGCTGAGAATGGGCAGATAACTAACAGTCACAGCACTGCATTGTTACCAATTCTTTTCCCCCCCCCCTCCCCCGCGGGCGAATTGGCTGATTTTTATGAAAGTTTATCTGGAAGAAACTAACCTCTTCAAAATGGGAGTTAGAGTTCTCGAGCAGCAGCGAAGTACCGGTACATGGCCCAAGGTTCGCGTCCATCCACTCCCACCCCAACAAATTGTATTTTTTCCTCATCTTCAAAAATTTTTACAGTCTTCAACCTCCACCTTCACATTCTTCTGATGCTTGATTCCAACAATCAACTACTTCTCTTCTGCACCCAAGAGACGAGAAATCCCACTCCCTTGTGAAGCCGAGGAAAAGGAAAAAGTGGCCTGATTATCGCCGTTGTTGAATGTGCTTGTTGCATGTTGCCGTTCAACAGGTCCACCGCCCTGTCCAGCTTCTGCCGGGGGTCCCTTGTTATATAGCCGTTTTCATCCGCCGTCTCCTCCCTTTTAACACATCCCCCCATACACAATCAACATATCAACACCTAACACACTAACACACACATAATACGTTTTTGTTAATTGCAGGATTTATCCATCCTCTTTCTCATCTTCCTCCTCCTTAGTCCCCAAATCTTCTATTATCCATCCCCCATCCGCCCATCATCCATTACTCCTTAAAACACCTCCTCACTGGCTCCCGGGACCAGATTGGGCCCCCCTCCAACCACCATGGTTTCAAAGGAAGCCTCCCCGGCTGCCACAGCCAAACCAACAGACTCCCGTCGTCCCACAACTGAACCCAAGAAAGTTCACATCACAGATACCCAGATGACCCTTGCAAACTGGCACAAGCATGTCAACTGGCTCAACGTCATCCTAATCCTCGCCATCCCCTTATACGGCTGCATCCAGGCCTACTGGGTTCCTCTGCAGATGAAAACCGCCATCTGGGCGGCAGTCTATTACTTCATGACTGGAATCGGTATCACAGCTGGTATGTGGTTCTCTTCCTCTCTCTCTTTCTAACATGCTATCCTCCCACGATAGGAATGCGGAAAACACACTGACAAGGTGTTTCCGTTGACAGGTTATCATCGCCTTTGGGCCCATACCTCGTATTCCGCCACCCTTCCCCTCAGAATCTACCTGGCCGCCGTTGGAGGTGGCGCCGTCGAAGGTTCCATCAGATGGTGGGCTCGAGACCACCGTGCCCACCACCGCTACACAGACACAGAAAAGGACCCTTACTCCGTCCGCAAGGGCCTCCTCTACTCCCACATCGGCTGGATGATCATGAAGCAAAACCCCAAACGCATCGGCCGAACAGACATCACGGATCTAAACGAAGACCCCGTCGTCGTCTGGCAGCACCGCAACTACCTTAAAGTCGTCATCTTCATGGGCCTAGTCTTCCCAATGCTCGTCAGCGGTATAGGGTGGGGTGACTGGTTTGGCGGTTTCATCTACGCCGGTATCCTGCGCGTCTTCTTTGTCCAGCAGGCTACCTTCTGCGTCAACTCCCTCGCCCACTACCTGGGTGAGCAGCCCTTTGACGACCGCAACAGCCCCCGCGACCACTTCGTCACCGCCCTCGTCACTCTGGGTGAAGGGTACCATAACTTCCACCACGAGTTCCCATCAGACTACCGCAACGCCATCGAATGGCACCAGTACGACCCGACCAAATGGACAATCTGGATATGGAAACAGCTCGGCCTCGCCTACGACCTCAAGCAGTTCCGCGCCAACGAGATCGAGAAGGGCCGCATCCAACAGCTACAGAAGAAAATCGACCAGCGCCGCGCCAAACTGGACTGGGGCATCCCCCTCGACCAACTCCCCATCATCGAATGGGACGACTACGTCGAGCAGAGCAAGAATGGCCGTGGCCTCATCGCCATCGCCGGTGTGGTCCATGACGTCACTGACTTCATCAAGGATCACCCTGGCGGGAAAGCTATGATCAGTTCCGGCATTGGCAAGGACGCCACGGCGATGTTTAATGGGGGCGTATACAACCATTCGAACGCGGCGCACAATTTGCTCTCGACGATGAGGGTGGGGGTTATTCGGGGCGGGTGTGAGGTGGAGATCTGGAAGAGGGCACAGAGGGAGAATAAGGAGGTTGAGTCGGTGCGGGATGAGCTTGGGAATCGGATTGTCAGGGCTGGGGCGCAGGTGACGAAGATTCCAGAGCCTATTCCTACCGCTGGTGCTGCGTAGGTGGGTAGATTTAAACGGGGCTTGGAAGTGTCGAGGGTGGACGTGGTTTGGCTTGGCTTATGACTCTTTTTTTCTCCGATATTCCTTTTTATTTTTTTGTCTTCCTTGTTTCTTCCCTTCTTGTAATAATGGCTGCACGAATTGACTCGGGTACATATCTCACTCATGCCCTTTCTGACTTCTTTCCCTTTTCCTTCTCCAGCTCCTGTTTTCCTTGGTCATGTGTACCGGAGAGGCCCTCTCACCACACTCACACTAAACCTCACCTAACGCGTCGTCTGTCCGGACAGCGAGAAGAAAAGAAGCAAGTTCTTCTGCTGGATCAATATGGTTGCATCATGAAAACAGCATTTTATACTCTTGTGTTTCTCTGCCCCCTCCTCATGTACTCCATATTTCATTTCTCTTTTACCTTTCATTCCCTGCTCTTGTTTTGTTTCCTCTTATCTTTTTGGAGTAAATGGTATCCGGGAAAAAAGGAAAAACTCGAGAATTAGTTAGTTGATTTGATTTTTTCATTTGAAACTTCCCTATTTTCCTTTCTCTTTCTCTTCTTTCCTTCAGCCGTTGCCCACTCTACCATGAGAAATATATGGAATAGAAAAGAGGCGTTGAGTTGTTCTTCCTCGGCTGGTTCGGCTTAATTCTTTTTATTCTTCAAATCATTTCCCCCTTCCCCCCCCCTTAGTTAACTGAGTAATGGAATGGACTGTGTCGCAAACTGGGTTTCAGATCCTATCAGATTAGCCAAGGTGGAAATAAAAAACAACAGAAACAGTGTGACACCGGGTAAAGATTAGAAGCTAACTGGAGATGTTTAAAATATTGCGGGGGAAGCCTTTTTGCGTTTCTCCTCTCGTCCTTCATGCCTAAGCATAGGGAAAATAGGTGGGTGTTGTTCCCCCCCCGCAGGCGCTTGTGCCTTGTTGCTTAACTACTATTCTGCTCGCCCTGCAAAACGACAGGAATTTAGTTTTGAGATTGGAGAAGGGTTGGGAGATGGATAGTGCTGCAGGTTGTGCCTATTATGTGTCCGCTCTCTTCTGAGATGGAGATAATAATTGGGGGTTGAAGTTTGTTAGAGGGAGTTGATTTTGCTTTCTGCGTGGCTTGTTACGTATGACAGATAGGAAAACATGTGATGAGACGGAGCAAAAGTAACCATTGAATCTAATTAATCCATTTAATGAGGTTGACTGCCTTGTCTCTTTCGCATGTTATATCCGTAGCTATGGATATTAAACAGCTAATAATTATCACCGCGTGCAGAACTAGAAGCGTATCATTTTCTCTTCTGTTTCCCTCTCTTTTTCTTTTCCAATCATGCCCCGCAACAGCATACATAGGCAGTGATTTCAGTTGTATGAACACTCATGGCGCAGATAAGATGCACAAACGTAATTCGAAAACTTTTGTTTTCTTCATATCGTACGGTATCTTCGCATCTGGTGTACACAAAAAACACGAAGAAGCCATATGTAATTCTGGAAACTGCTGTCGTGCAATCTGTTGGGAGTAATCTATCCTGCAGGTCGTATCCGTATGTTGATTATCAATGGGGACTGAGCTGATTATCCATGGAATAAGTGGGGGTGGATATTTGGGAGTGGACCAAATTTAAGAAAAGCTGTGGCTAATGGAAATAAGATGCGATCATAATCTGAAATAATGTGTGCCGTTATTAATGAAGGGGAGTCAGGTGTATCTATCAAAATGGCGGAATCCAAGAACAATAGGATTGAGATGGGAAAATATAATATAAGAGGGGAATAGTGGAGGTGTTAACCTCGTGGTTAGCCATCATAACGGTGGAAAATCATGTCCACGATTATCTATCTGTCTGAGATCTCATCTCACACCAACTCGACATATCCGACGGCACTCGTATTTCGATTTCGTGTCAAATGAAAAGGAAGAGAGTATATCATGAATCATGGATCAAAACCTACCGAGTAAGAGGCAACATGCTAGGAAGGAGGATGAAGAATGCACACATAATTAGATCAACATGACGATCCTCCAATGGGGGTTGGTGTGTCCAAGAACATGACACTGTCCTCGCTTGCTCAAAACTCTGTGGAGAATAATAGCATCTCACATCTACCTGGGTCTCCCATCTGCCACCCAACCCAACTAAAGATTCCTGCTAGAAAAACCAACAACCACAAGCTTTGCCAAACAATAATAAACAAACAGTAGAGAAGAGAGAGAGAGAGAGAGAGAGAGAGAGAGAGAGAGAGAGAGAGAGAACCAAAACCTACGACCCCAGCGAGTCGATATCAATCCCCTCATCCCTCCTCCGAATCATAACTGGCGCAAACGGATTCGCATACAGAGAATGCGACACTGAGAACGGCTTTGTATATGCCCCTTCTACCAATTTCAAATCATACTTGAGCAGTAAATGGCATAATATCACCTTGATCTCGTTGCCAGCGAAGAAGCGACCGGGACAGGAATGCTGACCGTGTCCAAATGCTAGAAAATCGGGACTGGTAGTGACTAATTGCGCAGTGTTCTCCTGGCCGGGCTGATGGCGCATGTTGTAGAAGCGGTAGCCGTCCCATTGGTCTGGGTCTGCGTAAACGGTGGGATCCCACATCCTGTTGGAAGATACGGCTGTCATGACGTTCTTGGGGATAGTCGTGCCATCGGATAGAGTGATGTTGTCGAGGGTGACGCGGGACATGGTTACTGTCAAGTGTGTTAGTAGATAGATATATTGGCGAGAAATCGCTTTGTTTCTTTGTTTGGAGTTGCTTTGGTGTTCGGAAGGGGGAAGAGGGTGTGGGGGAATGGGGGAATGGGGGATTGCTGTCATACTGGAACTGATGGGCTTCATTCGCTGACTCTCCTTGATGACACTGTCGAGCAGCTTCATTTTATAGAGGGAGGTCTTCTTCCACCCACCCTCACTAAGGGCGTCGAAAATCTCCTTTCTCAACGGTTCAATGATTTCGGGGTGTTCAACGAGACCGAGGATTACTTGGATGATAAGGTCGGTCTAGGTGACATTTAATGTTAGCCCCACGTATGAAATTACTAGAATATGGCTGATTCTTGAAAAACGGCGTTGGATTCTGATCAATTTCCGGTCCAAACGGCGCTTACCGACCTTTCGATATGACACGAAGTAAATAAATACGGGATATCCTTACCGTGGTGTGAATAGCAGCGAGACTAAGTCCAAGCTGGACAACAACGGGATCATACAAGCCCTCCACTTCTCCTGAGGCCTGTTCGAACCATTCAATAGCATCGTGGATCACAGGTGGTTTCTTTCCCTGAGCCGCAAGGGCCGCCTTGTCGGCAGCCCGCTTCTTAAGGAAAGGCTGAATAACCTTACGTGCCTTTTTGACTTCAGCTCGAGACTGCCTACATTCCGGTAGGAACCAGTGGACGAAATCTCTTGTCCATGCAGGCCACAATCGTAGAGCTTCTGCGGCACCGAACGCAACGAGGGTATAAGCGATGGTGATATCTAACCATTTGGGGTCGTGGCACAATTCGTCGCCCAGGAATACCTTGGAGGAGACACGGGCAACAATTTGCAGAAACTTCTCCTTTATGGTAATTTTATTCCACTCTGCATGGCGTATTATAAGTAACTTGAATATAACTTTAAAACGAGATAGTAAAGAAGCCGTATTAGGCTCATACCTTTATTATCTGTGAGTATCTCCCGAAAGGACAGGGTAGCTTCGTCAGAGAGAGGCTTAGTTAACTTGCCTGAGAAAGTGACATTGCGTTAGTAAAAGTGTTCAGCTCAACACTGCCAAGCTTAGCATGAGAATTCCGAGGTTTCTCACCAAGGTTAGTTGTCAACTGCCGTTGGACAACAGATTTCATAAGCTTCATATTTTCACTGTTGACCCTAAAGACTTCGAATCCAGGCAGATGGCCGAAGAAATTCTGCCAGGATATCACGTCAGCTGAGAACTGTTCCGGGCGTAGCAATCGATTTCCTACCCTGTGGATTTGCTCTTCAAAGCTCAGGCGGTTATCGTTCCTGATCTCGTTGGCGAAAGTTGCTGGGAGAATAGTGATTTCTTCTCCACTCTCTGTAATCATACGAAAAGGCTTATTGCCAGTGGTTGCGAAACACTGCTTTACCACTCCGATCGCATCCCGTATCAAGTTTTGTTTGACCCTTTTATTGGAAAACTCAAATCTCTTTTTCAGGGTGAGGAGCGGCACATTTGTCTTGGGGCGTTGTAGCATGTAGATAGAAAGGAGGGTGACGGCGGTAACAATGAATGTGACTGAGGGGAGATTGGGCGTTGACATCAACTCCGCTAAGTAGACGGACATCACCTCTCGAGTCGCCATGGTGTTTTGGTGGTTAAAGTCTCATCCAAATCAAATCACTGTCGAGTTTGATTCAAGCTGCTGGGGGACCAAAACTTCTTATATTAATCAGGCACACAGAAATAAAACGGCTAGCCGATCGTTGTCTCCGCCCCCAAATGGTCGTTGAAGTTGCCGAAGCAGCTCAGCTAACGCAACATCCCAGTCCAGGTCGCTCATGTGGGTGCTCTGTTTTGATAAGCTTCCGAAACATAGAAGGATTAAAGTGAAGAAATAATAATAAAACCATTATTATGTCTGTATAAAGTCTGCACTTGAAAGCCCTCGACCTTGGAAAAATAAGAACTAGGGTTGAAAAATCCTCCGTTCAACAAATGAGGTTTCGGGGGTCGTTGTTTGACTTCCAAGTTACCTGCTAAGCTAGGTACAGCCAACCTCCTAGGAGGGAGCCTTTGGTTGTTGGTGACCACCAGGGGGGGGGCCTCATTTGGTACTAGGAGCCCAGAGCTGAGGAAGTATTCTTTTCTCATGGTCGTGTTAGCATTCGACTTGTCTGTGATTTAACAATCCTCCAGAAGCGAGGTGGCACCGTTCCCGACGCGGGTGTCAAAGCAACAAAGAAAATGCCATCTAACGTTTGCTCCCTTTCTAGGGGGGTAGCTCTGCTATGTAGTTGCGCAGTAAGCGAGCACCATGGTGAAACCGTCCATCTGGTCTGTAGAATATCGAATCTATGGATGTTGATATCTCTTGCTGTGAGGAATTCACTCCAAAACCGTGTAGACCCAACCTCCTAATTCCAGTCCTCAGCCCTGGGACTCTGGTAGAATCCTCTCATAGCCCCCCCTGCATAACTGGTCGGACGTAATCAAACCTTTAAAAGCCAGCAACACACATCGCCTTCAACCCGCCCAGCGTGCGTACTGCCATGATTCCCATAAATTTCCACCGGACCCACTTCAGTCGACTCTATCCGCTTTGGGCTCTTACAAGTTGCTAGCTGGACTAGTTGCTGTGTTAGTTTAGCCAGTGGTGTCTGAGGACTGCGGGCCGAGCGATGATGGGGCTTGGTTCTCCGACTGGGACTCGGCGGCATGAGATTACGGGCGTCCAGCTGAACAGGGTTTAATATCTCCGCCGGGAAAAATCTTCGGTGTTGGTTTTAACATTTAGGCCATGACACACACACATCTCTATTTTCTCCTGACAACAATGATTTTAACATATTTCAGACCCTAATCCTAACCCTGGTGTTGAGGGCGGAGGCTGAATAGAGCGTATTTATGATGTATTCGCAGAGTGCGTCTGCTCTTTATTTTTAGATGGGTGACCAGAATGGTTTTAAAAAAGGCCCAACTTTAGACCATGTTCAACTGTAACCCCAGACTGGACCATTGAGCCACATGGACTGAGGGGATTGTGTCAAGGAGAAAGCCGACTTCTTCTCTGAATAAACAAGCCTTTTTCGGTCGTTTGATCAGTGGGGGAGCGAAAGGAATCCGTAAATATCTCTAAAGAACGGCCTCCCACCAGAACCTGACTCGGTTTGACCTCAGGAAGGTTTTCGGCTTGGTAAAAGAGTTATTATGTGAGTCAGCTGGGGGTGACAAAAAACGGATCGCGTATTTCTGCTTCAAATATCCACGAGAGGATGCTTCTTCCCCTTGTTCTCAAACCGAACTTCAACGTTGCCATCGCATTGTGAAACCTCAAAATAGTAGTATCCGGCGATATTATATGCATACCCGGCTTCGGTTGGTGATTAGAGCGTGAGCGAAGTGCAAACTGGGAATTCCCTGATCCAGGTGAGCAGATCCAACAAAGTGCATGGTTGAGCATCCAAGAGCAAGACGTGCGGCATAATTGAACGGTGAACATCTCAGGCCAACGGCAACCTTCCCACTGTTGGTTGCACGGTCAAGAACTCCATCCATCGAACCAAAAATTATGCAGTGCTGAATCATTTTTTATTTATGCAGTCTCATGTATAAAATATTGGGATATCAAAGTATTGATTTCTTGCTCTGATATCACGGTCTGGATAAATAGCAGCCCATTTATTTGCCTTAGCAGAATCCGGTTTATATGCCATTCTCAAAGTGGTGCAATTAGCCGCGTGGTGGATTTTATCAATTCCTCTCCAGATTCCAGAGGTCCATTGCTTAATAGGAGCGGAGCAATGTGAATAATTGAAGCTGAGGGCTGCTTTCCAAGGTTCAACTTGTATACAGCCAGACGGTGTCAATAATAGACAGTCGTATATTTCGAGCGACGGAGTATTATTGTTTGTGTCAGGGTTTTCAACCGCATATTTACGGATTTTTCCATATCTCCCTGCAACACCCGATCATACCTCTTATTTATGGGTCTTGAGGTACCTGTCTCTCATCGCCGGATTCCAATAACTATCCGATTCCGATGACAACAAATTGGATTGCATGGTTTGCCAAGAATAACAGGTTCTCTGAACTCCTATTCTTCGTCTTTTCATTCCGCTGTGCTCTCTCTTGATGTTGCCTTCAACACCCATTCCAAACAACTCTGGATGCTTGGTTGCTAAATTCGTATGACTCAAGCAATGGCTGCCTAGGTCACTGCGAACAGTCTGTCAATTGTAGGTTGTTCGACCATTTTAGGTATTGGCTGAACCGCTGATCTGAGACTCTCTGGCTCTGATTGATACTGGAGGCCAACACAGAAGATCCGGCCGCTCTCTAGACCCAGTGAATAGGAGATGGATAATGCTCTATTCAAGATGTGCCTTGACACCCTGTGGTGGTTTCTGTCTCCCTAAACTGCCGCTTGATTTTCCCATACATCATTGTAATGTCTACTTGTTTGTGTTCAGCCTTCGGTCGAATCTGGGATCCGCGGGTCAGTCTAACTGGCAGTTTTCTGCCAAAAAAAGAAAAGAAAAAAAGGCTGAACTCAACTGGCTCCTCTCATCTCTATTGCGTTTTGCCGTGCCGTATGATAACCATCTCTAATGAAATGTTATGTTTGTTGACAAGTTATTGGGAGGGACAGACACTGATCCTTATAAGTTTCTAATTGGAGAACTTCCCCAGCATCTCATATTGAGTGTAAATATACATGCACAAAGATTGTGTGAATTTTTATTCTATGATTCTATGAACGAAATAGGATTGAAAAGAGGGCAGATTCTGTATGGAAATAGACGCAATATCATAGGTCGTGGCGGGTGCCAGCTCTTGATCTTTTCAATCATTTCTCGGGGTAATTTGAACGGGGGTGATCAGTGGTTCTGTGAAATGGAAATCAGCGATATAGGGGTTTATGGCCGTCACTAAACACACACTGGAATCACCGTAGAAACTCCTAACTGGTTGACAGAGCATTGTGGGGTTGGAGGATTGGGGGGGGATTTACCATTACATCAAGATTATCTACTATCTAATCGTGCCTCCGCGCACCCACACCTGATGTGGGTGCGCCACAGCGTAATGATAAAAACAGTGTAATGATAAAAATATCAACTTCTTCATTAATCAATCTTCAAATATTAATATATCACCACCACCATGACCAATAAGATAGATGATCTTGAAAAATGTATTCAGAGTGCCATTGAAGTCTATAATGGCAATTGAAAACAAAAAATCCTACCTCTGGCACACAAATTCAATGTTTCTTATCAATGTCTTTGAGTAAAAATCAATGAAAGAAAAACATGCAATGCAAAGACTGCATCAAACAAGAAGCTTAGCAAGAGTCAGGAGGACACATTAAAAGAGTGAATAGCTCATATGAACAGAAATAATTGCTCACTGACCACAGAGCAGATTCAAGATAATGTGAATCTCATTCTCAAATATCATCATACTGATTCTTCAACCTCCCTACTCATAGTCAGCAAGATGTGAATCTATTGATATATACAAAGCTTGAATGAGTATAAAAGAGTTAAGCAGAAGACAATGAATCTGAAAAGAATTACTGTTGAGAATATTAGCTACATCAAGATGTGATTTGACTATTTGAAAATTTTACTTCAAAAGTACACATTTCAAATCTGCAATATCTACAACTTTGATAAGATTGACTTTCAAGAGGGTCAAGAACATGGAGAATGAGTTATTACTGCTTTTAAAAACTTTAATTCAGTTATAACTTCATCATATTCTCAAGAATTAATCACTGTGATTGAGTGTGTTTCAGCAGATAATGAGATATTGAATCTCTTCATCATCATGAAATTCAAAACTCAACTTGAAGATTGATATATATAAAGTAATCTACTGGACAAATATACAATCATGACATCAGATACTGGCTATATCAATAATGAGATTGACTTTGCATAGATTCAGTACTTTAATGAGATCTCTAAAAAACATTAGCAAGACAGTCATCAATTACTGCTTTTTGACAATTATGAATCTCATCTCACTGAAAAATTTCTATAATATTGCAATCTTCACAAGATTATTCTATATAAATTTTCTTCACATTCAACTCATATACTGCAATCTCTAGATAGCATGTCTTTTCAGTAGTATAAGCACTATCATTCAAAGACAGTTAATCAAGCTGTGTGATATGGATATGAGTAGTATGAAAAATGTCAATTCCTACAGAATCTAGTTGATGTCTGTAAAAAGACTTTTCAATTTTTTACTATTCAGACTAACTTTGTGAATTGTGGTATTGTCTCATTCAACTCACAATCTATACTGCTTAAGCTAGATTCAAAAATCCCTGACTACTCTGAGTTGTAAATATATGAAGAAGACTTCTTTTCACTGTAATCAAGCTGTTCAGATACTGCTTTATCACAGCTATTCTTACTCAAGACAATTGAAAAGCTACAACATCATATTCAAGTGATAAAGAAGACAATGCAAGATATGAAGAATATACTTGATTTCAAATCACCTCATCTGAGCAATCAATTGAACAAGATTTTCCAAGGCAGTCTTGTTTAGATAGAACTCAATACTATAAAAAAGAGTGAGATTGAGAGTTACTACCTTGCAATCAAACACTGCATATCAATCAATTAGCAGATTGCAGTTTCCCTTGTACACCTCAAATCCTTCATAATCTTGTTGTTGAGATTCTAAAAGCACCTATTGAAGTCAACTGGGTGGCTCAGTTCTGTGAGCGCCACAAGGATGTGATCAAGTTACTCTACCTGTGAAATATTGACCAAAAATGCAAGATTGCAGACAATTCTGCATACTTCAAGCATTATTTTGATCTTGTAATAGATTTCTTTCTTATACTGCTTTTTTAATTCTCATCTTGCTAATTTATCTTAATTTTTCAGCTGCAGACAAAAATCACAAAATACAACCTTGAACCTGTGAATATCTACAACTTTGATGAGAAAGGATTCCTATTAGGATTCATTCACACCCTCAAACATATTGTATTGATTAATTCGCTCAAATCAGGCTGTATGATAAGTGCCAGCCAGGATGGCAATCGAGAATTCATAACACTACTTGCCTTAATTTGTGCAGATGGAACTTCACTCCCACCTGCTCTCATATATCAAGAGGAATCAAGAGATATGCAAGATACTTGGCTTGAAGATTTTGATAGTGAAAAGGATCAGACCTACTTTGCTGCTTCAGAAAATGGGTGGAGCAATGATGAATATGGGTTAACATGGTTAAAGAAGATCTTTGAACCTCTTACAAAAAAGAAGGCAGACCGCAGATATAGACTTCTTATATTGGATGGCCACTCATCCCATGTTAATATGGCATTCATCAATTACGCAGATTGGAATTGAATTCTACTTGCTGTCTTTCCTCCCCATTCTACACACTGATTACAGCCGCTAGATGTTGGGATATTTGGACCATTGGGTAAATCATATTCCAAACAACTGAATGAATGAATGAGAACTGGAATGGGATTCATACACACTACAAAGAGGTCTTTTTGGCAGCTTTTTGACACTGTGTGGAAGGAGGCAGTTACATCTTCAAATATTGAAGCTGCATTTGCTGCTACTGGCCTACATCCATTCAATCCAGAACACATTCTTAAAAAGCTTCAAATATGACCTTGCACCCCCCCCCTGACGCAATATATCAACCAAGAACACCTACTTCTATTGTTGGCCTGTGGAAATTGGTGAAGCAAGTCAAGCAACAGCAGCATCAAATATCTAATGATCTCAACTGGGTGATCCGTGCAGGGGAAAATCTTGCTCTTGATAAAGAGGTTCTTTTAATAGAGAATCAGCAGCTTCAAAAAGCTCTTAATCAAGAGAGGAGACATTGCAAGTGTGGCAGGGCAATGGGGTTGCTAGATCCCTTGAATCCATCATTGATACAGTTCTTCTCACCAGCAAAGGTGCAGAGCATCTGTGAGAATTTGGCGGCCTCAGAGGTTGCCAAAAAGGATGAGCAAGCTTGTAAGGAGGATGCAAAGCTGCAATACACTATTCTTAAGGAACAGAAGGAGGCAGATATCATCCAGCAGAGGATGGAGTGGGAGGCAGCTCACCAGGCCACAAAACAGCAAAAGGAAATGGATAAGGCCGCAAGAGCTGCTCAACGGCAGATTGACAAGGAGCTTAGAGATGAGAAAAAGGCTCAGGAGCAAAAAGAAAAGGAAGAATGAGCTGCTGTACAGCTACAATCATGATTGAATAAGAAGATGATTGAAGAATTCAAAAATCACCTTACTAATCAGGAAAGTAGACCATTGATTTCGCAAAGAGTGGCTAAATCACGTTTTCAGAGCCCTGCCAGGGTGCCCACAGATCCACTGCCAGAGGGATATGATGATATTGCAATCTCTACTGGTTTAATGACTGCTTGCTCGCTGAATCTGCCTCCACCCAAGATTTCACATTCCAGGCGAGTTATTAAGCCAAACAAACATTTACTGAATTAGCTATATATTTTTATATGTAATTTTCTATATATATTTTCATCCTATAATATATCATCTTAAAATCTAATTGCGTTGTTGAAATAATGTTGAAAATATTTCATCATAGTGATGGCGAAATGGCGGGCGTTGGGTGTAAACGGGCGTTGGGTGGTGGATTACGTTACTAGTTAACTATTATCAGACAGATTGAATGTTTCACGGATAGGATTTTCTCAACCGCGCTGGCCACCTTTAATGTCAACTGAATGCACGCCATGAACTAACTTTGATGCCCTTCCTAGTTGGCTGTTCGGAATTTGTTAAGTTGCTTTTCTGTTTATCCTGAAGATTTATATCCTTGTGTGTCTTGTGCATCACAGATTGCAGTCAGCCCTGTCGCCATACCCGCAGATCTGACATCTCACCGTTAACCCGTAACTACTTTGGAAGGGCTTAACCTAGGTAATGTCAGATATAGTGACAAAAAGTTGTTCGACTACATCTCTCGTTTCATGGCAATTCCTACGACACTTCAGCCGTCAATATATCGAAGTTTGAATGCTTAGTTCCCGTCTAGTATCTCTAGGCCTACCCTTCATGTCAATGTTCAAGTCGCCTGTATGATATGTTATATTTCCTCGAACGACGAATTGCATTGAAAACCAATTACTCAATCAAATTCCTCATCATCAGGGATATTCTGTAGTAAAAGCACAGTATCGTCATCAATAACTCCTTCCGCAGCACGAACCGGACGGGGACTGTTGTCACCATTACCATTTCCACGATCATTTCCATCATCGCTTCCAACCCCTTCTTCATCGGAGAACTCAGGGACAAGCTCGGCTTCATCCTCATCCAACCATTCATACTCGTCTCCCTCCTCTTCCTTCACCAATAACGCTAAGGAGGATTCAGAAGGTGTCGTTCCGTTAATACCTTCGTCCTCCTCACTACTTTCCACTTTGATATCTGGCGTTTCAGCGAGATCAATTCGGCGTTTCCGTCTTGCTTCCAGACTCCCTTTAGACTGGTCGAGTTTCCGTTTCGACTGGGCATGCGCTAGATGCAAACTGGGACGGCGGATAGAGATCGATAGTGCTTTCCCACACGTTTGAGGAGCGAATTCGTAGAGACCGGTCTATTCACATATTGTCAACTACTATCGTATTTCCCGTTGGTCCAGCCCGCATGTACGTAGTTGTGTATTCATAGAAATACAGCTTCCTCTAGTTCAAAAACAAGTCACCAACAAAAATCTCAGATATCGAGGTGGTAACTCCCACCCAATCCCCTTCTCTCTCTCTCTTTCTGTGTGCGTATGTGATTTTGTTATATATCACATACCGTTTTTATCACAAATGGAATAACCCTCTGCGCCCTATCATGCACGAGCCCAACCTTCTCAATTTTAACAACCTCCGCGAAGCGCACACGTTTCATGGGCACTCGCAATCGAAAGCTGGGCGGCAACCACTGCCAACAAAGCACTATGCACGTAGCAACACCGGAATCCCACGTTACGCCTGATAGGGCTTCGTGTAATATAGCCGGCTTCTTTTCTCTAAACCGCGATGCCATCTCATTTATAGTAATCACAGCGCAATTGAGTCTTGCGGCGAGCTTTTTCAGATTCATCGCCAGATTGCCGATGATTTTCCAGCGGGTTCTTTCTTCTTTGGTCTCGGCTGTAACTCTTGTGGTTTTTGTGGTGTTTAGTTTGCGTTCCCGTGGTAGCTTCGTGCAGTATTCAGAGGTGAAGAGAGAGGATATTGAGTCGATCACTATTAGTCCTGTATCTTGAGGGGGGAAACCCTTTGGTGGGTGAGATATAAGGGCTAGGAGGTGTGCTAGAGTTGGCGGATGGAAGTACAGCAGCTGGTTAAGGACTTCGTCCATTTTTTTCTCTCTCAATGATGATGATGGCGCCGTAGATGGGTTGTGGGGCAATTTTGGATTTCTCTCCCTGCGGAGGATGTCTTTGAACCTCGTTGGGTTCATGGGCCCCGCAGTATCTACCATTGTTAGAAGGAGTGTTGAATATATTTTGTATGTTACAGTGTGGATTATGAGATAGAGGTTTCCCAGGATATATTTGAAGGAGGTGCTTGGGGAGACAAGGTCGATAAGAAGAGTTTCGAACTCGACACTAACCTATCCAGACAACTTTCTGTCCAGCTTCCAATACACTTGCTGCAATTCTCATTCTTGAATGGTACACATTAGCCGCAATTTGCTCTGACCCAGGAGGGAGTCCTAGGTATGCCAGAAAACGCTTTCAAAATACACTCACGCAAAAGCCGTCTTCCCTACACCTCGGGACCCCATAACCTCCGTGATCTCCCCACGCCGGACCCCTTTAGTGGGCGCAGCTGGGTGGGCCTGGAAATATACATTGCTCCTTCTTGGATCCAGAGGGGATGATCTCACGCCAGGGCGCAGTGCTAACGCAGCATCTAGCCGTGGAAGTCCTGTTGGTATCGCGCTTTCACGCTCCTGGTTTGATGTGAGAGATGACCTAACATCTCCAAACAAACGAAATGAGTCCTCTGGCCCTTTTCTATGGCGTGCTATTAAGTAGTCAGCGTTATGATATTAAGAAACGTGTATGAAACTGAGTACTGAGAAGAAAGTATGTGGAGGGTTGCCCGTGACAAGTATGCGGGTTATAAGTATGGAGCATGTTCAACATATTATCTCCGGTCAAATGATTCTACATAACAGCAGAAATGTACAGCTCAAGCATACATACCCTCCTCTGGGCTGGAGAATTTCGCGATGTCTTCTTCGTGGCCCGTCATAGGTGCGTGCCCACTACATATAATCCAGAGAGTACCACATTCGGTTTCTAGGATTTAGACGATGATCAAAAGATATATTAATATAGTAAGTAGAGATGCTTTCGCGAAACGTTTGGCAATCGTCGAGCGAAGCTCAGGGATTTGCAGGGAGAATTGGAAGTTGATGTTCCTTTTGAGTGAGTGACCTTGGCTTTAGTTATCTAACAAACTATTTAAATAATCACCAACCGACCTACCTCCAGCGCAAACATTGCTGATGATATCGAAATAATACGAGCTTATGAAGGTGCAAAGTGGTTCGTCTGGAATTTACGCAAGCCATTAGATTGAAAACTGATAGGATTTTACGGCTCAGTTATGATGAGAATTCTGAAGATAATCATGTATAGACATTCTTGCTGGAACTAACTAATTACTGCAGTTAACGAACTAAACAGTGTGGAGTAGAGGATTAACTACGTGAAAGTATTGAAGACGGTATATGAATCAGCCTGGCTTTTACCGCGTCACTCAAGGCCTATATTGTTGAGGAATCGTTGTTCTGAACTTAGAATATGACGGGAGCAATCTATATGAAGGGCATTCCTCCAAGATGTTCAGTAACTAACTAACTGACGCTGTAGCTTTTGTTGAATTGTTCCATATTCATCATAGAATGTCCGTCATACGGAAGATCTTCTTGACATGATGAATCCAGCGGAGTCCGGTATGGGATCAGTGCCCTTTCTATGATGACTACTAAATCAGTTTCTGAGCGTATCGTCAATTTGCCTGAGGGATATTTACTTCCATCCGTTGAACTTCAAAATGCAGATCTATGAGCTGACTCTTACGACATAAATAATGGGGCCAGGCACTCTCCACGTGCCGCCTCCTCTTCTTTGCGTGTTATTGTACATGAGGATGCCTGAACTGGACAGCTGCAGGAGATAATTTGCCTGTTTCGCCGTTTAAAATTGTGATCAGGAAAACCAGGTAAATAACGCGGGTGGTGTTGGTGGCGATATGCCGCACAGCTTTTCATCGTTGGCCCTTCAACGCCCTTAACCGCCATTTCTAACATTTCAAGCGGAAGTCAGATTTTTCATCATCTCCCTATCACACCATGTATATCCTGAACGCCGCGAGCCGACTTCTTCTTTGCAGGGATCTCAGACCACCTGAGTGCGCTGTGCTCAACTCTTATTTTCTCCTCAGCAGCGTCAAACCTCGTAATCCACTCGTCAAGAAACAGGCTATATTCATTTTTCTTCGGAACTACCACTCCCATCTTTATTACCGCCATTGGCTTATAACTGGCGTTTTCGCACCTTCATCCACTAAGCGGGACGTAGAATAGAGACGCTCAGTGTATAATCAAAGACCCTTTTGCTACTTCATCCGAGAATCGTGTGATGCCATTGGCGTTGCATAGTTCCTCCCTCTCGACACAAATCTTGATAAGAGCAATCTCTTCAATCTTCCCGCTTAGGTTGAAAATCCACTGTATTCGGAGATTGCAGTGTGTTGCTGTTTTCTAAGATTGAAATTCGAACCGAGCGTAGTTGTTGCTTGTCAGTCTAGGCAATTTAACGGGGAGGGAGAGAATGGTATAACTAGTTAACTAACCAATCCCCCCCCCCCCCCCCCATCTCCCCACACAGTGGAACAGAGAGTGCTGAATTCAATTATTCATAATATGCAACGCAAGTGTTCAACCACTCACCAAAGTATTTTCATGTATCGCAGCTTTCAACTACATAACTGGGGACATAGTAATAGTTAGTTAGGGGCATTCGGCTATTTTAGTTAGCCGGCCTCAAGAGTTGACTATTTCGTGACACTCCTTGCGACGCCTTTTTGCCTCTCGACCAGCCAATTTCCACTCGTGCGCTGGAGCCATAAGGAGAATTTAGAAGGGGGATAACTATCTTTGTTCGACGATTTTGCGTGGATTTAATTATTGAATGAGATGCTTCTTCTCAGCTCAGCTCATAACTAACCTCTCGGCAATCAACTCATGCCTTTGCCGGAACTAGGTTGCAAAAAAACTTATTTTGGCCCTCACCAACGAAGAATAAGAGGAACAAGAAAGGAAAAAGAATTGCTTCCTGTCATTGTATTTACCTTTCATTACACTAGCAACACATTCTTTTCCATTTTCTGTTGTTCTTTAAGCGCCATGTTCACCCAACGATTGGACAGTATTTTCCTGCGGCTGCACCTCTCTGTTACCACCACCTTTCTCGCACTCATCTACATCCTCTGTCTCTCACCCATATTCCTTCTCTTGTCCTGGGAACTTTTGAGTCGTCGTGCAGCAGCCCGCGAACCCAAGGGATGTCGAAAATTGGGCTTGCATAATTTCTCGAACCTCAATGATGAGGGTAACTATGACACGAATGGAAGACGGAAGAGGAGGCAGAACCAGAAGAATGATGCAGGGAAGGGGCAAATTCGTATAAAGGCCCTGCTAGCGTACCCTATCAAGAGCTGTGCTGGTGTTGAATTCAGTATTGCCCAATTTGTGAGTACGGGCATGGCATATGACCGCCAATTCTGCTTTGCGGAGTATATGGAGACTCCACCAGCAGCAGCTGTGGCGAAACAACAACAACAACAAGATAAACCAACAGGGCAATGGATATGCCGCACAATGCGCGATGGGAAGTATTCCAGAATGGCCCTGATCCGACCGGAGATCTGGGTTCCGGACCCTTCATCGCGCTCGTACTCAGTAAATCACCCAGATGTTCTCTCCAAAGGCGTTCTGGTAATAAACTATCCTCGTACCCCAAGCGGCACGGGTCTGTCATCTCTATTGATATCCATCGGAATGAAGTTGGGTCTCTGCTCGCGGGAAGAATCCTTCCATGTACCCCTCCACCCACCGCCATCAAATAGCAAAACAAGTACATATCCTTATCGCCCGGTGCGTATCTGGAAAGACAACCCAATGGCTGTCGACTACGGAAAGCATATCCCGCCGTCTCTTATTACGTTTCTCGAACCCTCAAGACCACTCACTCTTTTCCGAGTCGATCCAGAGCATCGTCGGAATGTTTTCCGCTGCGCACCGCGCAAGGAGGCTCTAGGTTTTCAACCTACCACGGGGTTTGCGGATGCATACCCGCTGCACATGTTGGGACTGGCCAGTGTGCGAGAGGTCGCGGAGCGGACGAGCCATGCTATTCCCAAGTTTTCAGTGCGTCGGTTCCGGCCGAACATTGTTATTGAGGGGAGCAAGGCATTTGAAGAAGATTCTTGGAAATTAGTACGGTTTGTGTCCGGGCGTGGAAATGGTAAAAGCCAATTGCTCAATGAGCAACTGGAAACCCAGCACCGCGGAAATCAAGACGGCATTATGTCAGAGATTCCCGATGATAAGCAACCCCACAGCCGCAAGGGTGGAGATGGGGGGATAGAGGTATACACGTCATGTCGGACAGTGCGGTGCCGGTTACCCAACGTAGACCCGAACACTGGTTTGAGACATAGAGCTGAGCCGGATAAAACGCTAAAGAGCTTCCGGTGTATCGATCCTGGAGATGCCAACAATGCATGTTTGGGGATGCAGTGCGTTCCTGCTGTGCAAGGTGTGTTCCTTTTTGTCTTGCCATTTGAGTTCGTTTTTTGGGTACCCCTGAATTAGAATGGAAATGCTATTTTCGGAACTCATCATACAAGTTCCCCCCCCCGGCCTCCCCCCCCCCGAAAAAAAGTATATTTGACTCCCTCATGGGATGGATGTTTTCAATAGCTTAACGATGTATGCACAGAATTCACCCTCCGTGTCGGGGACGAGCTTGAAGTTCTCGAAACGGGAGAGCATTTCTATATCAAGCAGTGAATGGGATAATAAAAGGTAACCAGGGAAAGGGAATAGGCACCTTGGAAAGGAGAAGCAAGAAACAGGATATACATACATTCTAGCCCATACTTCGGTATTTTGATGCTTCGGCTCCTATGAAAGGCTATATTTCGTTCAATTTTCGCTATACTACGGGTAGTGGATTATGTTCGGATCATATAGTTGCCTCTTGAGTGCTTTAGACCCAGAGGACTGTATTAAATAAACTAGATGATATCATTAATGTTTATGGTTTGATGGAAATATTGAGGTTCCTTGAAAGTCAGGAATATGTGATCGGGAGAAAAAATCAGGAGTCAGATGAAAATTGTTTCCAAAACTCACAAATATTAGGGATGTGTTTGTCTTGTTGTTGACACCGGTGTACAGGTGCAAATATAGGTAGATGCTTCTCAAGTCCGTTATGTCAAGGAAATAGAAAAATTCACATAAAATAAAATGATGATGCATGAAAAAAAAAAAAAATCGACTTCCATATGCAATAAATAAATGCCAAATACTGATATGATATGAAAGCCTTTTAAAATGGCCATAGAGAGCAACAAATGAACCTTAATACATCAGGGTGCAAAACAAGGGGCAGCATTGAGCGGAAAGACAGAAGCCAGGGAAGCAACTGAAACACATCCATTCAATATTCAACTTCCAACTCCTGGTAAAAACCAGGGGGGAACAGCAAAAGCAAAACATAAATATGAGTCCTGACCAAACAGAGGGTATGATATCTAGGGGGCGAAACCTCTAGCAAAGTACACAGCAGTTTGCCAAAGAGAAAAATGGAAGCACAAAAAGGGAAATACTGCTATTCGAGGCCTCCATATCACGGCTGGAACCTCAGACGAAACTCATGACCCTTCCCCTCCTCGCGAACCTTATACAAGAACCTTGCAATAGCATCCTGCTCTACAAGGCCAACGTTATTAAAATGTTTCCTCACCGCCGTGGCAAGGTGGTCCTTCGTTACCCTTCCTTGACCGCGAAATGTCGAAATGCCATGCACGTCCATGCCAGCAACGCCTCTACTGCTCTCTAGGTCCATACCATTGCCAACTCCACTTCCACTAGCGGCAACCGCAGTATTATTAGTGTTATCATCTTTTTTCGAAGGTCGTGAAGCGCTTGCATCATTCGCGGCTTTGCGCCGTGCAGAGAGCTGGGCCCGTCGAGCGGCGATTGTTGTGGGGGAACGGAGGCCAATCCCTTGATTTAGGATGATGGAGGATATTTGTGAGGAGGATGAGCTGGGACAGGGAAGGTTATAGGCATGTCGGTATTGGTGGAGGACAGAAAGTGGCATGCTTGACCAATTGATCTGCGAATGAATGGTTTTGGAGTTAGTATTGTTTGGGTTTATCGGGGGTTGAAAAAATGGTCGTGCGAAATGGAGGGTAATTGTTGCGCCTCTCTCCTCAAAGAATAGGCCTTTCTCTGTTTGAGATATAGAACCGGAGGAGGAATAATAGAGAAAATAAACACTGAAAACAACAGCGGATTATTTACCCCAGATGGCTCCCCGGAATGATCAGGTTCAGCATTTTGGCCGCCTGTCGTAGTGGTGGTAGCTGCACTTGCTTTAAGGTCCTTGGAAGATATTGGGTTACTGGTTGCAGCGGCGTTGACTGCCCTGCGGCCCTTCGTGCCGGTGGGATGCCGTTCTCTCGTACCGCTGGAGGCTTCTGATCTCGAGTCGTCAAGGTTAGCCGTGGTCCGTTGACGAGGAGCCATGATGTGATGCTGAATCAATCGGCTGGTGATATCAGGGAGAAAATCATGTAAATAAAATACTGGAGATACCAACGAAACATCCGGGTATCATGTCGACAGACAAGGAAGTCAACGCTATTTCATCCTATGAACGCCATATTCAAGGCTGTCCTTGAAGATAATTGCATACATTGCAAGCCAATCTTGTCCTTCACCGACTGTTGACTCGGGGGAATAGAATGCATCATAGGGCGGTGAGACATGGCATAATATTATAGATTGGCTCTAGTCCTAAAAAGGGCTAAAATAGGGCCATAGAGCAACCCTAAATTGGCGGATGAACTTTAAATCCGGGGTACGCTATACCCCATTCGGGCAGTTTCGATGCCAAAAGCCAAGCAGTTGACTTTGACTATGACGCAAAGAGCAATTTCAAAACAATCATCCAAAAACCGGCAAATCTATGCATTTATGAGGTTGAGATAGGTCAAAGTGTTTTTTTTTCGCAAACCTGTGGACAGTGCATATGAATGAGGGAGCGGGGAATCCAATTACATCTGAATGGCACAGAACACAAAAATATAGCAGGATGCGTGATGGTTCACTGTAATCTTACAATCTTACAATCTTACTACTGCATTCCCCTGTTGCGCTGCATCTGGCTCCAGCTACAATTTCCCAGTTCCAACCGAAGGAGCCTGGTGCAACTTGTATTCTGGGATCCTTATGATCCCCGCTGCCATCAGATTGGGAGCTTCCACGGGATTAGAGAGTAGGAATTGGTCACCATGGCTTGCATCAGCTATGCTTTTACTTTCCAGGTGAATCGTTTTCGAATGCCTACTCAGATGCCAGCGGACACCAAATTACCTATCTGATCACCAGCCCATGTTTATGTTTGCTTATTCCATTTCGTTGCACAGCGGGATGAACAGCATCAAAGGATAACAGCAGTCTATTCCCCATCGGAGAGCCATATGTATGATTTATGCGCACTATATGACCTTCATACAGCTGGAAACACAACATATGAGTATCGTTGGGGATGTTGATTTCTCAGGTATCCGCTCACCGCCTCGAAACTCCGTATCTCTCCAGCCACATTTTCCTGCTGCCAGAAAAGGGGCATAAAGGAGCCAAAAACAAAAGTTTTTCCAAAGCTCCCATGCAAGATTCAATGCAAGAAGAGAAGAGCCGTGCTTCCGCCTCACAGGAAGTTTCGGGAGATCCTCGGCATTTGTGGAGTGGGGTTGGGTTTTTTATTTTTTATTTTTATTTTTATTTTTATTTTTTTTGAAAATGATTTGAGTTTGCGTACTCGTTTTAATGGGGAGTGCAAAAAGGGGAAATGCTCATGTACGGCTGTCAGAGATGAAAAGATACCCGGGAAAGAAAATCTTTCCTATCTCTTTTTATTATTGGTTGTTTTTTATTCTCCTTCAGTTGGAATGTATACGCACCAGCACATCAACCCGCGCACGACACCTTTCAGCCGAGTGCCGGTATCGTCTCTGGGTCCACACTGTGGAGTTGTGGAGAGGGTCTTGATACATTCGATGTTGATTTCATTATTTTCCCCCTCATCATCCCCCATTTGCCTCCCCTTGACAAGCAAAGAAACACAAGGGGGTTTTAAGAAAGAAGAGAACGAATTGACCCGCAGTGTATATGCCTCGTACAACCCCTTTTGTTGCTGTTGCAAACTGCATATGGAAAGTCACATTGCTTTCGAGTTCCGTATTCAGGAGTTTTTAGGTTAACTATCTCACCATCACCGCGAATGATTCATCATTGTCTCCATGTGGCAGCGGCATGGTATTTCCAAGGTTTGTCAAAAGGGCCTAGATCAGAGCTGACCCAATAATCTGTATCTTGGAAGGGCTTTTCTTGGGTTTTCGCAACTGCGGATATCTCCCCAAAAAAATTACAGGCAGAGCTACGGAGGATGCGATCTAACCATCCCTGCAGGCATGGATCGGGAACGAAAATACAAAAAAAAGAAGACAGAAATAACTAGTTCAACAGATGGATAAAAGTGGACCCGGCAATTAACTTTTATATTCAATATTTCAGTCCGAGGTTCCGGTTCGTACCCCATGAATTCCAGTAGTTCATGGCTGGGTAGCATCGGAATGCACCCACAGATACTATGACACATCCGCAGAAACAATAGCCGGCATATTGCGCTTGATGACTTACATCCCCTGCCTGGGTACGTGATTTGTTACTACCAAAAGTGGTTCAGAAGCAATCAAGGAATCATATTCATCCTTCCAATACTCCCAGCGGCAGGAATTTCCGGTCCCGCCTCATTCAATCGTTCCTCTCACCGTCACGCTGGTCCTTCGGAGCTTCTAGTCTTTCCAAATGATTTGAATTATCAGGAGCCGGGGAGGGGCCGCGAGTGGAAGGGTTTGGGTGGAGAGAGGAATGGTGGAGATGACAAGCGTCGAGTCGCCAATTTTATAGGCTAACCCCAGAGCAAATCACCAACTATATAGCCATCAACGGCCATAATTTTTTACCACCGTCCCCCCTTTTTGAGTAGTATCCTAAACTGAGATTAGAAACAACGATTTCTATCTACAATAACAGATTATCCTATCAATCTCGGTCTGTGGTGATAGTTATAACCGAGGTTTTGACAACAAAAATAATCCATGGCTCTCCTTTTACCTTAGGTTTTCCGAAATTATCAAACCGGTCCGCTTGAGTATTGTCAGGAAAGACAAAGAAAGCATAACAAGAATCCGGTAAGCATTGCGCCTTAATTCCTTACTTGATTTATCAATTGCTGTTGTTTACTGATATGAAACATAAGCTTGCGACTGTTGAAGTATCAAGTTATCATGCAGCGTTGTTGCCAGCCGGAGAACTCTCGGCTTCTTCCCTTCTCTTCCAAGGCCGAATCAACTGGAACATATATATCCCACTCTCTCCTAGGTAGCTAGTTTAACCCAACGGTGTTCCTGACAGGTTCCAAGCCTAGCCATGCCGGACCCCCATATTGCCACCAAAGCCACCCTTGCGGAGGAGAAGGGAGGAAAAAGGCAACATATTTTCATCTTTCGATATCCACTTTGTCACGTAGTCTTGTTACCACGATTTCCTCTTACTTTAGCCATACACCGTTTTGCAAATATTACTAATTACGGTGTTACAAACACTTGAGATAATTTGTGCAATGGGAGACATCTCCAGTGGCAATTTCAAGATAGGAGAATACAAGGGATAACGGCAACATCCACAGGGTACATGAAATGCATCTGTCTGTATAGTGGCTCTAACTACGGGCCAGAAGGTTCACAGTATTCGGCCGCCAACTATCCAGGAACTGGTTCAATTCTCAAGTCCGCCAGCGAACACAGCATCCTCATTAAATAATAGGTGCTGAAATGCTCCGCCGTATATGATTCCCTAGCAAGGCCATGTGCATTCCCAGCTACAGAAAAGCCCAACTGCTAAGGTTGTCAGTTCTGCCAAAATAAAATTTAACAAATGGTTGGTCCTGGCAAGTCATGCACAAATGCTTCTTGGTCGAAACAAGCATAACAGCAGCTGGCACACTGGTTCGGGCTCTGATTGGGTACTTTGAGTTCAGAGTTCAGCCTAGTCAGGGGAGCAGACACAACTTTTGACCCTTTGATATTCCAAGCTTCGTTCTTGAAGGAATAAAACGAGTAGAGCTCCACGGGTTTATCGAAGTTCTCATAACCTCTCAACTTCTCAACCCTCGTTGTCGCCGTTAAAGTAATGGAGTTGTTACGATTGCCAAATTTCACGGGCGAATTTCATTAATAAATAGGCTGTATATTGGCATATGGTGATATATATTGATTTGGGTTTTGTGAGCAAACATATACTTCTCTCTAGCTGGTTAAGGATATTCCCCCCATGTATTTCATGCCGTCATTGAAACAATAAATAACATCATCGTGCTGCAAATGAAAATTCTTCTTTCCTCTGCGTGGGCCTTATTCCTTCCCATGAAACTTTGAAAACAATAATATAACTCCTCGGACGATCGGGCGATGAACTGAATCCGTGATTGGCCAGTGGATATATTCCGCGTCTCCCTCTTCTGATCTAGGCCTGCTGTTTCGCGATGGAGCGGTCTCCAACGGATATAAGAACAAGTGTTGTACATATCCATGGGGCTTGAAACCAGGGTACTTAGCTATACAAGTGATTTCCTTGTGTCCTTAGCTTGCGCTTCGTTGGGTGCCGTACAGTTAACTAACTCGGGAGGCAATGCCTGCTTGTCAGTACGTTTTCCTCATAACTTGCATAGGAACAATTCGTCATTTAGCTGGAAAATATATACTTACAACTATAACTTAATGATATCAACCAACTCTTTCGTAGCCTTGCAATATATGAAATATTATCTTTCATCTCGCAATGATTTACGTAAAAGATGAATACATACCATCCACAAATCGGCATTAGAAATACTTATGCACACATACATTAGTTGCACCATGAGGACCAGAGAATTAATGTCATTTAAAGTCTTACCAACTTATCATCATCTGGGCTGAGGTCCCCGCTACCCAAGAATACTCTCCATCACATCGCCATATTCAATGAACAGTATATATATTTATCTAGAGGAGTTGCAATTGAGGGATTGATGGACGCACATATTTTAAGGATACGCATGTAATTGTATGAGGAAGAGATGAGATCGAGAGAATTTCGCAACAGCTTGCTTCACCTCGAGACTGTGTGAATTTTGATATACCTTATTTTGCCAACATTTTTCTTATCCCCCTTTACATTTTTGCATAAGTTCTGCGATACGACTGCTAGCCATATAAAGGATATCCTTGTAATCTACCAGTTTTGACATTGGCAAGGGTACAACTTCAAACATCTCATACCTAAATTGATACAACGATATTGGAATATGGACTGGTCAAAAAGCTGTTGATAGTTATGTCAGTCAATGACTATTATATTTGTATCTATGATGCATTACAAAAAAGGCAGTTTGAAATAGATCAAGATGCATTCATTCAAAACTTGCCCATAGACATGATTGAGCAGGCTTCAACGGAGATAACTCTGTGTGCAGCACCAACCCACACACACTTGTCAATGTCTCCAAAGCTCAAGAAAACCTATGACAACACGTCCATGAATGCTCACTTGACCATTCAAGCTATTTTAGTAAAGGCATTTTTGCCTTGCAAGAAGAACAGCTCCCATTTTGCATTTTGCTGGTAGGAATATACTCAGAACCTTGGTTGCAGAGGGAACGATTAAAATAATACTGTAGCCCATTTTAGTATCGCATTAGTCGGGGCAAGCTGTCTAGGCCACACAGCTCCTTGTCCTAGACATCATAATTATAGTCCACCCTGCACGTCGGCCAATACCTGTTTTGGTCGCACTCCGCAATTGCACAATAGGACTTTGATCTTCTTTATCTCATGAACGAGCGACCGAGGTAGAGATGTATATAAGTGGCTCTTAAGATAAATCGAGTTGAACAAGAGAAAAGATATATTAATAATAAACAGAGAGAGAGCGAAACAAAATAAAAGATGCTGAAGTTTGATAATCTGAACCTCAGCATCTTTATACTCATGTGAAAGTGAAAGTAAAATTATTCCCCCGTCAGAAGATTGTCTTGAAAAACTGAGTGGCAGGAAGCTTGTTTAAGCACAAGTCCTGCAGTTGTATCGTACACATCCATGTGTTACTACCTTCAGCATGTAAGCAACTCTGTACACAGCCATTTTCCGGGGCTTCTCCTGCAGCCCTCTTCGTAGATGCAGCTTTCGAAGGGTGAAATGCATCATACTTCCAACTTCATGGTCAGTTTTCGGTGTCATTTCCGAAGGACTCCCCTGTCATCCTCCATGAAAAGAACCGGATTCCAGACCTGGAAGCCAAAATAGGTAGTAGGAAAGTTTTTTTTTTTTTTTTAAGCAGCAGAGAAACTTCAAGATATGATGAGCTTCAGTCCTGCATCACTTTCAAGTCAAGCAACCAAACTGCTAGAAACAATAGAATCAGTCAAAACATGGTCTGTGCAAATGCAACGCAGCATATTTTTCATATCTATTTATTACAAACAGTTTGATAAATCTATGTTGACTGAAACTTTTCTTTTAAGTAATCAACTACTAGATAATTATAAATCTTTAGATTTTATTCAATATCTTATGATATAAAGTTAATAATATAAAATTATAATTATTATAATATTTTAGTTTTGTTATATTTTTTTACAGCAGTAATTATGCATAATGAAAAATTAAAAACTTTAATATATATAAATATAAAAAGTAAATAAAATAAATATCAATCTATAACTATAATGTTATTATTTAAATTATATAAATATAGATTAATAGAAGTTATATTATTATAAGTTTATTAAATTATAAAAATTTAACTATAAATAAATTTCATAATATATATTTATTTAAATAATTTTAATATAATTTATATTAAAAAATAATAATAAATATAATAATATATAATAGTTCGAAATGAATATATTAAAAGAAACATAAAAAGTGTTGAAAGTATATAAATAATGAAAAGTATGATAAAAAAAAAATAATACATGTATAAAGCAGAAAAGCAAATGCAGAATCAAACTAATGTATTGAAAGCAGAGATGAAAATGAGCTGCAACAGAATCAGAATCATATGAACTTGCAGGCAGAAAATTTTGATGAAAGGTCACATGATATATAAAACATATACTCGGAATTCGTTTTGCAATTAACATAATAATATATATATTTATAGAGTACTATAGAAGAGATAGAGTGGTAGAGAGTGATAGAGAGATATGGGAAAGCATAAACCTTTCCAATGATAAGGTTTGTGCGGGGGGGGGGGGAGGCAAACTGGGGTTTTAGGGCGGAGGAGGGGATGGAAAATTGTGCAAGCCTAGATTCGTCGTTGCTGAATGATATTCGCTGATTGCAAAAATTCATACCGACATCCGTTTCGCCATCGCCATTCCTTTAATTGATGCACCAATAGAACACTCCCCTTTGCCCGTGGAAAGCATGTCAAATAGAAATGCTGGGGTCGGCTTAAAGGATGGGGGGGGATGCTATCAGAGGAACGCCGTTGCTTGTTGGGAAAGTTTTGATAAAAGGTTAAAATATCTGTCAGGGAATCTCCTCCTTGACGGGTTTAACGGTTTTATGGTTCCCCCCCCCCCCCGCGCCATTCGAGTTTGTTAACGTATTTTTATTTTGAAACACTTCAAATTAGTAGCATAGATATGGTGGAGAACGTAGTTTTTAACTGGTAGATTATGCAAGAACGGAAGTCTTTGGAGAGATATTGGGGGATGATTCATAGATACATATCCCGGAGCTAATCCGTGAACTATAACTAGCTAACTAGTTAGTTATCCATGAGTTTGATGATAAAGCAGCATGCAGGAAAGTTTCGGAGAGGATGAGCCACTCGCTTCCCAAATCCCTTGAGGTTTCATATCATTTGCTGGACATTCTCAGCCGTCGTAACTCCCTTTTACCTTTTTCAGAAGCAAAGTTTTCAAATTCTTCCGCGTCCTTGCAAGGAACGGAAAAGCCGTTTGCTTCGACCACAAGGGGAAACCGGTGGCAATGTCATTTTAGTTACTTTCTTGCAAAGGGGGACGAATTGGTTGTTAAAGCAAGGCGAGAGCTAATTTTGTCATCTATCATCTCTGTCTTCCATATACTCTCGACAAAGAGCTAGGGGAAAACAATAATATGCACTAAGTAAAGTATTAGTGAGGTTCCAATGAAATTTCTACAATCCCTCTCTACAGATAAGACGAACCTTGGAGGCAAGGCACTTGTGATGTGATTGATTACCTTTGTATATATGCAAACAATAAGAATTGAATCTGGTGCGGAACGTCTTAAAGAAACCAGGCAAGGAGTTAACATCAGTTCCTGAGACTGGGAAGTGGAAACTGATACAAGTATTCCGCTACGACAATCAGCACAAATCGATGGCGCATGAAAAAGGTGTCTGTTGTGATGCAACTAACAATTTCAAATCTGCATATACGAATCTGACAAGTTACAAAGTAGGTCGACGGAAGGCAAACCGGGACACATAGTTTAACTCTGGGGGACCAATTGGCAACGGACATTTCCAGCAAACACGTTAAGTTTTGTGGGGGAATCTAGGTGATGTCACATGCTTCCCCGAGAAAGGAATTATATCTTCCCCAGAAAAGTAAAGTGAAATATAAAATAAATTAAAAAATAAATAAATAAAATCCGATTCTTAATGCCGGGGGGAAATATGAAAAGAGGAAATTTTCAGAATTCGTGAAAAGTTACAACTCATCAACCATTGGAACATATGGAGGAGAGGGAGAACGGGTATCCACTGAGGTTTTGCAGAATTGGATGTGATGTTTAACAAATGTACTCTATCTATCCCCGTTTTGTGCAAATGTCTCTCCGCTGCTTTGATTCCAACGGTTAAGTTTCTTGGGGCCACAAAAAAGTCCGTTATCTTATTTCCAGCCCATTCGTGGGGAAAATGGCGAGTTCATTCCGCGGCTTGGTTCAGGAGTACCTTGCTGGGCACGCATCTAACGTGCGGATTGGAAAGGAAATATCAGGAAGCGAGGCAAGCAAAAAGCAACATGGAGTCTGAACTGTCTCTTTTATTTATTTATTTATTTATTTATTTATTTTTATCCAACAAGTCATACATTGATCTCCAGATTCACAGCGCGTTAGGCAGAATCCAGAGATTGTCGGTGAAGCGAGGGAAGGTTGGAAGTAAAAAGTGGGGCTCCATACAAAAAAGATCATACGAGAAATGGATGGCGAGGAGCGAGGGATTTGAACAAGCAGAGTGAATAAATAAATAAATGGAACAAAGCAGCCAAAAAAAATTGCCCCATGCAACAAGTCCTAAACACAAAGAGTGTGATCAGTCCAATTGCTCCGAATTTATGCGTAATTAGCTACCCCGCAGGCAAAAGTTGACGGGAGAGTGCTGATGATGGCTGGGGGAGATGTTGAGCACAATACGAAGTCGGGTACGGGAGTATTCCCTCCGCTCAATGATACATTCATCCATCCATTCAATTCCCCGTGGTCAAAACTGGAAAGAAGCAAGCAAGAAGAGGTCAGTTTGTTTGGTTAAATATCGTTGCCAGACGAGCTAAGCCGCTGTCTACAGATTTCTCCCCACTTCCACCATCGATCGCATCATTTTAGCTTCTTGTCTTTTTTTTTTTTTTATTTATTCCCTTTCTTTCTTTCTGGGTCCGACGGAATGTTCTTTATTCTCTTTTTATTTGATTTATTTTAACTTGTTCTATATTTAAAAAGTTTCCAAAAATTGAACAAAAACCTGTAGATCTCTCTTGCGCAACGCTCTTCTGGAAACCCCCTCCCCGGGGTAAAGGAATGGATGAATTCGTGTATTTTTCATTTGCCGAAAGAATTTAATCAATTCATATCGTATTAGTTGCCCCCGTAATTTAACGCACCAGCAATGGGGAAGTTCCCTTCCTCATCGCAGCGCGTTTCGTTTTCGAAGCGCAAAGCTATCACGTAAAATGCGTCATGCCGCTAAAAAACAAGGTGTAACCGGCTTCCCCAACCTTGGAATTAGGTTAGCGGAAGTGAGGATCCGGAGAAATCTTGGTCCCGCAGTTTATATTTTTATTTTTATTTTTCATCGTTTATTTTATTTATTATTTTATTTTTTTGGGAGGGGGGAGAAAATCCAGGTTTCATCATCTCCGCTAATAGCATCGCGCAACAGAGAAGAGAGTAAAAAATTGAAAAAAAAAAAAAGAAAAAAAGAAAAAAAAAAAAAGGACGGAGAAAAAGGGGCGAGAACGTTCTTTGGAGGCGGAGAAAGTTCGGGAGGATCGTTACAGGCCCCCATGTCCATGTCCACGAGTAAACTATCTGTACACGTAAACCAGGTATCGTAGCGAACAGACGTTTCAAAGAATGAGTGGAATACTTTAATTAGCGCTTGAGGATTGATTATTATTGCTATCGTTATTGTTACATGGAGGAAAATGGGATTTTGCTGGTCAGCTTAGAGTTACATGGCGCTAACTAACTATCTCCCGGAGGCTGATTCAGCCCCACGACGTGATCGGGGAGATAAGCACCAGCTAAACGTAGTCCTATCTATTAATTGGCTATCAAGTATCTGGGATTGTTTTTGCTGGGGAAGATTGCCAGTGATTGTTTCTGTAAATAGGAGCTGGAAGGCATGAAGGAGACGGAGCTGCGTCTATCTGTCTACTATCTAATTATCTCCGCAGACGTTTTTGTTACCACAGTGATAAACGACCATACGAAGCTGTTAAGCTACACTAGCTATTATCTAAGCTGGCTATGGGACCCGGTGGTGGGGTGGGGGGGGCGGGGCGGGGCAACCTTGATCGAGCCTTTATCTCCATGAAGTTCAACTAACCCAATGAACCCTGAGATCCCCGTATCGAGTTTCAAGATAGAGAAAGGGGGGGAGAGAGAGAAAGAAGGGAAAAAAGAGGGCGTAGTAAAGTTTTGTCGGAACCCAGCATCAATAACGACGGAAACCCAACGAATAGAAAGCGATAGTCGACGTGTCTGCTAGATTTCTCTACTGGGTTTGGCTGAGCGCCTGAAAAGCGGATTGTTTGGGGGGGGAGGGGAGGTGAAGAGGATTGTAGGTGGGTTAGTTTTACGTACTGTTCAAGTACCCTGCGGGTTGACAAACTTGCCAGGTTGCTTTTTGCGATTTGCTGCCCTATGCCAATGAGCCTCTTCTCTTCATGGCCTGGCAATTTGGCAGCAGGCACCTGGCAGGGATAAGGTAAGGGCAAAAAGCGTGCGCCTCCACGCCAAACGCGTTACCCCCCCCTTCCGCCCCGGATTGCCCTGCTGGTTGCTTCGCTCAGCCCAAAGGCGTGCGTCGTCAAAAAGCTGAAAATGGGAAGCATGGATGGAATGGTTAGGTAGGAATTTTCTGGGGTGTTCCCTGCTGTGGCGCGCGGGGGAACCTTGGAGAGTTTGGGGTTGTCGGGTATTTTTATATTTTTAAAATTTCATTGTGTAATGAATGTACATGTACACAACAAGGGGCCAGTGAAATTGTCAGTGGAGGGGCAGATTTCATTTCATCTGTCTGGAGATTGTTTGTGATAATTCTCTTTTGTGCATCGGTGATTTCGCTAATTTAGTTGCGAATGGAGGGCTGCTTTTATTTTTATTTTATTTTTATTTTTATTTATTTTCCTCCCCCCCCCCATTTTGGTTTTTGGGTCGACGTTGGTGTGATTGATTGGGCGCCAATGATGCGATGTGTTCAAAATTATATGTTGATCGCGCCCCAAGGTTGCGAGATGGGATAGGCTGCTATAGATCAGTAGCTCGACATGGTGGAATTTTAAAGGCGGGCTGTCCTAGGCGCCTGGTGTCGGGGGATGACGAGGTGACATGGTGGTTGGTCTTGGAACGTTGAGATGGAAGGGGGCTGCGCACGAGCGTGGTTTGAGTGGTCGAGATGAAACTGGCAGGCTTCTTCGCTTAGTTATTATCATTAGTATTAGTAACATTTATTTTATTAACTAGTTTACTTGTTTACTTTTGTTTACTTTTCCAGGACTTTTCCGGTGGTAACCATGTGCAAAGAAGCTTTGGTAGAAGATTGGTGGATTGTTGTTTACACGAAAGGGAAAATTTTGGATAGGCTTGGGGTTTTCGAAAGTGGGTGAGCGGTTATGATTAATCTCCAGATCTGAAGATCTGGAGAGAGCATCGCTTGTTGTCTGCATGTAACTAAATGCTCGTATATATATGCTCGTGTATTGAGTTATATATATGTTTAATTTTTTTAATTGTCGTTCGACTCCATCCCGATCATGGATGAAGTTTGAAATTCCCGCGGTAAAAGCGAATGGTGATCGCCGTTTGTAATCGTCTTAGTTAATCCGGGGAACGGCCCCAGGAAACGAAATACGGGCGGCGGTTAGGCAAGCTCTGCCCCTGATTGCAGTTATCCTTGCATCGGTAATTTTTTCATTTCCGTTTTCCACGTTTTTGCAAATACGGTACGGCGGTTTACAGATAACGAAAACAATAAAACATTCAATAACAAAGGAGAACTAGATAAAAAAAAAAAAAAAAAAACCCCGACTAAAATCTTTTAAGGCTGCGATGAAAGTGCCCGCACAGAAGGGAACCTGAAGAGGATGGATCTTCAGGTCTAGGAGGACGGCTGAAACCGGCAGTGTGTCGGCTGTAATAATTTAACAAAGATAATTTTGGTGGGGGTTTCCTTGAAGCATCCCATTTCAATCAGATCAAGCAAATCAGCACCGGTGAGTTAGTTCTTAGGAAAAAAGAAATATAGGGAACGATAGTTATAACTACCCCTGTCTGAGACGTTGGGAGTGAATGAATGAATGAATGAATGAATGAACGAACGGGTGGGATGCGATGCCTTCCAGGAATGCTTTGGCATAGCCATAGACGGTCTAGATCTTTTGGGGTTGATCTGGGGTAAGTTAGTTTAGTTCCTCCAAACAGCCGAATATGGAGGGAGAAAAAGGAAAAAGGGAGTTGGTGAATTATGAAGCGATTAGTTAGAAATTAAAGAATGGACGGGGGAAGATGACGCGTTCTCTGTCGCTAATGTGTAAGATGAAGCCCCGTCAGGTTCCTCCTCGATTTTAAGCTATGACGCTGTCTGGGAATAATAATGTGGTTCACGTAGCGGAGATTTACAGCAAGGAGACAGTGTCCGAGGCAGCACAGGGATAAATTACTGAATGAGAGACTCACGGACCAAGCTGGTTAGTTTCGCAAGAGCGACGTCTAGAACATCGGGAGCTTCCCTGCAGAGACTATCGCAAGAGACTATATATCATCAATGACATCGTAGAAGCTGGTTAGCCCTAAGTTTGATCGGACATTAGCTCGCTCTTTGGGCGAATAAAAAGGCGGAAACTAACGGTATGCTGAATCATACTTGAAATTGAACGAATTACCATCCAAACTCTCGCCCTGGCTGCTATATTCTGCTGAAGATTCCACGATGTCATATTTGAAAAAAAAAAAAAAAAATTTAAAATAATATCGCCATATATTGCGTGCTCGCAATCAGGATTATGATGAGGTCACAGATTGAAGAAGGTGGTGGGTTTCGTCCATAATCATAAGAAAAAAAAAAAAAAATTTTATCCCATATATCCATCCCCGTTGACTTTTTCATGTGAAAAGAGACAGTCAAAAACAAAATCCCTTCCAGGAAGCCGGTGAGGCTGACACAAGGAAGGATGTTATTTTATCCATGGATGATGCATAGTTTGAGCACAACTCGGTAGCCAAGGAGAAATAAAGAAAATGAAAAATTTCCAATTTTCCCCAGGTTTTATTATTATTATTATTATTATTATTATTATTATTATTTATTTTTGTGGCTATATTCGCGTAGGGTAACTTTGGGAGGCGCTTGCAAATAAATAATAACAACAACGATAATGAATAATAATAATAATAATAATATTAAGGTAGATATCGTTCCCAGGTACAATGTAGTAATTCAAAAATCACGCAAGTTATGTTTTAAGTTGCTGCCCCCCGCGGGGCTCAGCTGCCTGTCTATTTCCAGGTTTTTTATTTTCTTTTATTTTAATTTTTTTTTCTTTTCGGTTCAGAGGGCTCTCGAAAAGATTGAATTAATAATTTCTAGGCAAAAATAATGGTGGTGGTTGTCAGCTATTCAATAGTTTTATCTGCACTTTAGTAAAAGAGAAAATTCTTATGCGAGTTAAGAATGGGAACTTTTGTGGGAGCGAATGCTCATATATGCGCATTTGCATTTCTTTTTTCTTTTTTGGCGCGCTTGATAGATCTGCACAGATAGATCAGAGAAACAGAGGATTAACGTTTCTCGGGTTTCTTTCCCACCGGGCATGATCGGGTTGCGGTGGATCAAAGTGAAGAAGGGAGCGGTTGAGCGGAAGATAACCTGGCTGAAGCTATCTCACAGCAGATAAGAGAAAGAGCCGAAAAGACCACACACACACACACACACACACACACACACACACGCGCGCGCGCGCGCACACACAAAAAAATAATAAAAAAAGTAAATTAAAAAAAAAGAAGCAGCAGCAGCAGCAGAAGAAGAAGAAGAAGAAGAAGAAGCAGAAGCAGAAGAATAAGAAAGACACAAAAAACACAAAAAAACAGGGAACAAGCAACCATAAAGATCTTGATTTTATTATTATGTTATTGGGCGCGGGACGTGAAACGTGAAACGTGAACCGTGAAACCGTGAACTCAAATGCTCCGCTCCGTAGATAACTGAGGAAAAAACACAGAGAGGAATCGTCAATGATAAGATCGATGCTGAATAAAGTAGTTCCATGGCTCCGGCATTCCCCGGATGTTGAGCGAGGTAACTGCAAGTTAACGCCTTGCAAGGATGCTCCGAATAGTTTTCGTGAGACAAAAACAAATTAGTCAATACACCCCGGAGAAGTTGAGTTAGTTTTCTCTGGTTTGGGGGGTTGAGCTTATAGTAAGTAAGGAAGGTAATTTAGCAAAAATAAAATAAAATAAAATAAAAAATGGTAAAGTTAGGCTCCGGATAGCCAAGGTCACGCATCTATACACAAATAACCACAATATACTCCACCAACTACATGGTCATCCAACTAGGGTTGTTTAGATCTTCGGGCAGGTAAACGTGGGCGCGGAGGTTCATATCAATGGCGTCTCTCCCACACCCGGGAACAACGAAGGTTCGGCGCGGGGTGGGAAGGAAAAATGAACTTGGGGTGTCTCGGGAAGGAATGAGCCTCGAGATTGGTAGGGAGGGGTGTGTTTTGTGTGTGTGTGTGTGTGTGTGTGTGTGTGTGTGTGTACAGGACCATAAGCGTTTAGGACAGAAACTTGCGGTTAGGGAGGCGTGGAGGCGTGGAGATTTATGGAGCATGTTGTGTATTGTGTTTTCTGGGTGTGGATCACTGATGTACATGCCCCCGCCTCTCCCCTCTCCCCTCTCCCCTCTCCCCTCTCCCCCTCTCCCCTCTCCCCTCCCCTCCCCACTCGGCTTGGTAGGTAGACTTGTGCACTAAACTGAATTCCGCTCAAGTGTCTTGCTGGGTTGTATGGTTCGATGACGATATTAGATTATTATTTTGTTGTTGTGATGATGCCATTTTCATGGCGGCAAAGGGTTTGGGGAGGAAGGGAAGAAGGGAGAGGAGAGGGAGAAAGCTGGTTGCTAGAGCTTTGGAGTTGGGGATTAGTTAACGAAGAGTGAGCTGAAGAGTAGTACTACTGTAAGAACACCTATTATCAATCAACATCATACCACTTTAACTATCACCCACGCCCGCACACCGCGGCATCAGATTGGGTCAAGGACCAGCTAACTAAGGTAGCAGGATAATAAATTAAACGTAGTGAAATTATTATGCTAGTGCCTGGTTTTAATTTTTTTTTTTTCTTTTTTTTTTTTTTTTGCTTTTGATTTGCTGTCCAGGGCAGTTTTCTGGGCCGCAAAGCCACACTGGTTTTTTTTTGCCCGGGCTTGGTCTGCCGCTTGAGCCTGCCATTCCGGGAGCTGCCCGCCTGAAATCGCTGACAAGTTAACTCCAAGATTTACCCACCGAAAACCCCAGGAAAAGGCCGACCGCCCCACATTTTTTAATTTTTCGTGCTCCTTTTTTCGTTCGTCCCTTTCATATATTTTCTTTTTTGTGGTGATATTGGAGTGAGTGGGTTTTCGCCAGTGGAGTCTGGAGATATTTTGAATCTGATAAGCCCGGGTGGTAATTAATCGTATTCCTTTACCTCTGTACGTTCAATCCATTGCCATGAACGGACTTCGTTGAGCCGGGAGTGCACAATAATACACATTCATACATTCATTCCATTCATTCAATCCATAAATCCATCCATTCCCTGCCTTTCTGCCTGGAGAGATAACGTAGACGATACTGCATAAATACGGTGCATTCGTCGCTGCCTGGACGGCAGTCGAAGTTACCGTTGCCAGGTTTGCAAAACTGAGGACAGAACCCGTAATCGTAATACATATACCCCCTCTCCTTTTTTGCTTTCCGTCCCTTTTCTTCTTCTTCTTCTACCTCTTCCTCTTCCACTTCCTCTTCTTTTTTTCTCTTTCATCCTCAATTTTGCAAAATACAGCAAACACCCGGTTGTCTCTCTCCATCGCCGTTCTCCAACCTCCGTCTCCAATCTTCGTCTCCATCTCCATCTCTCCCATCGTCCGCGCTCTGTTCGGTTGTTCTCCCAGCCTCCCCTGTCTGCTTTTCCCCCTGCCTTGTTAAAAGCGACTAATACAGCACCCGCATCCAGATCCCTGCCCCACATCACCGACTTTCTTCTGCTTTCTTTTTCCTCGTCCTCTTTTTTTAATTTTTTAATTTTTTTTTTAAAATTTTTTGTATTTTTGCTTTTTTCCTTCATTCTCTTTCCTTTTCCTCTTTTACTATTCTTTTGCATCATCATAGCTTTCTCTCCTCCTGCCCCTTCCTCCTCCTATATTTCCTGTTTCTGTTTCCTCCCTCTTGCTCCTGCTTTTCCTCCTCCTCCTCCTCCCCCGTGCTGACTACTCCCTCCCCCGACTCTTATAGTTATATACAGTGTATATCGTCTCACACTTCTCCTCCCCTCTTCAACACACACCTCTTTACCACCACCACCACCTCCTCCTCCTCCTCCTCCTCCTCCTCCAACCTCCATCTTCTTGCATTTTCGACTTCTACTCTTCTGTGTTGTCCAGTCTGAAGAATACCCACAATAGACTAGACTTCTACTGCACAATACACAAAGGCTTTCTCTGTTGGCCTCATCGAAGTGTTGTCTCTCGCGGTGTTGGTGTCGGTTGTCGGTGTGTGTCGGTGTCGGTGTCTGGTCCTTCTCTCCCGCAGTCTAACACTATATACTCTACGTCTCCAACCCAAACCAAACCAAACCAAACCAAACCAACCCAACCCAGCCCCAATCCCACCTCCCCACTGGCAAAAGCCTCGTCAACCCGCTTCAGCCTCACACTGCCTCCACTGGCTGTTTATCTCCCCCTCCGTTCCTCATATTACTTCTCTCGCATTCCCTCTCTCTTGTGTCGGGGTTAATTACACTCCTCTGACCATCTTTCTTCCCCGTGTTACACCGTCGTTACCAAAGGGAGGTAAAAAGAAAAGAAAGGGGAAAAAAAAAAAAAAAAAAGTAAACAGAAATAGAAGACAAGCGACCAACCCAACAACTTCGATTCTCCAATCAGTCCTCCTTCCATCCTGTATAAATGCCCCAACGATCTACCGCTGTGGATTTTTCAAATCTACTAAATCCTGAATCTCCGTCTGAAGACTCTCGGGAGACCTCTCTATCCACGTCTGCCTCCGCCCCCAAGTCAACGTCAACGTCAACGTCAACGTCAACATCAATTTCCGCTTCCGCTTCAGCGACATCCTCACCTACCCAGTCGAACATGGCCTCATCCTCTCCCGTGAGCCTCCTACCGCCGCTGGTCAAAGCTGGACGTGCTACAATTACTGAAGAATCCCGACAAAGCCTACCGCGGCCCTACAAATGTCCTCTCTGCGACAGGGCTTTCCACCGCCTCGAGCATCAGACACGGCACATTCGAACCCATACGGGGGAAAAGCCACATGCCTGCCAGCACCCGGGCTGTGCGAAGCGCTTCAGCCGCTCTGATGAGCTCACCCGTCATTCTCGTATCCACAACAACCCAAACTCGAGACGGAGTCACAAGGCGGCGGCCCAGCAGCAACAACTTCAACAGCATCATATCGCTACAACCGCCTTGTCAAATGGCCCAAACACCTCACCAAACACCCCGCCCAGGTCCATGATGCCTCCCCCCCCAGGGAAGCCCATTGCCAGGTCTGCCCCTGTATCCCAGGTGGGCTCACCTAATGTCTCCCCTCCGCACTCCTACACAAATTACGCTTCGCACATGCCCTCGACTCTGGGGCCCTATGGTAGAAGTGGAAGTGGAGTTGGAACTGATGGTCGACCTTCAGCCGCAATGGACATCAACATGCTGGCAACCGCAGCTTCACAGGTTGAACGCGACGACCACCACTTTCTCCACCACCAACACCACCACCATCATCATCACCATCATCATCAGCAGCAGCAGCAGCAGCAACCACCCTACCACTTATCCTCCCCGCACCAGGTGCGCACCTCGCCTCTCTACACCGCCTCCCGCTCCCCTTACCACCACTCCCTCAACAACTCCCACAATAGCACAAGCCGCCTCCCCTCTCTCTCAGCCTACGCCATCTCCAACTCTCACAGCACGCACCCAATGAGCCGCTCTCACTCTCACTCCGATGAAGACCGTGAGATCAGCATCCACCGCGCCAAGCGCTCCCGCCCTTCCTCCCCCGACTCCACTGCCCCATCCTCCCCAACTCTGTCCCACGACTCCCTCTCGCCAACCCCAGACTATACCCCGCTCGCAACACCAGCCCACTCCCCGCGCCTCCGCCCTTTCTCCTCCTTCACATCTAGCGGTGGCGTCCTCAGCGACCTGCAACTCCCCTCCATCCGCCAATTGTCCCTGCACGGCCATCACACACCCGGCCCGGCCCTGGCACCCATGGAGCCGGAGCCGCAGACAGATGGCATGCCGATGCATCACCACTACGTGGCGCAGTCGCAGGGACAAAAGCAGCATAATACCGGTCCGAGCATTAGCGATATCATGCACAGAGCCGATGGAACGCAGAGGAAGTTGCCTGTGCCTCTCGTGCCCAAGGTGGCGGTGCATGATGTGTTGGGTTTGGGACATCATGGGGTTGGACTTGGTGGGATTAGTGGGGCGGGGAGTGGACTTTCGTCGGGGTCGTCGTCGGTAACTGGGTCGGTTGCGGGGGGAGATTTGGGGGAGAGATATTAGAGGGGTTTTCTATATTCATGGAATAGTTTATCCAAGGGGATGCCTCGTATACTTTTGAACGAGCGTACCTAGAAGTGTTAGGATGGGATGGATGTTTTTTCTTTTTTTTTTGTGCTCTCTTTCCGTTTCCCTGGGCCTCATCTACCGATGCATTTTTCCCATTCACCTTTTAAGTGTTTTTCTGTTGATTGGCTTCAGCGATTGCTTCGTATGGACACGGAGTCAAAATTATAGATAGCTGGGATGGAATATGTCTGCTTGTTAATTTTTTTCAAAGGCTTTTTGTTACAGGGAGGGAACCAAAGAACGTGTCCCTCTTTTTCTCTTTATTTTGCAGTTTCAATTTCATTTCTACATGATGTTTTGCTACCAGACCTTTTTTTATTTATTATTACCATTTCTTTTTTTTTTTTTTTTTTTATTTTACCTGTACTTTGTTTTCTGTTCTTCTCCACTCAGCTCTTTTAAAAGGTTGCTCTTCTCCTGGCTTGAATTTCTATATTCGTTGATTCTTCAGATTCTCTTTTTTTTTTTTTTTTCAGAAGGCAAGCTGTTGTTCATTCAATCTTCTCTTTTAAAACCTTCAAGCTTCTGGCTGAGTTCTTTATAATACCGATCTTCTCATTTGTTTTACTCCTTTTTCTTGTGATGTGTTCATTTTTTCTCCTGAGTGATATAATGCTATAGAGGGAAATGAAATGGATATTTCCTATGACAATTATTACCTTTGTGCAGCAAGAGGAAAGCAACAGTTGCTTGTACTGGTGGGGGGGGGGGGTGTGGGGATGTTTGTGGGTGCGTTATTTCAGAGAGCTTCTGTTTGTTTTATTTTGCACTTGTTCACACAGCCACCAGTTTTACCCTCCCCTGCCACGTCAAATTCGGGCGCAGGCACCTGGTGGCAGCTTGATCCGACAAGCTTGTTAAAAATCAACAACAGATAGATGACAACCAAGTATGCTCCTGGAACCCCCCCCCACCCGCTGTATAAGCCCCATTTCAGATAAATATTTATAGTAACTCTGTCATCGCTCCACGTGCTTGGCTACGGGGTCGAGAAAAAGCATTGGCCCAAGCGCCGCCACGCCTCGCCTCCAGGCAAGACGAGACAGAGATTGCTGGGGAAACACATCCAGCGAGCTTTCAGGGTGCGCAACATTTCCCTCCGATGTTGGATGGTAACGGTTTTTTTTTTTTTTTTTTTTTCCCTTCGGCTTTTCCCTTTTTCCCTTTTTCCCTTTTTCCCTTTTTCCCTTTTCCCTTTTGGAGGGCGGGGGGGGCCCGAAAAGAAAGGAAAAGAAACGACGTGGTGGTATTGGGTTTTGTTCGATTGAGTTTATCGCGCGAGGGGGGCTTAGTTGACGCCCACGCCAAACCGGATTCTGGTCCCCAATAAGGTTTGGCGGGCACCGCGCCTACCTTATTTTGTGGGGGGCTCTTTCCCAGGGAGGCCGGAGGGAGGCCAGGGCGGCGGGATGACGTATGCCAGGTGGTCGGTCATGTGATTTCGATATTTCATATATTGTTTACTTCGGGTGTTTACTATCTCTGGAGGTTGTGGGGATTGTGAGGTGGTGGGCGAGTCTGCTGGGACGGTTTTTGGGGAATAGTGGGTGAGGTGAGCTGATGAGGGGAAATGCAAATCGACCGGAAAGAAATGAATTCATTCAATGTTGGGAGAACAAAAACCAGCAATGATGGACCATATATATATATATTATGACGCCCGATATGAACATGCAATGATGATCATGCCCACGAACAGACTATGGAAATTTTTGAAACTTGAAGTAATTTTTTTTTTCTTTCTTTTTAAAAAATTAAAAAAAAAAAAAAAATTGAAGAAAGAAAGAATACAAAAATACTAATATGCGAAAGTCATAAGATGAGCGAGTAGGCATAAAGGAGTATGGAAACAAGGTTTTAAAAATGGTTAACATCAAAATAAAAAGGTGAAGAATAATGAAAACCAAGGAATCAGAATAGGGGTGCAGAAATCTCCCTATTCCATGCTACCACACAAAACACACACGAAGATCTCACCTCCAATCCCTCCCCGTCCCTGCTTCTGCTTATGCTGTCGTGTCAGTGGTCCGCAGATCCCATTCAAAAATCCAAATTCCATCCATGGGTGACAGATAAGACAGATAATCGTTATTAAAAAAAAAAAAAACCCGGAAAAAAAAAACACCATCGCAGCTAAAATCCATCCATCCAATCCCCACTCCATCATCTCCATCTCCTTCCGCAGCATACCTTTTTTTTTTTTTTTTTTTTTTCTTGCGGTGCTCTCGAAAACGCTCTTTTCGCACTTCAACCTACACAATAACACAATATATATTTTTATTTTTATTTTTTTGTTTTCCCCGCTTCGAAACACCTTTTCACACCCTGAAACTATTTCCATGCATTCAGCCCCGCCCACGGGTCACTGCTGTTACTCTGCCCTTGACCCTGCCCCTGCTGCCCCTGCCCCTGCTGTGGCGGTTGCAGTTGCGGTTGCACAACACTATACGGCCTCTGCATATACCCTGCTCCGCCAGGCGGATACTGTGGATTCGACTGCGACTGTGGCTGCGGCTGCGGCTGCGGCTGCGGCTGCGACTGTGACTGCGACTGCAACGGCCGCGGCGGCGGGGGCGGCGGTATATATCCCTGCGGCATGAACTGGGAAGCATGCGGTTGTTGCTGTGGTGTCATTCCAGGTTGTGTTGGTGGTGGGTTTGGATACCCGTACTGAGTCGGTGAGAAGAACTGCTGGGTTGCTGGCGGGGACGTTGGGGGTTGGTAGAGGTAGGCCATTGGGTTGTAGCCTTCGGCTGCTTGGGGGGGTTGCTGGGTGTATGCTTGGCCGCCTATGTATTGGTTGGCGGCGGTGGGTGGGGCGATGCCGCTGGTGCCGAAGGATGGGTAGGTTACGGCGGGTGATTGGGTGTGAGGGTGGGGGTTTGGGGGATGGGAGGTGGTGGGGGGGATGGGGGGGATGGGGGGGGAGCGGCCGGATGTCGGTTTTAGCGGGGATGGTCGTGTTTTTGATGAGGAGGTTGGTGGGGATTGAGGAGTGGTTTCGACGGAGAGCCGTTCCATGAGGGTTTTTAGTTTTTCGCGCTCTCTGTCTTCGTGGTTGGATTGGTGGTGGGATTTATCTCGTTCGATCTGGCTGAGTAGTTGAGCGCCTTCGGACCGTCGGTTGTTGACAAATGTGTCGACGTTTTTTTTCAGGTTATCAACTGTATCCTTCATCTCGGCGTAGAAAACCTGTGCCTGTTCTAGACCGGAGCTAATGTCTCTGAAAGCATTGTAGATCTTTTTATATTTGGACATAACCGAGTTCCTGTGTCGCGTAAGCAGTTCATATTTGGACTGCTCTGATCTGACTCGGCTATCCTGGAGTAGGTCACCGTATACTTTGGTAAGTTCTTTCATGAGCGCAGTTTGCTTGTGGTTGGCTTGTAACAGGCGATTTTGATGAGGGCGGAATTTCTCGAGTTCAGTTTGGAACAGTTGATTTTCTTGATTGGCGATCGATTTCTTATTCAATATGAGCACATTGGAGATATCATCATTGTGAACCTAAAATTTTGGTCAGCATTTAGCAAAATAGGGAGGGGCCTTTAAGGAGATGGCCATGGGATACTGGGCACACCTTCTCCTTGAGATCTTTCAATATCTGATTCCGATCTCTTTTCACAAGATTCAATTTCCTAAGCAGCTCCTCCACTCTCGCAATCTGCTCGGCAACAGACGTTTCTTCCTCGAAATCGTCATCAATGAGAGAAACCTCCGGCGCCGCAGTGTAAGGACTACCGCCTTGTCCATATCGACCTTTACCGTGTTTCCCCCCAACCTTGATAAGGGCACTTTGGAACAATATATCAGCTTCATCAGTTTCCCCAGCGGACCGCATCTCGTCAAAGTCAGCTTCATGCTGCCTTAGATTTACTAGAAGTTGCGAATCGCTGGAACTTGCTTCGTCGATGGTATCGCGGTAATTCCGAAGATCACTACGCAGGGTCGACGTCAACCGGGAGCTGGGTTGTTGTACCCAATCGCCCCCGTATTTAGATCGCATCTTTTCACAAACGCTCTCCTCCATGTCGAGCTGTTTGGAGCATTGATCCAATACGCTTAATATTGATATTTTCTCATCCTGCAGTTCGTTGAAAGCTTCACGGAAGTGGGGCGCATTGGCGAGTTCTTCACACCATCTCTTAAACACCTCATCAACATTGATTTCCTGGTCCATCCCACCCTTTAAAATATTCAAGCTTCCCGGTAATTTGAGATAATCAAGACTGGCGGCCATTTCCCCATTGGCTGCTTCGACTTTCTCCGCCTCTGCGCGAACTAGTTTTGCTTTTTCCTCATCGTACAAACTGGCTGATTCTGTGACGGACATGGGAACAATCTTTTGGAAAATGTCTGGGCCAATTATCCTCTGTATGTCTTGTCCTTGGTAGAGCTCACTGACTGGGATGGCCTTGGCAGCCGGTAATTTCGCGATAGTTGAGAGCGTGGGTTCCGAGGGGACGGGCTGGTGGTATATAAAATCGTTATCCTTGGTAAACGTTGCTAGCGTCTCTTGGACGCAGGTGAGGTGTCGACGGACGGTGTCAAGTAATATTGGGCCGGTATCAGCACTCAAATTGGAGCTCGCGGGGACAGAGGATGGAAAGGACTTTGCCCAGTTCAGGGCTGTAGTGGTTTGCTTTTCCGCCAGAAGGAGTCGGGCAATGGCAATGCCGTATAGAGTTCCCTCGTCGTCTGCAATCGCCTGGTAGTAACCGGCAACGGCCGCCAGCAGGGAGGCTTTAACTTGGACTAGGATTGACCACACTTTCTCAAATATTCCTTTTGTTACATTTTCCTGTACGCCTTCCACAGCTTGTGAATAGAGATAGGCAGCTTGACTTGCGAGTTTAGCAAGGAATCCAGGCTTCTTCCCATCGGCTATCTGTTTCTCCAAGAAGACTTCCTGGCCCTGTGCAAGCATTATCGATATTAGCGTTTTGACAGTGTCCCTGCTTAGATCCGTCGAAGGGGCATGTAGAAAGTTCTCATTGATATAAGTGAACATCCCCGCGGAGGCTTGGAAGGAGTGATAGGCGGTTTTTAGACCAGTGTCTTCGGATCGGTTCTGGTTTGCAGCGTGACATGACAGGACAGCGGATATATTGAAGATAATCGAAGCTTTTTCGTAGGCCAATGAGTATTGAGAGGTTGGCTTGTGAGTAAATGCATCGTACCTGATAAAAGGAATAGAAAGAGAGGGGGAGGGGGGAACCGTCAAGTTAGACAAGGCAGACAGAAATTTGGACGGCGGATTTGGGTAGATGGAGAGCAGAGCGCACCAGGTAAAAGATATCTTGATATGGTTCTCATCAACCGGAAACCGCAGATCCAGCAGTTCGAGCTGGCCATAGTATCGATATAACAGATCCCGTCCAGCAGCACTATCTTTGCCAGCGCCCCTCATGTCCTGCCTCAGCCTGTTCAACGTAGCGCATTCTTCCGAGTATCTCTCTGGATCATCACCGTACGTCTGTCGGATATAAGCCTTGAGGGGTTGAATCCAGTCGATCTCGCTGGTTTGCTTCAGAGGACTGGATATCATAGGCGACTGAACCATCTTGAATAACGGGCGGCCTGGGTAGCAGGGGGGATACGCCTGTGGGATATGATTATTAGGTTGGGTCGAGATGAGGCCGCGGAGGCAAACCTAAGGTGGGAGATAAGCCAAAAAAAAAAAAAAAAGAAAAGAAAAGAAAAGAAAATAAATAAATGAAATAAGAGCACCTTTCCCAAACACCACCAGGAAGCGGTTGCAGGAGGGCCGGAGAGCAACGGGGAATCGATCTTCTGCAGGCAAAGCGGTTGGAGAGGGGCTAGAGGGCTAGAGGGCTGAGATGGCTGGAGGTGTGGGGTACTCAGGATTGGTCTTGGGCGGGCACAATGACGACGGTTAACTAGTTAGCGTTCACCAAAACTAGTGAACTGGACTAGAAATCACAGCCGATAGAAGAGACAGAAGAATAGGGGCAAAAGTGCAGAACAACTCAGAATGAGATAATGTATTAGAGCCAGAACGCCAGCTAAACAAGGAGAAGAATGCCGGAGCTGAGGATATTCAGGAGAAGAAGAGGACCGGGTTATTCTTAGGTCAGGCTGCTCCGAGTCTTATCCAGCATAGAGGGACAACCCGTCCATGGCTTGCGACTAGCAGCGGAAGAGCCACTCCCAGTGTAGCACCGGGTAGACAAATGAGGACCAAGCTATTGTCTTATTCTGTCATATTATTGCTGTTAACTACTTATTTTGATGCTGCGCGAATGCGGGAAAATGTATCCATATGTCCACCATGTCAACATCAGCAGAAAGAAGTAAGGGAATATACGTCAGGACTCAATTGACTGCAAAATTCAGTATGCGGAATAACTACTCTGCTGTGTTCGACGAATGATGTGTATAGCTTTTTTTTCATTTTCTGATGACACCTGACTGCAGCGGAGATGTTGGTTATATCTAGGAATTACCGTACTGTACAGGCAAATATTGAAGATGCAGATAAAACTGCGCCCCAGCCTAATTGACCAGCCCGACCATGCACTTCTTTTATTCATACAACTCCCAGGGAAATGTAAAGAAATGAAATGAAATATTGGTCCAACCCATGGATGAAGTAAAATGTACAGGAAGGGAGAACTAAAAACCTTCCCCCGAAAAAAAATTAAAAATAAAAAAGAAGAGAAGAGAAAAGAAAAGCAAACTACAGAATACCATTTTTTGCCTGCCAACGCTATGATAAGGAGAAGGAAAAATAATTGACAATGATTATGAAACAAAATAACTGCCATATCGTGGAAGACAGAGGATATCACCCCGAGCCGGAGGCTTTCTTCGATTCGTCGGTCTTGTTCCCGTCGCTGGTATTGCCATCAGACCCTGTGTCCTTGTTGCCGTTATTGTGTTGCATGAGTTTGTGCCATGCAGACTTGAGGAAGCCTTCATTTTTGTGTGAGTCACTGCTGGCAGTGCTGCTGTTGCTGCTATCTTTTTTGCCCGACGAGGAAGAGCCGGGAGAGGAAGGCCTAGAGAGAAAAGAACGAGGAGAAAATTAAGATACATGTGGTTAACCTTCCGCTTTAATCTTTAAACAACATTACACGGTGCAGGATGGATGGCTTCATCCTTGTAGGGGTGATAGTTTTTCGAATAAATACTCACTTGTCGTATTTGTGGACGTTCATCATGCGTCGAGCGGTGTCGTCGCCCATCTCGTCAGCAAGCACTTCCAGAATGGTTCGCTGGTTCGCAGTCAGGTATTTCGGCATGGCAACCTTGAATTCAATCTTGAGGTCACCCTGCTGGCCACGCCGACCCTCAAGCTTCCGCATTCCCATTCCAGATAGGGTGATTTTGTCTCCGGTGCCCGTTCCCGTGGCCACCTTCACTTTAACTTCGTTGTCAAGCGTGGGGACTGTGACTTCGCCACCAAGCAGTGCCGTTGTGAGAGGAATCTGCGCTGTGTACAGGACATCCGAACCAGACCTGCTGAATCGGGAATCAGGGGCTACCTTGATAAAGACATAAAGATCACCACGCCGCATTTGAGCACCGGGTTCTACTGGAGGCATATCTCCCTCTCCAGGCACTCGCAACCGCATTCCATCCTCCACGCCCCCTGGGATATTGACATGCACCGTTTTTCGTTCCCGGATAACGCCATCACCGCCGCAGATATTGCATTCGGATCCCCGGGGTATGGAAACACCTGCACCGCCGCACGAGGAACAGGTACTTTCCATATGAAATCCACTCTGGATGAAATGAACTTGTGACCCCGTACCATTGCATGTTTTGCATTGTGCCCGCTTTGTACCCTGTTTTGTCCCCTCGCCGTCACAAGTACCGCACTGAACAAGGGGAGTTATGAAAACTTCCTTCGTCGTTCCTTTGGCCGCATCCATGAATGAGATATTTGTCTGTACTTCAATATCATCACCTTCAACCACTGTAGACCGGAACGGCCCACCCTTCGACCGACCCCTCCGCCCCGAACCACCCGCAAAGGCACCAAAAAGATCCTCGAAATTTATATTCGCAGAGAACCCACCACCAGGGAACCCGCCGCCAAACCCGTGGAATCCACCGGTGGCTGCTCCGGAGAATGGACCACCAGTACCGTCATGGGCGCCAGGATTGAAACCGCCATTTTGGTCGAATGCCGCGGAGCCATAACGATCGTATGCTTGTCTCTTTTCTGCATCTGAAAGCAGCTCGTACGCTGACTGGGCTTCTGCAAATTTTTCCTTCGCATTAGCATCCTTGTTCGTATCTGGGTGATATTTTTTGGCCAGTCCGTAGTATGCCCGTTTAATTTCTGCGGCAGATGCATTCTTCCCTACTCCGAGTACACGGTACGGGTCGCGTGTAGCTTGGGAGGGCGAAGATGAGTGAAAGGCCTGGGAATAGTAGATAGAAGCCGAGTTAGCTGGTACATAATCCGTAGGGGCCACCAACCCCCACCTGGTGTTGTATAATAGATGCGATTACTGTATGATTCTAGACATACCTTGCAAAACGGATGACGGCTACGGTCATTTAAGGGTTCTATACGGGGACGCCTATCATGGTAAGCTCTGCAGTCATTCTGGAAGAATTTTGGCTGAATCTGAGGGCGTATCACAGCACATTGCGTGGAGCAGTGTCGTGACGTATGGAGGAGACGAGCCGGGAGCAGGGCCACCTTGGGTATGCTTGGAGCACCCGCACTCATCTTCTGAGACAACGCAGCAGTGCACCAATGCTAGAGGCAGATGGTAAGCAAGCTAGACTGCACACAGTGTTCACAGCCAAAACGGGACGGTGGGATATACTATCTAGGCATCTAGTTGACTCGGAGTTGGCATATCATCTTCATCCTCTATCAATCACGTTCATCATCGTCCAGGCAAAGGAAAAAAAAAAAGATTCTTTGGGGCGTTGGATGACTAAGATGCCATTTTTCGTGGAACAAAGTTTAGCCGACACGCTGCTATTCGACGAGGTTCTCCGAGTTGATCAAGTAAGCAGCAACACTGTTCTTTGTTAGCAACAACAAGAGATAAACAACTCACTCGGCAAATTCCCTTCTTCTTGCCTGCTCTGCCTGGGCCATCTCTGGGTTAACGCTCTTCTGCAATTCTGCTGGGAGATAGTGGATGCGCAGCTTGTGTGTATAACTACTGGTCTTTGCTCACTCATTTGACTACCCCGGAACTATGATTCGGGCACAGAGCCTGCCCTGGAGGGAAGCTCTCCGTCAGGCTTCGCGGGCACTCCCGTGTAGATACTCAGCTTCGTCTTTCAGATTTAACGCAATCTCGAGCCTAGAGGCGAGGACTTTGCATCATTCCCCCTTCGCTTCGGCATCCCGAACTTTCTCATCCAGTCATGCACAACGAAAAGAAAAGCCGCAACCACCTGCGCCGAAAGATGAAAAGGAGGAGGGAACGGAGGTAGAAAAGGATCAGGAGCAAAAGCCAAGACCTGGGAAACCCACTGAAGGGAAAGATAAGTCTTCAGATACGCCGTCGCCAATACCCGTTTCTGCTTCGCCGGCAGACCCAAAACCTAGCAGCGCAAGCGCTTCCGGAGGCGCTGCCTCTGGGAGCGGCGATGGCGGGAAAAGGGGCCGGAAAACCTCTGCGGAAAAGGCCCTGCAGAAAGCTACGATTCCAGATATCTATCCACAGGTCATGGCTATTCCAATTGCACGCAGGCCATTGTTCCCCGGATATTACAAGGCGGTTACTGTCCGGGATCCCAATGTTATAGCAGCCATACAGGAAATGATGAAGCGGGGACAACCATATGTTGGCGCATTTTTGCTTAAGGATGAAGCGGCGGATAGAGATGTGATAGAGGATATAGATGAGGTGCATGATGTTGGTGTATTTGCGCAGATCACAAGTGTCTTCCCCGTACCCGGAGCCGAGAGCGGTTTGACCGCAGTCCTGTATCCTCACAGGAGAATCAAGATTTCGTCACTGACACCATCCAGGGATGCATCGCAGAATGCTGAGGGTGACCAGCAGGCTACGAAGGAAGCAACTGCTGAAAAGCAGGGTGACGTTGTCGCCAGCTTTGAAGAGGCCACGCTAGACCAGCCACCGAAGGAGCCTCCATACGAACCTACCTCGTTCTTACACAAATATCCTGTCAGTATAGTCGATGTGGAGAATCTTACAGAGGAGCCTTATGACAAGAAGAATACCATGATTCGCGCTGTTACGAACGAGATCGTGAATGTCTTCAAGGATATTGCAAATCTGAATCCTCTTTTCCGTGATCAGATCTCGACCTTTTCCATGAGTCACTCCGGCAATATTATGGATGAACCGGCAAACCTAGCTGATTTCGCTGCTGCTGTGTCTGCTGGCGAAGTCAATGAGTTACAAGATGTCTTGGACACGATGAACATCCAGGAACGCCTGTCTAAGGCACTCGTGGTTTTAAAAAAAGAACTCATGAATGCGCAACTGCAATCGAAGATATCAAAGGATGTCGAAGCGAAAATACAAAAGCGGCAGCGAGAATATTGGCTGATGGAACAGATGAAGGGTATTCGTCGTGAACTGGGAATCGAATCCGACGGGAAAGAAAAGCTTGTGGAGAAGTTTAAGGAGAAGACGGAGAAACTTGCTATGCCTGACGGTGTGAAGAAAGTGTTTGATGAAGAGCTGAACAAACTGTCACACCTTGAACCTGCAGCTTCAGAGTTCAACGTCACGAGGAACTACCTTGACTGGATAACACAGGTTCCATGGGGTAAGAGGAGTGCTGAGACTTTTGGCATTAAGAACGCAATGGCCGTGTTGGATGAAGACCACTATGGTTTGAAGGACGTCAAGGATCGTATCTTGGAATTTATTGCTGTTGGGAAACTTCGGGGGACCGTCGAGGGAAAGATTCTCTGTTTTGTGGGGCCTCCTGGCGTTGGTAAAACTAGCATTGGAAAATCGATTGCGCGAGCACTTAATCGGGAGTACTATCGATTCAGCGTCGGTGGACTTACAGACGTGGCGGAGATTAAGGGTCATCGACGAACCTACATTGGTGCTTTACCAGGTCGCGTCATCCAAGCCCTGAAAAAGTGTCAGACCGAGAACCCCTTGATACTTATCGATGAAGTTGATAAAATCGGTCGAGGGCATCAGGGCGATCCCTCGTCGGCTCTTCTGGAACTTTTGGACCCAGAGCAAAACTCCTCTTTCTTGGATCACTACATGGACATCTCCGTTGATCTTTCAAAGGTTTTATTTGTCTGCACTGCTAATATGACAGATACAATTCCCCGTCCCTTGCTGGATAGAATGGAAATAATCGAGTTGTCTGGGTACGTTGCAGACGAGAAGATGGCTATCGCGGAACGATATTTGGCACCCACAGCGAAGGAGATGAGTGGTCTGAAAGACGTTGATGTGAAGCTGGAGAAGGGCGCTATTGAGGAATTAATCAAGTCGTACTGTCGTGAAAGTGGTGTGCGAAATCTCAAGAAGCAGATAGAAAAGGTTTACAGAAAAGCTGCGTTGAATATTATACAGTCTTTACCGGAGCAGGAGATGGAAGCTGAAGAAACAGCTGTCCGAGAGGAGGTGAAAACTGACCCTGAACAGGAGAAGAAAACCGAAGAAAGTGAAGAGGGAGGCGAGGTATCACCTCAAGTTCAACCACCGATAGTCGCGGTCCATGTCCCAAAAGATGTACACGTTTCAATTGATAGAGAGGATCTCAAAGATTATGTTGGTCCTCCCATTTTCACCTCTGACAGGCTCTATGATGTTACCCCTCCAGGTGTAGCCATGGGTCTGGCGTGGACCAGCATGGGAGGCGCTGCTTTATATGTCGAGTCGATTCTGGAAGCTACCCTATCACCTACATCCACTCCAAGTATCGAGCAGACCGGAAACCTTATGACGGTTATGAAGGAGTCGACTGTGATAGCGTATTCGTTTTCGAAATCGTTGATGGCCAAGGAGTTTCCGGAGAATAGATTCTTCGAGCGGGCGAAGGTCCACTTGCATTGTCCAGAAGGCGCTGTTCAGAAAGACGGTATGTATATAGCATTGCTGCTATTGATGACAAGATAATGTTATAACTAAACGGGATACACAGGACCCTCTGCTGGCATCACGATGGCAGCCTCCCTACTCTCACTTGCCCTCAACCATCCCATCGACCCTACAATTGCCATGACTGGCGAACTTACTGTGACGGGCAAAGTTCTCCGTATCGGTGGCCTGCGCGAGAAAACCGTCGCAGCTCGACGAGCGGGTGCCAAGTCAATAATCTTCCCAGCCGATAACATGTCCGATTGGCTGGAACTACCTGAGGTGTGTTCCCCTTGGCGCAGACCCCCCACAAAACTATGCAGTGTCATTCTCATCTCACCCCCACTCATCCCACTAAATCTGCTGTGTTTGCTAACATTCCTTGACAATCTGCAGAACATCAAAAAGGGCATCGAAGGCCATGCTGTAAACTGGTATTCGGAAGTTTACGACATCATCTTCCGCGACCTTGACAAGATCCAAGCTCAAAATATGTGGAAGACCCAACTTGAACAGGTTCCCAACGTCATAAAATCTGACAATCCCAAGGAGGGTTCAACGAACTGATGCGCATGGGTTTTCTTTTTGTTTTCGAATGCCTGTGTAACAATCTTTTTTTTCTATAATTATTATTTCTATTATTATTATTATTATTATTACTTTATTTATTTTTTACCTCACTAGCCCTCTGAAAGGCTTATTTCCCCAGCATCTATGGGCATGATATATCTCTTCTCTCTTCACAGCATTGGCCCCGGCGTTCGTTTGATGGTCCCCACACCGCATTTATTTGTTTGGTGCATCCTACACCATGAAATATGCTATTTGTCACCGATGAAGTTTTTTTTTTTTCGTTATTTTCTTCCCTATTTCCTTCGTCTTCATTTCTCCTCTGGTGCTTCAAAGAGAGAATCCACGGATGGGCATGAGAAAAACTCCTTGCGGATGAATTTGGGGACCTTCAATTAAAGGGTAAAAAAAAAAGAAAGAAAAGAAAAGAATAGACATATATTTTCCTGTTCTGTGTGGTGTGCATATCCGTGGCGCCAATGAAAAATCAAAAGCATCTGCCTCACGACTAGATTCTATTTCTGGAATGTTAAAAAGTCCCTTCCTGCAGCCTCCTTGTGTTTGGTTTACGGTTTGCGGAGGTTGCAGCTTTCTTTTTGGCAACGGGAACAGTCAAACGGAATCGGATAGATGCAAACGAAACAAATCATAAGAGAACTAGAAATGTCTTTCCGATTTATTAGACAATATGAAGATGAACTTGTTCTCTCTGACCAGACTTTTATCTCTATAAAGCAATAGAGAAAGTCACATGCAATATATCATTCTTCTCTCCGCACACGTTCCATTGGGTGGATTTAAATATGCCATAGTGCACCCGTTTCTTAGTTGTTGGATAGAGAATAGGTCACTGGGCAGGCCATAGTCTTGTCCAAGTGAATGGCATCATCCCCTGATATGATTCTGCAGATGCACAACGGGGAACCATTGAATTAGTACAAAAGTGAAGAAAGGGTGAGAGTAACAGTCATCTGACACTCTAATTATCCTAATTATCTTCATTTCCCATCTTCTCCATGATAAACAGAACAGAAATCCATCGGGAAAAGTCACAAAATAACTGAACAACAACGCATAAGGTAGTTTGTTCCCACACTCCTGTGGATGGCAGAGTATGGCGGCTTGGCCAGGATGGAAGTTGGATTCCCCGGGAGAGTATTATTTTTCATTGTAACAAACGCACAGTAGAATACTTCGGGGTTAATGATATATCGATTTTGTATCCGATTGTCCCGAACATGCGCCTGGAGTGCCCAATAGCGTGTATGCATATCAACACACCTGGATTTGTTAGCAAGTCTTGTTGTTCGGAAATATTGAGATTTTAAATTATATTCCCACTTCTTAAAGCGCAAGACTGTTTGAAAAAAAAAAAGAGGGGGGGGGGAGGAATGGTAAAGAAATTAGACGCAGGTTTAGTTTATTAGTTAACTAGCGCAGGGTCTCCCTTGTTCTTTAACTGTTGTTTAGTTGTTGTGCTTGTGAGAAGATGCTTGATTTGCAGTTGGGAATGATATAACTAACTACGCTGGCAGCTGCCCAACTGTGGGGGCGTCTAGTTCGAGAGAAATACCCCTCCATCTGAACCCACGGCTGAAGAATCAATAACTATCTTTAGAATTAAACTTGTCTGTGATTCAACAGCATCTTTTAAGCGCTCACAGAAAGGGTGATTCTTCGAAAAGGTTTTGCGCTGTTGTTACAGAGCGAATGTCTGCCCTAGGATGACTTTGGAGTCGCCAGCCCCCCCTTCGAGAACAACTTAGCCACTTTTATATGGCTATCAACATCTCTTTACAGGGGGCTAAAATTTAGGGCTCGTTTGCCGTTTTCATCAGAATGGGAATACTTCTTTTGGCGGGAATGGGGTTATCGTCTAAGGTCAGCTCTGCTTAAATGAATATCATGTTTATGGTGAGAATCCAATCATTGTGTTTTGAGTACCTGGGGTCGGGTCCAGAATGTCTCGCTAGTCATGGATGGCATGGAAATTCTTCAGATTGAGGTCTTTTTTTTTCATTTCTTCTTCTTCTTCTTTTTCAAGGGTTAATTAAGCCGGAGTGCTAAGCCAGATAAAGATGCTGTGGATGGAATATGTAGCTTGAGTGATTGTTTTTCGGTCATTAATGGTTGGTGCCTTCGCCAAGGCGGGGTTGGGGCTTTTAGGCCTGACAGTTTGACCACCGTTTTATATTGAATGCCTTTGCCCTGCCAGAAACAGGGCGGAGGGACTTAACACGTCAACATGGACAGCACGAAAATTTGAATACGGAGATCCCTCAAGGTAGAGAGGGCAGTCCAATTACGCATAGCTTCAGATAAATTCATCACCAGGAAACATTGGGAAGAGAGATTCAAGTCTTTTACACAGACCGCTTTTAAATCTTGTTTTCCAGTTCCTCAAGTTTAGTTGTCCCATTTTATTTTGGCATGGTGAAGCGGAGATTTTCAACGAGGGAGGGGCAAAGAAGAGAGGATTCAATTCTAGAGGTCGACGTGCAGCTTAGCTAGCAGAGTAGTGAACTAGTTAGTCAACCAACGAAGGATTGTTAGCCAGATGATGTGGAGAATCGGGTCAAAATTCAACAGCAAATCGATTAGGCCAGAAAGAAATAAAAAAAAAAATTGAAGGAAAAAGCAGTGCCAGTACAACGTGGCTACCTGTAAGAAGCCGCACAGAAGATGTTTCTATAACTTATGGGAGATGCTTGTTCTCAACTGTGGTCCCGAAGACAGTTGGGGATCTAGAATCTTGGGTGTTCAACTGGAGCCAACGCATTGTGAAAATCAGCGAAGGCATGGTTGGTTGCATAGTGTACGAACACAACGAACAAGCAGCCTTATCAAAGGCAGGCCTGATATCTTGAACTCAACAGCGGATCAGACCAAGGCGAAACCCTGGAATCAGTGATGGATCTGGTGGGATATGTGCCTTCGAAATTCTGTAGGAAGAAAAGTTGGTCAAATGACGAGGATTCTAGGACTGGGATCATCGCAATTCTCTGGTGGTTGTTTATCTAGGCTTGTTTTGACTGCGACCATGGTTTTCGGGGTTATTTGTTTTGGTTAGATATGAGGGCTCGTGGGAGGGACAGTTAAACGGCTGGAAACATCCCATCAAAATGCAGACCGGGGACAGTTGCGTTGTAACTGTGATGGAGGGATTATGAGCTGACCCCAACGTCTCAGATAAAGAAGATTTGAGCCAATTGCTCTCTTGATAGTCAGGGTGAGCAGCACCTAGATATCATAAGAGATAGCTTTGTAGCTTACCCTCTCATTCTCACAAGACCCGGGAGATAATGGCCGACTTCACGACAAGAGAGCCTTGACGACAGCAGCGGTTGGAATAGGGAGACACCAGTGAAGGGGTATCAGCCTTTCCAGAACAATCCCTCCCAGTCAGGTACCTGTTGATGTAGCAACGCAGCACATCATGCTGTCGACGACGCAAGTATATCCATGGGTGTCTGTATGTACAGTTGTTGGCTTTCGGACTAGTTGAATTCTCTTAGGTTGGCATGCATATGAGCATCATATCCAGGGCTCAAGCGTGTGTGTTCTTTGTCAATCCTATGCCAATCGACCGCGTAGACGCAGTTCCCAGCCCAGATGGATACATGTTTAGATGGGACGTTCTCGTGGCTTTGTCTCTTTTATACTTTGGGGAAAATAGCTTGCATGATTTACTTGAAAGTTCATGCAGAGACAAGGGCTTTGCCGGGAGAGTTGCATGCGTGAAGATCGAGCTGTTGGTTGGCAGTGACAAGAACGAAATTAATAAATAAGAATAAAATAAGGATAATCATAGCTAAATAACAACCAAAAATATAATTAGTTTATTAAATTATTATTAGCGATGGTTTTTCGCAACGGCTCCGTCCAGCCTCATTTTTTTTTGCATGCTCTCGACAACTCCTGTCAAACAACATCCCACCCACGAAACCACGGTGGTTTTACATTCGGTGATTGCCCCCTGGGCCCGGTACTTTCATCAGCTTCACTATTTTCATGGCAATTGAATATCATTACGGCAGTAGCCTTGACTATTATCTCGGTTTTGATTTTGATCTCCGTGTGTTCTCTGCGTGTCCTCTTAATGAACTATTTTAATATTTTGGTGGCCTGGAATGAGCCACCGGATCAATACAGATTTGCTGACAATCTCCGCAATTGATTGAGGATATTTCCTCTCTCGCAGATGAGTCAATCCAAACCTGCTTGTAATTATTTCTGCACATGGACATTGTTTGATCTGTCCCCTGTTGAGCAACCCGCCTGTGACTCCACCATAAGCGCGCAAGCCCGCAACACGGCTCTTCCAACTTCCTTCTCATATGGACGCATTGGTACCCTACAGGCCGTTGTCCAGTTCACTTGTGTAGCGACTGGCGAGCTAGAGCTCGCGCCAAATCGTGCCGCATGGCCATCTCACTTTTCGACCCTCTTGACCCCTTGACTCGACCGTTTTCCCCCATGCCTGGCCCCCCGAAGTTTCCTTCGTCAAAGAAGAGCATGTGGGATCGATTGGGGCTTTCATGGCTGGGAAAGGATAGCCGCCGTTCTGTTTCCCCGGACTCTCTGAATTGCAATCATCAGACACCTTATAATGACAGTAGTGATATTAGCAGTCTAAGTGCTAAGTACAACAACAACAACAACATCAATCCGCCCAAATCGGTATTGAGAAATGTTCGGGTGAGCCTGCCCCGCCTTCCAATTCTCAAGAGACGGAATTCGGAACGATATGACCGCCTTTATCGTAATGAGGCAGGCCGCAGTCGCGCGTTGTCCGTTGACCGCCGTCGACCCTTCAGCGGTCACCGAAATCCGTCAGCACCTCCAGTTTCTACCGCACGATTGTCTGCTCCAGATGTGCGGTACCACGATAAAGATCTCATGTTTCCTTCATGTGCGGATGCTGCCTCCTTATATGCACCGGAACATTTTGAATCTGGCACCTATACAGACGCCGCCTTCTCGGTAAATGGGGAGGA